GGGGTAGCGCAGGGAGAGAGCCACCGACTGTTGGCATATCTCTCGACTCATAACGGCGTGGAGAGCCAAGCTTGTCAGTCGGAGTTTTGGGCAACGGACCATCGTCTTCAGTCGATGCCACTGATGTATCGAGTTGCGGTTTCTTCACTGGTTCTCTACGGTCCGGGGAGGAAGTGGTTTGGCCAAGGGCTGATTCAAGAGTCCGATTATTCGAGCGCTGTTTGCTGTGAAGATATGATCCACGGAGGCGCACAGCATTCATTGATTCACGGACATCGCGTCCTCGATTCGGAACTGGCGAATTCTGTGAAGATGGAATTACAGGAACACCATTAGGAGATGGACCCAGGTGCTTTTGTATCTGATATGCAGAGAATCTCCTCGACGCTCGTCGTTCCAGTTCGCCACTTCTTTGCAGCATTCCAATGGCATCGTTTTGTTTAGAGGTTGGAGGCGTGGGCGGCGGTGGATGAGGGAAATCATGCGCGGAAAAACTGGGGGGATTGTCGTAGCGAGGTCCGTTCATGCTCTGGTCAGGATATGTAGGCATAACAGGGATATTCTGCATAGCACTACTTGACAAAGACGAACTCGAAGAAGCAGCTGACTTTTGCGGGTCTCTTTTTGAAGCTTCCCTTTCAGCAAAAGATTGTCCATGGCGGTCATTAGACCAGTTGGAAGAAGAGTTGTTTCTGGAAAAGCCCGTATCTCCATAACTTTTCATTGCATTATTCTGGCGAGATAACTCTTGTTGTCGTTTCGGTGGTAACTGGGATACGGATGGAGTCTCGTCCATGGTCTGATTTAGACTATTATCTCCGCTTCCCACGCTGCCAGCGCTCCCATGGCGTGCTGTTCTGGGCAAGCTGTCCTTCATCTGCCTCGACCGCAACTTAGCCTGTTTTTTCTTGAGCCCCTGGAGTAAATTGATAATGATGTCCCGTATGCGCGGCAGGTACCGATCCAGGCTCTCTGGCGATGCATTTTGGCTAAGGGTGTCTTCAAGAATTGTCCGAAGGAGATCAGGCACGGGTCCTAAGTCTGATGTATCCACCCCAATAGCTCCAAAAGCTCTACAGGCCAAGTTGAACTCGTATCCCAAACGCACATAGACGTCCGAAACCTCGCTTTCCGACGCACGTTGTCGTGACCATTGTGTGAGAGTCTCTAACAACTGCTTTGTCGCAACTAAAAGGTGGGTAACGCTCTTTTCTATCTGTGAGAGCTGTTTGTCCGGCTGTTGCTGTCCATGAAAGAAGACCGTCCGTTAGCATATGAATACCACAAAGGAGCAAAGGAGAAGTATATCCGTTTGCAGACCAATCCCTCAAAGCAAACGTCATGCAAAAAAGCACATGGGCATAGTATAGTGCATTATTATGAAAGCGGGGGACAGGAAACGTAGAGATGTAAAATATATAAGCGTACCGCGCTGCGACTTAAAGAGGATTTGCCTGACCCGGAAGAGGCTCTTGTGCCCACGGGTTGACTCATGTTTGCAGCATCACCAGCAGAAGCACCACCACCACCACCGCTCCCACCACCTCCTCCGCTGGAGAGAGACGCTGACGGCATCTGCTGAACCACGGGCGAACGAGCACGATCGAAAGCGGGAGAACGTATACGGCGAGATCTAGACTGGGAGGACGAAGAAGAAGAGTCCATGTCTCTTGGCAGCACAGAAAAGGCACAGCTGGTTGTGCTATGGATATGGTGTGAGTTGGGTGATTTTGGGTTGTGGTCGTTGGGCTGGGGAAAGGAAGGAATGGAGGCGTGGATACCAATTACGGGGCTGGTATGGCTGTTACGCCGTTGCAGCTCGGCTGGCGGGAAGCGGGTTGACTGACCACCCGTTAGCCTGGATTCAATACGGTATGGCTGGGTACAGTTTACCTACACCAATCGCCAATCACAGGCCATATTTGGGGGTGCAGGTCATGTGATGCCGTCCTGAAACAGCAAGGCGTCACTTGGCAATTTAGTCACGTGAATTCTTGGCGATGTGACAGCCTGGACTTATCACATGCCAAAGCAAACGCATACACCAACCAACAAGGTGTATATGTACAGTACAGTACATACTGCACACCATGAACATGTCTTCTTTTTGACCAAGTCATAGTTTCTATTTTGCGACCCTTGAAGTTTGTACTGAATGTATTACTATTGCACAGGTTCGTCAGAGAGCCCCTGCATCTGCACATTAAAACCTCTCTTAAGACACTGTGCGACCAACTTCCCCTTGTCCACCGACCAGTTTCCAAGGACCATCTCAAGGCAACAATCACCATGTCTCTCAAATGACACCCTTGAAATGACACTCGCAGGCCAGACATTAAATCCATGTTCTCAGAAACCCGGGCAAAACGTGGAGTAGGAATCGAGCCATGCATTCAGCTACCTAGCGATGGAAAATCTACTAACGTTACGTTGTAGTGTGGAGGTGCTAGCGCAATGGCTCATATTGACGGGGGGCGTCTACCAACCTTGCCAACATCTACTGCTAGACGGAGGTTCTTTCCCTTGGCCTCTTTTATATGCGGTTAACTAGGCAAAGCAGAGTGGCAGAGACATTTCTCTGTTAAAAAGGACATGTATTTTCAGCTGAAAACTACCAAATCCTTTACGGAGTAGAATGAGCTGTGATGTAGTCTTCAATGACGTATTTCGTTGAACATCTCCCCAAGTTGAGCCGCCACGGCGATAAAGTTAGTTTTTAATTTCTAAATTCAATAGAGTTCATTAATCTAAAAACTAGATACATTGGATTTGACTTTATTCTCTGCTTGAAAGCTTCTGTGGAATGAAAAGGAAAAGCATTGGTTACTGAGTCGAGCTGGGATCTGTAGATGGGTGTAAAAGCAATGAGCTTCCTCAAGCTCCAAAGTATGTTCTGTTGGCGGCTCTGAATGTTCTTGAGGCCTGCGCACTCCTGTGTTTCAACTCCTTTGGTATTTCTTTTTCCCTCCAAAGAAGGAAAGCAAAAAGAAAGAAAAGACTCTCTCGTTCATCCGCATGTGTTTGGTTGGTTGGTCATGGCTGTTGGGTTTCAGGTTTTCATTGCCAACCTTTGTTTGGGTGGTTCCTCGCATGACTGCTCTTCTGTGGTGAAATGGCACCATGTCGGAAATAACCATACTACCTAGGTAAACAATAGAAGAACTCACTGATAATTAGATAGGGGGTGAAGCTCTTCAGCTGTATGAGTGAGCAAGTGGGATATCTTTCCTCACTAGAGTTCCACCAAGGCCGTGAGTGTCAAAATACCATTTGAATAAATTTGAACCGTCAGCCCTTATACCATCCCTGCCCAAAATCGAGGTTCGCAGGCCCTCGCCTGAAGCCGCTTAATATACTCCGGATCATGCCAAGGATCTTGTTGCTTGCACTCCAACAATGAGGCTGGCAAGTGAGGCGGGTGAAAAAGGACGCCAAAGCAAGCAAGCAAACAGTATGGTAGATGGATGTGCGAGTAGACCGTAGCACAGAGGCCGCCTTATCGTCTGAGGTTTTTTCCTTAACCCAATCACTTTGGAGATCTGCTCATGAAATCTGGTTGAATGTTCTCCCCGCACCAACTAAAGGTATGGTATTCAATAGTATGTAGCATTCGCTTTTAGCAGTTAAGAGGCACAAAGGCGAGAGAGAGTGCTCCAGAAGCTTCCCGGAGACCTAGGAGTTAAAATTAATGCATTATGAGTTTCCCTTTGAACAATTCTCAGCCGCTCAAGAATTCTACTTATTCTCAATTCTCTTACAGATTTTTTCTGTTCTATCTGCTGTGTATTATGAGATAAATAGAGAAGCTTTTGTTATCAATTGAAGTCAAAAAAAAAATTTTAAAATTATCTATTTATAGTTCTTAAACTCAGCTTATAAAATAATCAGATCTGTGGTATTCTACTCCGTATAGTCTCTGTGATTAACACTGATAGCAGAAGAGAGAAATACAGTGCTGTCACTCTTCATATTATAGATTCTGCAGTTATGATAGTTATACAAGTAAGTCACTCTTATAAGACAGACAGACTAGTAATAAGTTTAAACTTCGGGCGCGGCTGGCAAGGAGCCATTCGCTTGCGGTCTTTTTTTCAACCATGACATTGTTACTGATATTATTATATTACTGATAAAGAGTACTTGATATAAAATGATGAAGATATTTATATTGAATAAGCTTTTTCTTTTCTGAAGACTACTTCAAAGGGAAGAGTTCAAAGGCAGTCATGGTTATAAGCTGCCAGACTACAATCCCCTCTTATCATAAGTACGGAGTAGTAGTGGCTTGCTTACTCCTGTCCCCGGCGCCCGGGGCCTATTGTTACAGTAACAGAAGAAGTGAGAATGAGGTTGATGATAGCAGTTGGTTCTCACACAACTTAATGAAATCTTTGAAGCGTGATTTTTACTTTTATTTTTTATCTTTATTTTGACTAGATATCAAACCACACCTTCTGCTGCTGCTGAACATTTATTAATCAGCAGGAATTTTTTAAGAGCAAAGAGGAAAATTCATTTCAGAAAGAAAGTACTCCGTACAACTCTATCTATCAAGGCATTAACCCGTTTGATACTGAGAGGATGTGTATTGTGTAAGTTACTGATATGTAAATACACGTTTCTTGGAGCAAAGAATTAAAACCTTGATACATTGAGTTTGGCGGAAGAATTACCTGAGACAGGCCCTGACAAATTGACAATACCATGGTGACGCGCCAGGTCAATCTGGGAGCCATTCCCGATATGGCTAAGGGATGGACAAATCCGCGGCGGGACAGTTCTCAAAGCGGCAAGGGGGATCGAGCAGTGCTCGTTAATTGGCGGATGGCGTTGGGCTAAAAACGAAGCAAGATCAAACTCAAAAAGAAAAATACGGTTTGGCGGGAACTGAATGAAGTACGTCACAAACTCTGACGGTACGGTACCGTATTTACGATACTGCCCGAGTCTTTCGCAGTTTGCTGCCTTCCTCCGCCCAATCTTCGCTCTTTTCTTCTCGTTGCGGCTCTCTTTTTTCCTATCTCAGACCTCAACTCAACCCTCAACTCTCAACTCCCCGCTTCTCCTCCCTTCCTCTCCCATATCTTCTTCTTCTTCTTCTTCTTCTTCTTCTTCTTCTTCTTTTCCCCCTTTGCCCCCTCCCATTGAGCTTAAGCTCTATTCTTTTCGTTTCCCTGTTCTCGCAGTGGAGAGCTGTTTCCCTTAGACATATCTTCTCATTCCCTTCCTCTTCCCGCTTCCACCATCCACTCCCGTCTTATATAAATAACGCCAGGCGGTGTGGGCCCTTTCTGGCTCTGGATCTGGCTCTGGCTCTGAGTTTTTCCCCTCTCCCAGCCTGGCTGGTCCCCCCTGAAGTTTTCACGCGCACTTTTTTGTTCTTGTTTTTTTTTTTTTTTTTACTGCTCTCCTCGAACTAAAAACCGAAAGTAAAATACCTAGGCGCAGAAACCTTGGTAACTTACGTCTTCATAAACCACCCTCAACTCCGTGTCGTCGTCTGCCAACGGAGCCTCAGGCAATCCTCTCAGCAATCCTATGCAGCAGAATCCCTCCTCTGCTGCTTCTAACAATAATAACAACAGCAACAACAGCAACAACAACAACAGCAGCAGCAGCAGCAGGCCAGCTATGCGCTCGAGTTCCACGCTCAAGACCAGCACTGATGGAAGTCGACGGCAGGCAGCCAGCCCAGTCGACGGTGCTCAAAGGTATGTCGTCGTTCTCGTTGCCATTGTCTCTGTCGCGGGAGCCGCACCTTCCCATTATCCCATTCCCCATTCGTCTCCATCGTCCTTTCCCCCTTGGCAGCCGTGGCATTGTCTTTGTTGTCGTGTTACGACTGTGGCCGTGGAAGGAGCCAAGGAGGTTCCAGCTTAGGCGTTGAGCCTCCTCATGCCTTCCAAATTTCCGCCAACGCCCCAGAGCTTTTCTTCTTCCACACACACAAACACGTAAACTCACCACATGCACACACACAAACACAAACCTCTACACATCTACAAAGCCTCCAGTTGATTCCTCTTCCTGCTTCTCCGTGACCTTGCCCTTAGTCCGTCAGATAGGCGCTGAAACATTCTATGTCTATTCTCATTTCTTGCCATGTTCGCCTCGATGTCTTGAATCGATTTTGCCCTCTACCACGAGCACGTTCACTGACTTTATTCCTCCGTCCTTCGCATATATTATAGGCGTAATAACCCCCCAAAGGCCTGGACTCAATCCACAAATCCTCTCACCCAAAAGCCTTCCTATCCAAACCAGAACGGAGGAGCTCCTCAGCGGAAATCCACAATTTCTCCGAATCCAATGGCGTCGTCGTCGCCGAACAGGGAGTCAAATACCCCTGATATGCATGCAAATGACCGCCTTACCTTCCTCTTAGCTGCCTGCATAGTACGTCCAGTCCTTCTTTCCCTTACCGGTCCTAGGCACACACACACATGCGTCGTCGTTCCTCTACTAACACATTCTGTTTGGTAGGGTTTAAATGCAACGGTCACAACTAAAAGCGGAGAGAAGTTTTCCGGTATTTTTTCGGGCTCGTCGTTGGAACCAAATGACTCTTCGTTTGCATTGAAAATGACACAACGTTGCTCCTCCCCACAACCAGACCACAGTCGGTCGAATGGCCTCAGTGATCATTCCAGCCCTTACATTGGGTCAGGCGTAGATCATCAAATGATTTTCGATGTTCAAGATGTTGCGGATGTCTGTGTTGAAAACGTCTCGACTGTCGGAATTGCTGCAAAAGAACAGAATGGTAATTAAGACAGCCTCTCCATCTTTTACCACACACATTTTAGCTAACATTCGTTTTACTAGGAGCTCCCACGGGCTTCAAAACAGACACGGACATCTCTGGCGGCCAAGCAGTCCGAGAAAGAGAACTCCAACGCTGGGAACCCGGCACAGATGCTCCTGTTGACTTGTCTTTGGAGAGCGCAGGCTCGACTAGTTGGGACCAATTTGAAGTAAATGAACGCCTTTTTGGGGCCACTACAAGTTACGACGAGAATCTATACACCACTCGAATAGATCGTTCGGACCCATCATATAAACGCAAGGAAGCTGAGGCAGCTAGAATTGCACGTGAGATCGAATCCAGTGAGACGGATAATGCCCATTTAAGGGAAGAGCGCGGTTTAGTCGCTGAAAACGATTACGCAAATGAGGAGGATAAATACAGTGGTGTTCGTCGTGAGGATTTTCCCCCTCTCCAATCCGGACAACCAAACAAGTATACTCCACCTGCAAGGCGTGCACCCACAAGCCACCCTACTGTTCCCGGCGCCCCGGTTGATCCCGCAATCATTAGTGCCCAAATCGCGCGCCCCGACATACCACCGAAGCAATCAAGCCAGCCCAAGATCAACATCACACCTTCACAAACTACTATAACTACTTCAACTACCACTACTGATGCGGTCAAGGATAAAGCACCAGAAACAACCAAATCCGCCCCATCTCTTAAACCCCCTACAAGTTCCGAACAGAAACAGGTCTCCGGAAAACCTACGTCGAATTCCAATGTTCCTTCAAAGCGCAATGGAGTCGAGAATGCATCCTCCAACGTGGAGGTAGAAGTACTTGACCATTTCCGGCAGTTCGCGACCATTGAGAAGATGAAACTCCAAGAGCGTCGTCGGAATCAAGCGTCCTATGATCGGACGATTAAACTCAATGAGCTGATGAAGTTTTCTAAGAACTTCAAACTTGGAACGCCTGTTCCAAAAGATCTTGTGCCCATCTTGGCCAAGGATCCTAGTAAGCAGGAGGAAATTATCGAGAAAGCACGCCGGCAACACGAGGAAAAGCTTGCAGCTGCCGCCGCCAAAGCAGCTGGTGCAACCCCTCCAGACGCTTCGACTGCTACTGCTCCTGCCGCTGAACAGAAGCCCACTGCGCCTCGCGCTTCGGGCTCTTCCCGATACGATGTTGGCGCGGTGCCACCGGTGGCACCGTCAGATCGCCAACAATACCCCCGCGGCCGCCAAGGGTATCCACCAATGGGCCCTCATAGTGGCCTAGGAGGACGACCGATGGGACATCATACAGCGCATCCGGGGCGGTCGGGTCCTGGTCTTCTTAGCCACCGCCTGGCGGATATTCAGCAGCAACGTAAAGGCGGAGCGATGGGTCATCCTATGCCTCCCCCTCTTCCTGTTCAGGATGGGCGTATTCCCCCTCACGGACCCCTTGGTGGAGATCAGTGTAGTCTTAATAGCCCTCATAAATCGGTGCAGAGCCCAACGTCGGCTACTTCAACGAAATTCAATGTCAGGGCACACGAATTTAAGCCTAACCCAGCTGCACATACCTTTACTCCCGGAGGCACATCTGCCATGACATCAGGCCCAGCTAACGCTAGGCCACAATCGATTTCACGTGCTGCTAGCCCATCTGCCTTTTTTGGTGCAAAGAAACCACTACCGCCATCAGAACGGCCCTCAATTAATGACCACTTCAACCCAGTTAAGCGAATGAAAAAAGAGGCAACAGAGCAGAGTACTACTAAAGACTACGCATTTAATGGTGGAATTCCCCAAGCGTATCGGACTCCGCCTACCTGGGAGGTTGCTCCGATTAATGCTGAGAAAACTTACGCTGATATGTTTAAAACACCTACCCCTGTACCTTCGGCTTCCCCGCAACGGGCTGCATCTAATCCTCAATTGCCACATCAACATCAGCTACCGTTTCACCTCCAGCACTCAGGTCCTCCAACCACGGGTCCGCCTCAGGCTCATCCACACCCCCACGCACAATCACACCACCCATCAGGACCCCCACTCTTTGAAGATCACCATCGCATGCACATGTCTGCTTCTACTTCGCAAGTATACCCATCGCCCAGATTACAACAAACCCCTGTGGCATACCATTCTCCCATGGGACACCATGCACAGCTAGCATATGGACAACCGGTTCCACAGTTCTACACGGCCCAGGGCCCGCAACCCGCTCACATGCGACACTATCCCGGCGGCCCACAGTTTGTTAACCCGCAAAACGGCATGGGAGCGCCCATGATGGTCCAGCAGCCTTCGAACGGTCCTTATGCAGGTATGCCACAAGGTATGGGTGTCCCATACAACCCACAAATGCCAATGTATTCACCCAATGCCGGCCATGCCTACCCGCAACATGTACCACCGCCACCTCAACCACATAGTGGCTACCCCAGCCCAAGCCGAGGTGCACCTATGATGATGCATCAGGGCTCACAACAGGGCTCGCAACAGGGCCACCCTCCTCAGCCTATCATGTTTATGAATTCTAGTCAACATGGACAACCCGTCTACGCCCCACAGCAACCAGGTTACAGTGAGTGAACTCGACATATTTCCATTCTTTTCATAGCTCCCAATACTCGCCATGCTAACTATTTGAAAAAGTTCCTCCAGTACGCGCTGGTTATCCTCAACATCAGCAGTCTCATTTCAACACCAGCCCTCACCAAACACACCATTACCCACACCATCAGCATAGAGCCCAGAACAATACTCACTACAATCAAATGCCACACATGCATCATCCCCACATGGCGCCGCAAGGCCCCCCTCAGAACGCACCTGCTGGACCCCATCCTCCAGAGGCTGTTGATGAGGTGAAATGAGAAGTTTCAGTGGCTAAATTTACGGCTTCCTTTTCCTTCGCTGGAAACAACCGATTGTGGCATGAAAACCACAGAAATGCTCACTTGCCATTTTCCTTTTCCGGAATGTTGCGTGCAGTGGCGGGACTAGTAACTTGTGCTACGTTGCTTCTTGCTATACTTTTTCTTAACCCGGTTATATTTTGGCGGCGCAGTGTTGATTGATATTTGCTTTTACTGGTCTCGTGTGGTGCGGTTGCAACATTCAAAAAATGGTTAAATGAATATACATGAGCGGATTGCGCGGAGTGCTCGTAGTAAGCTTTTGTTGATACATTCTCTCATTCCTCTCTGTCCGTTTATGCAATTCTAACAGTGATACAGGAACTTGGAGGTGAGATTGATCATATACGAATATTCGCCGCTGGATGGAAGAAGGTCGCTTTCCTGGACGAATCAAGGGCTTCCGCGCCTAACGTAGGCGAGGCGATCAGCTAAAAAGCTTTGAATCGATCCCTCGCTGGAATATATACCGTGACCCACAGGATCGGCGCAAGCCAAACCCTAGCCACTATTGAGGTCACTAGCTGGTTCGAAGATATTGAAAGGGGAGTTCGATAGGGCATCCCCCGCCGGTGGAGGCCATTTTAAGAAGGATTGCCGTTCAAAAAGAAGCTCGAGGTCGATATCCTGACTAGAAAAGGGGGGTTGTTGGGGGATTTGTTGATATATAAATACTGTTATGTGATGCAGAAGAAACGAGCTCGGGCTTATGAGCGCGGAAATGAAGGCGGCAATGGTGGGATGTATGAAATTGATGAGGCGAGTGGGATTAGATATTTTTTCGAGGCAGGCCGGAGTGGGATGTCACTGAGAGTATAGCTGTTGGCTTTTAGTACTTTTTTTCACGTCTTTTTCTTTCCGTGTGAGGAAGATGGGGACAACAAGGAGGAATGATGTGGTTTTCTCGTTGATTATTATTACTGCTACTATTTTAGTTAAATGAATTTTTGTTTCCGAAGAGAAATGGCCTCTGCCTTTGAGCTACATAACTGCTTCTCGCCGTTTTTTGACCTTCAGAAACGCAGTTTGCCTTCTCCGAAACGGAAAATGTGGCATGGAAGGGAAATTGAACAGCAGATAAAAAGCTTCAATAACCATCTATATATTTTATTTCTTAATCATTACTAGTGCTATTCTCATCCGTATAAAGATGAGAGATTTGAAATATTGTGTTTTTAGAGCTTAATTATTAAATGCTCTGCTTGAAGGATTTATATATTTGTTATATACTTTTTTACGTTCAAATTCTGGATATACTCCACTCCGTACATATATATGTTAACCATTTTTTGAACTCCATATGCGTATGTTACGTGCATTTTTCATATCGTGTTCTGTTCCACACATCTAGGGGATGCATGTAACCTATCATCCTATGTGGCTAGGTTACTTGAGTAGACTGGCTGGCTACATGGTATCACTGAACTGGCTGGCTGGCCTGAAACGGAATTATCCTCATTCTATTAGTTAGATGTAGGGCATATTGTTAAAAACTGAATTGCCCTCCGGCCCCCTTTCTCATTTTTCTGCGTCCAGGTTCCTCTTTTCCAACACGTAGCTTTTGAGATTTGAAGGGTTGCCGCCCTAGGGGGGTGAGGCGTATCGAGTAAGGGAGAGGGGAGGGGGGAGAAAAGGTTAGTTCTGGGGTGGTGAGAATGATGGGTGGGTTAAATACTTCAATATTTCAATAGCTTCCATGCATTCGCTGTGTAAAGAAGGATGCGGGACGTGGCGTGCTGTATGGGAAGATGCTGTGAGACGTTTTTGGGAGTTGACGTACATGTATACACGTGTATACGATGATGATCGTATTGCGTGTATGGTGGTGCAACGGAATGAGTATGTTGTTGATTTTCTGGGGTGGATATTGTTTTACTCCGTCCCCCTCTTTTTTTTTTTTTTTTTTTTTTTTGGGTCTTACTTTTCTTTTGGTTGTTGCTATCAATGTTTGCGGGGAGTATCAGCGCTCTGACGAAGACAGATACGTACCTAGAAACGCACGCTATAATGTTAGCAAATGAAGATGGATGTTTCAAAGCGGTCAACAATATCTTTGACGTTGTGTTTTCGTCGCCCCCTAGGTTTTCTCTCGCTACTCAGAGCTTGCGATTGGGACTGGGGTTTGTTTGGCCTTTTATTCATAGGTCTAGGGGGGGAGGCATGTGAGATGGACATGATAGCCCTAATCCCTTTCAAACTTCTTTCACTTCATTCTTCTCCTCAGGTCTTTTCAGTTTCTATTTTCAGTCATCATTCATACGCCCAGGCGAAGGTTTACACTGGCACATGAAAGAATCACTGCAGCAGAAAAAGCGGTTCTCAGCAAGAGAACCTCTATTGGAAAAAGGCAAATGTGACGTCGAACCGACAATTTCGTTTGCGGGCAGCACGGGGTCTTCAGGAATTCTCCTGGGCCTTCCGCTTTCTCAATCTCGTGGGTAGCCTCGATCCATGACTGAGTCGGCGAAAAGAACAAATATCAAGATAATTTCGCACCAACAAAGTCGAGAAATCCACAATTCCCTCCTCAAGAAGAGAGAGACATATTCTGGTACACTCTGCGTTCCCTCTCGCTCTCAAGCCAATCCCTTTCCTGCTTGATCTCTCTAGCTCCGGTTCCTCGCGCAGTGATGTAGGCAAAATCTTAATTGTCCGCCACTGCCATTAGCTCCTCGTGTCCTCATGTAGCAAAGCGGACAGGAACTCCAGTTAAGTGGTGGTAATTGTTTCTTTGTACACACTGTTATCTTGCGGTTTCTCCAAGAGATCTTCCATGATAACTTCATGACTGTCCCAGTAATTTCACTTGTGGAGACAGAAATCAGATCCCTCTTGCCACAGCGTGCCTGCGACAGTCTATCCCCCAAAGAGAGGAGAGAGGGAAGAGGGGCAGAGAGCAGCAGAAGAAGAGACCGTTTTGAGAGGTAGAGAGGGCGGCGACAGAGAGCCAGAATATCCCGGCCGGTTTGGCGATCGGGATCCCACGACTCCATAGTTCAGAAAAAAAAAATGAAAAATCCGCCTTATCAGTCATAAAAGAAGGGCATGGCCTTTCTTCTGAAGACCAAGAGGAAGAAGATAGAAGAATTATACCTCGCAAAAATTGATGAAACTTGTCACGTCGATGTCACATTTGCCTTATCCGGTAGGGGTGCGAGTACCGCGTCTCTCTGTGCATGTACCAAAACTCTTGCCTGGCGTTTTTTGGGAGTCTGACCTTTTACCAGTTTCGCATCATAGGAGATTCTTAGGAATGAAAAAGGGGGGGAATAGGTTCGCAAGTTCGTCTCTTGAGGCAGTGGGGAAGGGAATAATAATACAACATAGCAGAGGCGGGGGCTGGGAACTGACCTTTCTAGGAGTTGAAATGTACGGTTCGTAAAATGAATAGAGTGGGTTAGGATATAATCATAAAGCTAGCTATTTCAAAAACGTAGCTTTTCACTCTAGTGTTGGTTATCGAGAAATGGAAAGTTGAGATTTGTTGCTGTTAAAAAGTACTTTGAGATCGCGAACAGTTGCGGCGGCAAAAATAGCCATATGTAAGCGCTAAAGTAAAGCGCTAACCCAATCAGGACAAATGACAGAACGCCATTTGTGATAATGACAGCTTGGTCGCGGTCCCTTGCTGTTCACACAACGTCTAAGCCGTGCAGATATCCTGATACCCAGTTTTGTTTTTGAGTTTTTATGTCTTTGATGATAATGATATACCGTCTATTTTAAACGTTTATTTGACCTCCAATTTTCTGTTTTCCTACTGCAAGGGGCGGACACAAGAGCCACGATTACCCCTGTTTTGATCTACTTGCGGGGGCGGAATATATCACTCTTCTTTATTTTCTAGAAATGGATTTTCTAAAATCAGCTGTCGCTTCGGCGATTGCCAAAGGCAGCTCGTTTCCGTACAGCTTCGGCGACCGGGTTGATGATAACGACTCCATATGGACACTTCACAATGGCACAAAGCGGGTATGGGTTTAGAATACACTATCCAAACCTGCCTCCATTAATATGCTGGGACTAATCTAGATATTTTCTTTTCGACAATCTAGGAAGATGGCTCATCGTGCAGCATATTCACATTTGATATCGCAGCAAATAAACCCCGCCTACCACTTGCCAAAAACGCAGTTCGCAAACACCGTACCCTTAGGCATCCCGGGGTTGTCAAAGTGCTAGAAACGATAGAGGTGGGGATACCTCTTTTGTCGGGTATCGAGATGCTACTGCAGGAACAAGAAGGCTAACGGAAGGCGTAGACAGACATGAACATTTATATCGTGACCGAAAGGATCACTCCGCTTTCGTGGCCGGTAAAAAGGAGGAGCCTGAGCGAGGAAACCGCAAAATGGGGCTTATTTGCAATTGCTGTGAGTTTTACTACTTATTTGCTTACTGGAAGGCATCTTTTTTTTTTTTACTAATTCTGTGAACTTTTGTAGTCGACGCTTAAATTTATCAACGAAGATGCGTCTTCGGTTCACGGCGCGGTCAGAGTCTCCTCTATATACACAAGCGAAAGTGGGGAATGGAAACTGGGAGGGTTTGATATACTCAGCTCCATGAAGGAGGACGACGCCGTAATATACGTTCGTTTCCCCTTCTCCTGGCCAACACAAAAACACTGGTGATTAATATTGTGGCAGACATATGGTAGCCTCATGCCGGATTCTTCACGTTATGCACCACCGGAGATCACGAAAGGCGGCGGCTGGGAAACTATCAAACGCAACCCATTACCTGCGACGGATTCTTACAATTTTGGGTGCCTTATTTTCGAGGTTTTTAATGGTAGCTACAGAGGGAACGACCAAGCAGGCCAGACCTCAAATGTCCCTCCAAGCATGCATCAAAGTTACAAGAGACTTATGAATCCCAACCCAAAGCTAAGGCTCAGCGTGGCCCATTTCCTGGAACAAGGAAAACGCAGCGGAGGTTTTTTCGAAACTCCGTTAATCCGGCTCACCCAGGATATTGAAAGTTTAGGATTGAAAAGTGAAGGGGAACGGGATCAATTTATTAAGTATGTCCAACGTATCTTCCAAACAACATGGGGGATCCTTTGTCTAATCTAGCTATTCTAGTGAGCTCGATGAGCTGACAGACGATTTCCCTGAGGATTTCTTTAAAATGAAGGTCTTGCCTGAGTTGCTAAAATCTGTTGAGTTTGGCGGCGGAGGACCAAAAGTTTTTGCTTCCATTTTAAAGATCGGCACGAAGCTCTCAGAGGAGGAGTATTCGAGTAAACTTATACCGGTTATCGTACGATTATTTGGCAACCCTGACCGTGCTATGCGTGTTTGCTTGCTTGATAATCTCCCTTTGATGATCGACCACCTCCCACAGAAAATTGTTAACGATAAAATATTTCCCCAAATGGTAAGTTTCATACCGTGGGAACGATTGAATAGATTTATTTACAATATTAACGTCTATTGTTAGGTAACTGGTTTTACCGATATCGCCCCGGTTGTAAGGGAGCAGACTGTAAAAGCAGTACTCGCTGTCATCGGGAAACTCTCTGACCGAACCATTAACGGCGAACTGTTGCGATACCTTGCCAAAACTGCCAATGACGAGCAACCAGGAATCCGAACAAACACGACCATATGTCTCGGGCGAATTGCAAGGAACCTAGGGCAAAGCGTAAGTTCATTCCTTTTTATTCTAACTAATTACAAGCCATTGCTAATACCAACATTTTTATTCAGTCAAGAGCCAAAGTCCTCACAGCTGCATTCAGTCGTTCCCTGAGAGATCCGTTCGTCCATGCCCGAAACGCAGGTCTCCTTGCTCTAAGTGCAACTCTAGACCTATTTACTGAAGAGGACTGTGCAACAAAATTGTTGCCGGCAATTTGTCCTTCTTTATTGGACAAGGAGAAGTGAGTATTGCCATGCCAGGCACCAGGCGCAAAAGTAATTTTCACTGACTGATGAAATAGGCTTGTCCGAGACCAAGCAAACAAAACGCTTGATTTATATCTTCAGCGCATTCGCAAGTTTAGTGCATCGATGCCTGATACAACGTTACCAGCCCAGAACCTCTCTGATACTCATGTCGCAGTCGCTGCACGGATGGGTACGCCAAATGACACATCCTGGGCAGGATGGGCAATTTCGTCATTTACGAATAAAATAGCAAGTGCGAAAGGTGAAATTGAGCCAACATCTAATGGCAGTCAGTCCGCTGTTGCACCTGCAACTCGAGCTTCGTCAATGCCGCATACAGTGAGATCGTCGCCATCTGCCCAGGTAAATAAATCAAGCGAAGCCTTGCGGCTTGGTGCACCACAAATTTCTCGAACTACATCGGAGCCTCCACCTAAGGATTCCAAGTTGGAACCTGAACATGAGGAAGAAGACGCGTTTGATGCGTGGGGAGCTATAGATGATGAGGATAACGAAGATGATGGGTCCGACGCCTTTTATGACGCTAAGGGATCCCCTTCTCCCAGTCTACCTACAACATCTACGCACACGCCATTCGATGACGGCGGAGAACCCGATTTTGCTGGATGGTTAGCCGCCCAGTCCAAAGCCAAATCTAAAAGGCCATTACCCAAAGGGCTCTCCAAATCCACCAACACAAAAGTCGCGGGTGCCACACGGCTAACAAGCACATCGAAAGCATCCGTCCCGAGCAGTAAGAGCTCGTCTGTCAAAGGTAGAACGTCCTCCCAACCAGCTAAAACGATCGATACGAAGCCGAAAGAAGACGCAGGCGAGGATGACTGGGGCGATGCTTGGGATTAACAACTTTAGTCTTTCTGTTTTTAATGAGAAGTTTACCTACTTGCTCAAGACTGCGTCTGCCTGCAAGTTGTCTACATATCACATTAATTCATATTTATATATGTTGCACGAGTGCAGCCGTTAGCATAGCGTCTTTGGTAATTGGATATATAGAGAGTACATACAGCTTACATGAAATAGTGAATTGAAGACATTACCTAAAGCCGACCCGCTTCCCGAATAATGTACCATCAACAGTGCCGGTAAGTTAGGAAGTATTAGTTGTCAAAGGTTGTAGTCGTGTGACAGTTCTCAGAAGTGACGTGAGGATTAATCTGTGGATACAAAACTACGAGTTTCCCGCTGAAAGGTTCGCAAACCACCAATGACTGTCGGCACTTTTAGCTCAAGATTTTTAAAAATTGATTTACAATATCAAAAATAAAATGAGAGAAGAATGAACCAAAATGGGGAAAAAAAGGAAAAAGAATACTTCGTATATGCATCATCCGTGAATCGAACACGGGCCCCATCGAGACTCGGTGACTCGAAAGTCATGGCAACGATGGATTCTACCACTAGACCAATGATGCTAGCTTGTTGAAATGAGCCTCTCGCCACCTAATTAATATAGGCCTCGTTCGATGACCCCCTGCTGGCATTAACGGCTACCTGCGCTATCTCGACAAATATGGATACCGCCACCCTGCATTTCTTATTTTTTTTTCTTACTTTTTTTTTTTCTCGGTCGGAGTCAACATGTTTTCTTTGTTTCGCGCTTATGCAAATGCAGCTAGTCCAACCCTAACCTTAACTTAAACTTAAAATAAAAGTTAAAAAGAATTTTGTCCCATCTCAAACCCACAGCTACGTGATTTTGCTCAGCATCATTCTCCACCGACCAAACATTCATCTAAGGCAAGATGGCCGAGCGGTCCAAGGCGCCAGATTAAGGTTCTGGTCTCGAGAGGGGCGTGGGTTCAAATCCCACTCTTGTCACCATTCTTTTTTTATATTTTACCCTTTTTTTTGGTGATGGACGGACGCGTGAGTAATAATAGGCCACAAGAGGAATTATTTTGGGGTACGGAGTACATTTTGCGGTCTTGGCCGTTCGTACCCCGCGAGGAACGATGACGTCAACGGGATTGTCGTCCTCACAGCAACCTTCAGAGTTGGCTTCGCCTATGTCATTTTCGTATATAACGACTGATTTGAGCTTGGGTTTCCTCACCTATCTACGGCAGGCTGAGCCACAGTAGGAGTTGGCGTAGCTAACTTTGTGGAAAGATTGAAACCACTCTGCAATAACCCTTGTTCAATAATCATGTCAGCTGGGGGGTCAAGGCCATTGGAGGGGAAGTTTGCAATCATCACAGGGGGTTCAAGGGGTAAATACTTCCTAATTATACTTTATATTAATCGCCGTGACGAATGCCGTCCCCCTTCCCACTAGTTCAACAACTATGTACACCAAGAAAGCACGCGCGCATACAAGAACCAGATACTAACAGATTTTCTCAAAAAGGCATTGGAGCAGCCACTGCCCATAACTTGGCATCGAAAGGCTGCTCACTTCTTCTCAACTATACCTCCACTTCCTCAACGGAGCGGACACTCCAGCTCTGTGAAGAACTGACCAAAGCCCACTCCATCCGCTGCATAAGTGTCCAGGCAGACCTCAGCGAGCCCACCGCAGCAGTCCAGAAAATTCTTGCCAGTGCCCAAAACCACTTCACCAATTCATTCACCAACAGCTTAACCATCGACATCCTAATCAACAATGCCGGCATCGGGGGCGATATCCGCCTCAACGACCCCGTTCGCGGGCCTATCAGTGCGGAATTCTTCCACCACATGTACACCGTCAATGTCCTGGCTCCCCTGCTCCTCACGCAAGCCGTGGCCCCTTACCTACCACAGGACCGATCGGGGCGAATTGTGAACCTCTCAAGCGTTAGTGCAAGCTTGGGCTTTGAAGGGCAGAGTGTCTACGGAGGGACCAAGGCGGCGATCGAAGCCATGACGCGGACGTGGGCGCGTGAACTTGGCGACCGCGCGACTGTCAATGCCATCAACCCGGGGCCGGTTATTGGGGATATGTACTGGGAGGCAGGGGAGGACTTTTGGAAGACGATGCAGGGCTGGCAGGACAACACGCCTGGCAGCAAGCTTGCGGCGGATGATGGGCTTGCGGGGACGGGTGCGGAGAGATTGAGTGAGGAGACTCAGAGGATCGTGTGGGAGAAGATGGGAGGGAGGAGGCCGGCTTTTACGGACGAGATTGCTGGCGTGGTGGGCATGCTGTGCACGAAGGATGGGCAGTGGTGTACCGGGAGCGTGGTATGTGCTAATGGAGGGTTGAGGATGAGTATGTGATGCGCTGGATAAAGGGTATCTTTGTAAGAACGGGTCATAGATCTATCTAACCCTGTTGAAGCATGGTTGAAGAAACATGGGTTAATCGAAAGGTATATGATATTGTATGGAGCGAGTATGCATGGTTTTACATCCAGTCCTTGAATAAGTCCATATCTCGAATAGTTTCTCAGCTGTACGGCTTTCGCCAATATTTTGTTTGGCTAGGACAACGTATAGACGCGGCGTCCACCAAGGGAGTCGACTCCGTGAAGGCTATTGTACAGTATATATCGCTTGTATAGAATTTGGAATTTGAACCTTCGAAACGTTAACATAACATGCGATAATTCTTAAGTGGGATCCTCACTAACTTAACTAAGAAAGGCCCTCTAGACCCGCCGATTACTTTCCTCCCCATAATGGATATTATTTCCTAATAATTTCCTACTGTTTCGTTTGTCAACTATCGTGCCTCAAAATGACGCAGGTATTATCTCGCGCAGCGCGAAGGCACCAAGATAATTTCCGGCAAGGGAACAATTTGATGGGATGGGAGTAACCAGCAGTGAAGCTTGAAAGATGTACTCCGTACAGTAACTTCTAATGGAAGAGGGATTGATGTAATATAGCTTTATAGTTATTGGGTAGAGACCTGCGCCTTGTGCTTTGTATAAATATAGGAGAAATAATGTCGCTGCCTAGTTTCAACCAACGGGCGCGGGATGAAATAAATCGTTTAAAATAGCCCTTGGGGCCCTCTTTATCGCATCTTGATAGATTATTTATCCCATCCATCTTTGTATGTAGTTTAAAACTCCTCTTCTAGACATAACTATATAAGAGCACCAAACTCCGCCCGCGTGAGCTTGAATGAAGGCATTATTGTATGCTGCAGCTCAATATGTCCTCGATTCCCAGCATCCCGGATGACGCCCCGCCTCCATATACCCCCATTGACCCGCTTCCCCCGGCTTCGAGCAGCGAGTCTGTCATAGAGGCAAACGCCGCCACAGAGGAAGCTCATGTTGACAATGATGATACCCCGGTACCGACTTACGAGAGTCTTGCCTCTGTTCCAAACTTCATCTCTGCAGTTCCATACTTCAGGGAGCGACCGCCACCGGTTCCGCAACATGCAGAGCCACAGGAGCTTCTCCAACACACCCTAACAATCTATCCCCGAAGCCAACCAAAAGACTACCATCGTTTCCCAAAGTGTCTGCGGCCTCGCTCTGTTGAAATTACCCAGCATGACTGGGACACATTCCTTAATTACTTATTCCCGCCGCATTTAGCTCCCGCCGCCAGTCAGGCTCATTTACCCCGTAAGCTCCGCGCCGCAATTCAGCGAGACCGTAAGGACTGTGCCCAGGAAGGGGATGCCGAGCGTCAAGCCAGGATAGAAGCAGTCTGCGCTGAGTGGAACAGATCTTTCTTTTTCCCCAGATCGACTGAAATCCTTTTTACCTATGTATCATCCTCAGGCCCCCCGCCGTCAACTCATCTCTGCCCAAAGTGCTATCCTTCTGCCGTGAGGTCATTGCCTGTACGGAGCGGCCCTTCCGGCAGTGGACCCCACCTTTCCCGCTCTGCAACGACCCCTTCGTGCTCAAGACAGCGTTCAATCCCCCACAGGCCCGTCGGGGGCAATCCAGGAAATAACTCAGCGCTTACGCCAGAAGTCAGCACTGTGACTGCGCAGCGATCAACCACGATTCCATTCCCGGATGAGAACTGCAATTCCGGAAGGGCGGAAGGCTGGACATATGATCAGAAATTTGCGCCAGCACATGGAATAGCGAACACCGCCAATGCTCTTGTGAATTGGGCGTCGCAATTTAGCGCACGTGCTGAACAGTATGGCCAATGGGTCAGCGAGCAGGCCGCTGCACATGGGAAGCTGCTCGAGGAACGTAGCCACCAGTACGGCCGGATGATTGAAGAGCAGGCCAAGGCTCGAGGAGAATATATTGAGCAGCAAGCCAAGTACTTTGCAGGCATGGGAAAGGGGCGCGGACAGGGAGGAGGAAGAGGATGGGGAAAGGGGTGTCCCGGAGCCCACTGGGGTCACATGGGCCATCACAGGAATCGCTTCAGCTGGGGGAGTCCATGGGGCGGCCATGGCTCTTGCCATAGCCCAGCGGCTACGGGTGCTCCCGCTATCGCGCACCCGTGGGGAGGATGGGAGGGCCACAGACGAAACAGGTCAGCGGGATGTCGCCAACGGAGTGCATCCGTTTCGTCGACATCATCATCGTCCTCATCGTCCTCATCGTCATCATCCTCGTCTGCATCCTCATCGTCGTCGTCTGATTCAGATGCCTCCTTCCTCTCTTCTCTATCCTCATACTCGCAGCGGCACGCTGAAGGCCTCGAAGACTTAAAGGAGAAGATCCGTAGCGTTCGGTGGGAACACGAGCGGTGTCAGGCCCGTTCACGCATGGACATCCAACATTCAAATATCGATTACCTGAAGCAGGAACTCCGCATCCTGAGGACGTCGCACAAGCAGTTTCGTTCCACGAAAAGAGCGAATCGCGGCACCGGCACCCATTTATTTTCGCGCGGTACTGCAAGTAACTCGGGCAGCAACGTAAAAGGCTGTAGCACTACCACTGCCACCAGTGATCTAAGCTCTAAGGAGGCGCAACGGGCTTTCAAGAAAGACATACAGAGTACCAAGAAGGAGTTTCGCACGTTGGTAGCGGGGATTAAGCAGGAGAAGAAAGAGCTACGGCGCGATAGGCAGCAGAGGAAAAAGGAGGCTAAGCGCCAGAAGAGGGAGAGGAAGAAGCAGGAGAAGAGGAGAAATAAAGGCAAATATAAAGGCATGGCTTCTGGCGGGCGCTGAGGTCGAGTCGATTTATGTCTCTTTTTATGTCTATATTTACGACCATGCTTTCTTTTTCTTCACCCCCCGTTTGCTTATATTTGCTTATCTCCTTATTTAATTTCTCCTTTGGATCATTTTTTTTTAATTACATACCATCTTATGGAAGTCGGAAGAATGTCAATGTAATGGCGAAGGGGGGCAGCGTTGAACAAACCAAATTCATATATCATTGTGCAAAATTTTTGACTCTTTGACCTATATCACCCACAGCCCAAAATCAAGCTCCCTTCTCTTGCATGATAGTCTGGCTAACTATCATCCATATCCTCATAATGAATTTCACAATCGCCTAAACCGTAACAAGAGATTATGGACTGTTGTAAGCATGGCCCTAGAAAACAAGTAACTTGGTCGGTTTATCCGAGAAAGGTGTAGACTTTCGGACAGAACTGACGATAACTTCGTACAATCGCCGTCTATATGGGCATATATATCGAAACAAATATTTCGCGAGTTTTCTTCCTCCAGGTGCTTCGTAGATGGTCAATACCAGTTCCAGGTAGGATGTAACCATTACATCCATCAGGCATCCGCCAGATCCAACACACCTCATCGCACGCTCTCATTCCGTTCCACAAGATCACCCACCCCGAGCGCTCTTCCAACCTTAACCCGGAAAACCTTCTCTTTCTCTTTCTCATCCTTCTCTCCAGGCTGCTTCCCCATCTCGCCAACCTCTTCGCCTTCATCAGCGTGTGTATCAGCATCATTATCCGCGGCAGCAGATTCTGTCTTGGTACTTTGTTTCTGTTCTCTATTAGTATTGCCAACACGGTCCTCTTTAACCCAAAACGGCCGCAGGTCCATCCTCATGGCGTACGCATCTTCGCCGTCGGCGTAGTATTTTGACTCGATCTTCTCGACTTCGAAACCTAGCGTGTCGCGGTAGAGGTGGAGGGCGGCGTTGTTGGAGACGCGCACGTGTAGGGAGACATATTCGGCGCGGTGTGATTCGGCCATTGCGCGTTCTGTACATTGATTTTTTTTTAAGAAAATGTATTATGTTAGTTGAGTTAACTTAAGTACGGATTGACCATCGGCCGAGAAAAGGAGAAAACGAAATCTACATACGGCTCATTTTCATCAATCGCTCTGCAATCCCTAACCGTCTGTGCGTTCTCATGACACTCAGACTGGTTATGTGGCCGTGGGCAATCCCATCTGTTGGCTCCTCTTCCATCTTCGCGAGCACGTATCCTACTACCTTTGGATACTCATTTTTCAAGCTGTTATGTTTGGGTCGCACGACAGCGACAAAGCTCAACTGTGGCCACGAAAGGGCGTGGTATAGATAATATTTCAGGAAGTAGTTTTCCGGGAGGTTTGTGATGTTGCAGGTCTGGATCGAGGGGAGAAGCGAGATATAGGAGGGGTATGACGAGAGCGGGATGATGTCAACCATTTTATATTTTATTTTTATTTTTCTGACTTTCTTCCTTTATGTCTCCAAGGTGTTCAGATGGCTGGCGAAGGTGGTTTGACCTGGTCTGTTCCAATTGCGTCGTGTAGAAGTGCAGGTGATAGTCGGTGGTAAGGTAATGCGGATGGTGAGATGTTGGTGGAAGTAAATAACTAGTTACTGCAAACCACGTGAAAATTTTAATAATGTCGTTCACACTGAATATTAAACCACGCAGCAGCTATGAATAGCCGATTATCTACTCTGTACGTATCGCAACAATTAATCCTAGATGATAAGGTAATGTTTTGGTTTTCTCTCTTGTTTTGATACTATTCTATAATATTAGGTGAGTATGGTATCTTGCATTAAGTTTTCAGTACTGCAAACAAATAATTCAAAAAAGGCTCCCACATAACTCCTTTACCTAGGACCGGCCGTGATAAATTAAACCTTGCCAAAGAAGAGGTATCCAACGTGGCGAAACATTCGCTACAAAAAGACAAAAGGAAAAGAAAAAAAACCATAACACCAGTCATCATAGCATAGCCGTCACCATCATTGCTACCACCAGATATACAGGCCACACTTGATTCGAAAGTTGGGAGAATAGCTTGCTCGGTGACGCAGATTTCAATCGACCGCAGCATTTCCCATTGTAGGTCACGTTATTCAGTATTGCCGCGGCTTGGAATACAGAGCCGTTCACAGGGCCCATATTGTAGTGATCCACTAGGATGAAGTTCGGTGGTCGCCCCCATTTATCTGTTCTCAAGTCAGCTTCCGCGTTCGAATTTGTGAAATCGTTATGATAAATGGACACCAATACGTACCCGCACAATCGATGCCGGCCTTGCCAACACTTCCAAATCCCTCCACCGCATTCGTCTCATTCAACAGAACAGTATTGGGGACAAGCAGAGATTGACCAGCAAAACTGAGCATTGTGTTCAGATTGTGGCTTGCTAGGTACAGTCTATCTTTTGCAGCCGCCTCACTCAAACCCGGGGGCCTTTGAATATCGCAGGGGAACGATATGTCGGTGGGCGAAAATGGTGTCTCCCACATTTGGCTAAATTGATCAAGAATATACGGAACCTCGGTTTGATTGGCTTCGTAGTTGAGGAAGACGACTACTCTTTTTCCAGTGAGGATAAAGTGGGACAAGGTTGGCCAGTCATCTAAAGCCATTGGTATTTTCGGTGGCGTATAAACATAGTCAAGCAGACCGGACTTTTTCAGAGGAGCAATGAACTCCGTAGCAGCGGCGAAGTCGCCATTTCCTAGAAGGATCGTAAGAACGTCGTACGGGTTTTCTCTGAGCCATTCCGTCACGTTAACGAAGTAATCGTCTAGAGTTCCGACGTCCAGGAGATCACAGGACGAGTGGCATAGACGGAAAGTGCCGTCAACAAGATGTGTTTGGAATTGAACTGTGGTGAGGGAAATAAGTTTTAGCAATAGCCAAAATAATACTTTTATTAGATGAATATGCCAACTCAGTGAGAACTCACGCCCCCGAACTCCATCGTTCAATTGAATAGTCACTGGTAAATTTTGGTTGCTGGCAATATTCCCTTGACGGACGAAGGGGCTGTTATGGGCAGCTACATTTGTAATATTGCTGTATTTCCGCTCGCAGAACTCCGAATAGCCATTGCATGGACGAGTATTTGTGGGCTGAGCTGACACTTAGTAGCTGTTCTAGCATTTCCGACAAGGGTCGTTTCGTTGGCCGCTAGGGTACTACTGACCACTCCGTTGCTGCCCACAAGAAGAGTATAAAAACCTGAAGTGGTTGTATTGGGTAGACCGTCGGCAGTTTCTGTCTCGACCGCTCCCGATCCTGTTAGCGTTACTGTTGATGAATGACTTTCGCTCGGAAGACCATCCCTTGGAGATAGAGACGGTAGAGTGCTGATGCCTGTGATTTCCGTAGCTTGCTGTGCCAGCGCTATTGAGGCAAAAGCACCCAGCAAGCGGAGAAGCGCAGCAAGGTCTATTCGAAAGGTCATCTTTCAAGCCACGCTGAAACTGTAATTCAAGTAGAAATAGACAAAGCTGCTTTCCACAGAAAGCGCTGGTAACAGGCGATGGAATATCACTTTTAACAACCAGCCCAATGGAGCAATATAAATCTTAATGCCACTAAGTTTTAAGAAATCGAGAAGGCGGGAACGGGAACCCGTTGAAAATGAAATTCTAGCCTTCTCTGGTGGCGAAAGAAATATGGAGACAACATAGAAGATCGTCTACTTATCTGTTAGCTACCTACATAGCAAGAGCTGCAGGATCCCTGGAGAATAATAATAATAGTCACCTAACAGGGCGGGCCATGGAGAGACGGTGGAGACCGTTGATGGAGTCCATATCAGCAACTTCATTATCCCTCTCCCTCTCCCTCTCCCTCTCTCTAAGCAACAAAAGGTATAAGGGTTGCTTCACTGTAATGGTGGAAATATCAATTTGTAAACTCACCAGGAGGCTTGTGGAAACATTTTAGAAACTAGCTATTGAATAAATAAATACTCACCGCCTCACGTCACATAGAAGTTGTAAGGTTTTGGCCAGGGGAAGAAGTTGGAACTTCAGATGACGTTAAGGCTGGGGCTTAGTTAGGTAACTAACTAGTTATTGCCCGATCCGGCAATCTAGCCCTAAGTTCTAACGCTCCAAACCAACTTGTTACTTCGAGTTACTTGCAACACCCCCCCTACTATCTACTATCTACTATCTACTATCTATCATTGTCCCTCCCGCTGTCCATTACTGGCCAACTGCGCTAGAACTGCCCATCCGCCAGGGTTTGTTTTCATATCCGTCTGCCTTAGAGTATGGCTACGCGCGTTCAAACTCCACGGCAAGGTAGCCGAACGTCTATCTGCGCTCCACGGACCACCGGAGCGGTAGTTATCGAGTAGGAATCATAATGCTTGGTTCTCTGCCAGCCATGGTAGAAACCCAGCGTCGCTTGGTTGATCTCGCCACTAGACCTGGTTCATGGTCGAATTTCTCTCGGAAACACTTTAACAGAGGTTCCACTTGAACCCGTGGCCGGGGCGAAACCAGTTTTGTCACTACATAATCATTGACTTTCTTATGACCTTTGTTAAGCTTGGTAAAGCTTGTCTGTCTTCTTTGTGGATTGACAGATGTTGTTAAACAGTCCTACTTCAAGGATGACACGGATGCATACGGCATACGTTCATTATATATGATTTTCTTTTTATTTTCCTACTCAGATATATATTCCTTTTATTTTCTTCCCTAGCCAGGTTTAAGCTACTTGGGTTGTGAATCGCTCCCAGGACGAGCTCACAACTGATATATCATTTTTGGTTGAAGCCCGGACGGTAAGCCCGGACAGTGATCCATTTCAGAAATGAGATTTCTGAGTCCCCTTCGTCGAAGGAAAGCCGAAAAGGACCAGCTTTCTCATGATGTTTCGTCCCCTAAGAGCACGATCGATGCCGAGCACAGTCGAGGTCGCTCCGCCGTGATGATGCACCGTGCTCTGTACTCGTTAATATATATCATTGCGTTAATATTCATTATCCTCGTCCTTATTGGAAGCACAAGCGATAGACCCGTCATCCGGCAGACATTTTTTTTGAAACTCGACGTATCCAATGTTATCCCTAGTTCCGTACCGCATGCTGCCCTCATTAACACCATCGCCAGAACAATCGGACTTCATGATTTTTACCAAGTTGGCTTGTGGAATTTCTGCGAGGGTTATAATGGAAGCGGCATTACCTCCTGCTCGAGGCCGAAGCCGTTATATTACTTCAATCCCGTGGATATCATAAAGAGCGAATTACTTGCTGGAGCAACAAGTTCGTTATTTTTTCCACCCGTTTACCCGCACTATGTTGAATACTAAGGAATCTAATCGAAATCGCAATCTAGTTGCTTTACCCGGCGAGATTGACCAAGCCTTGAGAATCGTCCGCACCGCCTCCCACTGGATGTTCGGTTTATTCATCACCTCCACGGCCCTGATCGTCCTGTGCATATTTTTTACGCCCCTTTCCGTACCATCGACTCTCACTCCTTACACATCCAAACACAGAGCGGTCTCCAAACGGATCTTCATCCCTCTGGTGATTCTTACGTCCCTCACATTCTTCACAACGGTAGTTGCGGCTGTCATCGCGACAGCTATGTTCACCATTCTCAAAATCGTCTTTGCGAGAAAAGCAGCCGAATTCAATATCGAATCAGAACTGGGTGTTCCGATGATGGTGTTTATGTGGCTTGCAGTCGGTTTTGTCCTGCTTGGGTTTTTCTTACATATCCGTAGCATCTTGGCGCGGTGCTGCTGTTGCTGTTGCCGTCGTGGCCGGTCTCGTGGAAGGGAAAATGTTGGAAATGTGGCTGGTATGACCGAGATATATGGGGGCGTGGGAGAAATGCACCGGCCTTCCTAGGGGGGTCGGGTCAGAATGGATGCGTAATGGCCGAGGGAATATTTTTTTTCTATATATAATATTTTGGGCAGTTTATGTTTGAGACTCATAAGGCACTAGTAGAATCTTAAAGGGGAGACCGAGAGTTTGGGCAAGGCTATGCAAGCCATTCCCTGGAAGTAGGAACTTAATGGCTTGAACACAAAGGTTTACAGGTAGCGAACGGTTTCAGGTTAGTTCCCCCTAGAGAAGCTAGATCTGCGATGGGATTACAAGCCCATTGATAAGTTTAACCTATTTCTAAATATGGTTTTGAGACCGATTATTATGTTCACCTCGTATGATTCTGCTCGATCCAAACCTTCGCGAAATTCAGAAATCATCACACTGTGCAAAAGACCGCGCAGGCGCCGTTGGTCCAGCCATTAACCCACAATCAACAGGGAGACATACCCCCGTAATCGCAGACGCCAGTTCCTTGTTACTAAGAAACGCAACTGCATTGGCAACATCTACAGGTTCAACTGTTCTCTTTAACGGATACCATTGCATAGCCTCCTCGAAAACGTTCGGGTTAGCTTCCACGCGATCCTCCCAAACGCTCGTCCTCACAGTTCCCGGCGCGACGGCATTCGCCCTGATACCAAACTTCGCATACTCAACGGCAATTGAACGGGTGAGATGAATAAGCCCCGCCTTGGCAGCGCTGTACCCGGGGTTCCCAAAGACCCCAAGGCCGTTGACGGAGGCTATGTTGACGACACTGCCACCAGTGCGTTTGAGTGAGCCAGCGAACGCGTGAAAGATGAGGAATGAGGCATCGATGTTTAGGGCTGTTTCTCGCTTCCATATCTCCGGGGTTGTTTGTTGCAGCGAGGCGGAAAAGGTCGCGCCGGCGTTGTTGACGATAGTGTGTACTTCGCCATCCATACTGAGGACTTTGCGGGCTAGCTCGGTCACCTGGGTAGGCTCCGTGATATCACAGATTATAGAGGTGAACCGCTCACTCCCCTCGGCTTGTTCACCCTGTGTTTCGACGCTTCTATTTAGCATGGTGGTGACTTCGTTTGCTTTTGCTTCGTTTATATCTACCAGAACCACGCGATCGTGTGATTCCGCAAGCTTAGCGGCAATGGCCCGGCCGATATCACCCGCTCCGCCTGTTATGACCGCGACTGAGAGCATCATGGGAACCCGTATTCTTCTATAACTTAGCTAGATGAGGCCAGGAGTCGGTATACTTCAATAAAAAAAGAAGTTGAGCCAGAGGCTGATTCTACATTCTCAGCAAAGGCAAGAAGATTTTTGCACGTTTGATCAAGTAGCTGAATCTGGGTAGCGTTGTAGAGTGACGTCCTTGAATGAAAGAGGGGAACACAGTTTGCTTACTAAGGAAGCAGGTGAGTGGGGGAAAATTGGGCTAGCTAGAGCGAACATCCGGTTCTAACAAGAGAATCGCTATAAGGAAACATGTAAACTTTTTTCGAGAACGTATTTGAGTCCAGGAGGGAGTTGATTTCTAGGTCACATCAAGCAAGGCATTTCGGAGATAGGAAAGTGTTAAGAGGAACCAAAAGTTGCCGTTTGTAAAACGGAAAATCAAGGAACTGTGGTGGGTATCTTATACATAAACAGTAAGGATTGAAATACAAATAATATTCAAAGTCAACCAATTCAATATGAATAATGCGCTGTGGATAGAAAAGAGAATGATGGGTATATTTCGCCTAGCTTTCTATTGATATGCCGCGCTCTAGTTCTGCTTCTAGTGCTTGGGCCAGCTCATCGTTATTATCATTACAGTCAAGTTGCAGTCGGTCGGTCGTCGCTTCAGAATTTGTAGAGCCACCCGATGTGGCTCCTGTGGCAGAGAAAACCGGCACTGTGGTTGACAGATCTTTACCAGGCGTGTGTGCCGATTCTTGCCTTGAGCCTTGGCCTAGAAGGGGAGGTGCTGGCAGTATACGCCTCGGGGGACCGTTTTTGTTTCCGAGCCAGTGATATTCTTTGCGACGCATGGCATTTCGAAGTTGTTCTGCAACATGGTTTCTGGAATGTTCCTCAGCAATGGATGAAACGGAAGCCGCGTCGTTACTAATGTGGTTCGTGGGCTCCTCACCAGTCAAATCGATGGTGATGGGAGTTGGCTGAGATGTAGCCTGGGCTGTTTCTGAGGGGTCGGGTGGTAGGTTAACGGATGAGTCTGATATAACAAGTTCCGGCTGTGGTGATGGCAGTGGGGTCGGATGTCCAGGGGGAGGGTATGCAACTGGTGGCAGGCGCCCAGGGATCTGGGCCGCTTGGAGTAGGTGTAAATGCTGCACTAGTCCGTTGTATGCCAAGGCGAGGTTGTTGTATTGGCCACACCAGTCTTCAGCTTGCTTTCTAAACTCTTCGGCCTTCCTTTCTTGAGCTAGAAGGGCCCGCTTTAGACGGAAAGGCTCTTCTTTCAACGTCTGTTCCTTAGTTCTCCCGGTTAGAGGGTCGACAGTTTTCCATTCAACCCACACATTTTTGTACCTGCGTCGTTCAGAACTAACCTTTCGGAGTTTGCGACGGCAGTCCTCTAGTCGCTCTGCCATATCGTCTGGAGCAACCTCAATACATCTAACATGTGTTGCTGGAGCAGAAGGAAAATACCCCAATGGCCCGCGGTATTTGGGATAGGGAGAGATATATCCCTGAGGCTTCGGAACATGACGAAAAATTTCTCGATAGCGGGTGGCAAGTATATCCTCCTTTTCAAGACGAAAATTTTTGGTGATATCGTTTTCGACGAATTGGATAGCGACGGTCACATCCTGTGGTGAGCAGTCTTCCTCTCGATGCTGAGCCGAATTGGTTTCAGAGACATTTTCATGTGCAGGAGCAGAGATTGGGGCAGTACCCCCAAACAGAGAATCAAGAGACAACTCCCGTTCAGAATGTGGCTTGGCAGAATCATGAAGGTCGTACAAATCAGCGGAGAAAGGCGTCATAGAAGAACAAATTGAAGGACGGGGTGTGCTAGTAGTGGTCTCTGAATCCTGTCTAACTGTTTGTGAATCTTCGGAATCACGACCTGACGCGCATGAACCAGGATTTTTGTCATGGTCGACTTCGGCTATTTGATTGTTTGGTGGTACGGAATTATATACCGTATTAGAAGATGAAAAGATGTCTAGGTCATGAGAGCTTCCATAGTCCGCGGATCTAGCGGTGTTTAAGATGTCGAAGTCAAATCCAGTGGGGGATTCGAAAACGGACAAGAACTCGGGGATCTCAGTGAGGTCTGGCAGTGTGAAATCAGGAGGTAAAGCAACAGCACTTGCGGATTGGAAATTTTCCCACTCGCGATAACTCGATGTAATCGTGGCACTATCTGGTAATTCATCAAAGGGGGAGGTCTGCTCGACGTGCAGTTTCTTTGTGGGTGGTGTAAAATTTTCGAGAGTAGAATTAGTCGGCCCAGTGCTATCGTCATCAAATGGCCTTTTTCGACAGTCAGACTCGTATTGATTACCCACTGGATTAACAAGCGGGGAGTTTATATCCTCCACATCCTCGGAGGAAGTTTGAAGCTTATCCTTATCGCCGCCCTGGAGAGTTTCTGGAATGTTGCTCGGCGGGTCCGACGCATTCTGTTCATTTCTGTAGGAGGAAGGTCGGTACTCCTGGGGCAGGGTATCCATTAGATGATTTTCCCATGATAGCTCGAACGTCCCATCGTCGCCGAATAAACTATCCAGGCTTTGTTCACTAAGCTGGGTATTTGAGGGAGCCGGTGGTGAAGCCGTAAGCTGGTCGTTTGCCTCAAGAATTATTGATTCCTCAGAGAAAATGGGACGGCCCTTCTGTTGCTGTGATCCGGGGAGATGTGTAAGTCCCAGAGCTTGATTCATAACAGGCTGACAAGAAGAAATAACTTGAGTGTTGTTTGGAGAAGGATGAGATGAGCTTTGTAAAGAAGCATAAATACCTTCTATGGCCCAACTATGACTATCCATCGCCTTGATGAATGGCAGAGCCAACGTTTAATAAGCAGGAGGAGCTTGACGGATCATCCACCATCCACGGCTCCTATCTGAAATTTCTTTTTAGACTGCCCGCCACAGATGGGGAGACCTCCGACCAACGCCCAAGAGAAAACGGACTGGTCAATGAAATCTCTATTTCAGCAAATGATTATGCAGTGTCATCCACCGCTGCAGCAAGGCGGTAATTTGGAAGCACGTATCATATCATCCCAGACTGATAGGGCTGGCAAACCTGAAGTGGACGTGACGATGGAGTTTTGTTCGGGAGTTACATTTTTTGGCGCGTCGAGTTCTGATCTAACCGCTTTGGGAAAGGTGTTTTTTGGTGCCTGGAAGGTACGCATTACATCAGCACCTCACGTGTTAACTAACATTCGTCTTGCCCAAGGGCCCAGACCGCTGATTCGGACGAACCCGTCCATCTTCAACGAATGCGAATGCCATCAGGAAGGAATATACTGTCGTCGCATTTCTATATAGTTACTTGGCAATCCTTCTCGATATCGGGAAGTCTCTCTATAATAGCAATATGAGCGTCATTCTCTGTACTGGTAAGTTTCCCACCACCCTCATACTTCCAGGCTGCAACTGACCTCCTTTCGCCAGCTGGGTATGACCACACAATCAGGTAGGCTTTGAACCTTTTTCGCGACAGGTGAGACGCGCGGGGGACTAATTGGTATTTTTGACAGGTTCTGGGAAGCCCTTTCTGGCATTTGCTCGCGAACAATCCAACATTCAGACTCCCAAGTAAACCGATTATGTATTACTCCGGACAAGCGATATGTCGCCGCAGCGGGACGCGACAATGTGAAGCTATACGATATCAAATCTACAAATCCAAACCCAATAATGACGTTCGATGGACACACCAACAATGTCACCGGGGTTGCATTTCATTGTGAGGGAAAATGGATGGTTACAAGCTCAGAGGATGGGACGGTCAAAGTCTGGGACACGCGCATTGGAACTCTGCAGCGCAACTATGTACACCAGGCGCCAGTAAATGATGTTGTGATCCATCCGAACCAGGGAGAGTTGATAACGTGCGATCGTGCCGGATTCGTTAGAGTCTGGGACTTGGGAGAAAGTAAATGTACCCACCAGCTTCAACCTGAAGAGGACGTCGCAATGGCCAGCGTGAGCGTCGCGAGTGATGGATCTCTGCTGTGCGCCGGTAACAATAAGGTACGGGATTTCCCTCTCCGCTTTTTCCCTTGAGGGAATTTTGTTCTAATCACCAACTGAATCGTAGGGAAATGTATATCTTTGGCGTATGGTCCAAGATCGTGATCTAACCAAAATCGTCCCATTTATCACTTTCCAAGCGCATAAGGACTACCTAACTCGAGTGCTACTTTCTCCTGATGTCAAACACTTGGCGACATGCTCAGCAGATCATACCGCAAAAGTGTGGTCACTAGATCCGACTTACGGTCCGCCCAGTGATGCCGAAGAAACAAAACAGAGTGCCAATGAGGAGACGAACAACGAGAAAGCACAACCTAAGAACGCTCCTGCGGCGGCAACGGACACGTCCCCCATCACTAACGGCCACAATGGCGTATTAAGCAGCGATGGTACGTTTCGCGAGCATATACTTGGTGCTTGCTGATGCGTGTATATATATATATATATATATAATATTCTGAGATAAGCCATCCACTAACATATCCTTTAGATCTATTCCTAGATCCCTCCAAAGAAAACATGCCCCTTACAGACACCAACGGCTCGACAAATTTGTTCCCAACCCCGTCCGACGCGCCCATAGACCCAAACACCAACGCCCCATATCTCGAGGCCACATTAGCCAACCATCAACGTTGGGTGTGGGATTGCGCTTTCTCAGCAGATTCCGCATACCTCGTCACAGTTTCTAGCGACCACTATGCGCGCCTCTGGGAGCTGTCGTCGGGCCAAATCATTCGGCAATATAGCGGACACCATCGTGGTGCGGTCTGCGTTGCGTTGAACGATTATTCGGAGCCTCGATAGAGAATGACATGGGGACTAAGGTCGGTTGGACCCCCAAGGTCGTTCTGCCATATTGTTGAGCGAACAGACCTTTTTGACAGAAGGGGGTTGTTATTCTTTTTACGATTTCGTAGCGGTTACCCTTTATGTAGTAGTATTTGATTTGCCTAGATTCTGCCTTGATTGGTTTTTGATGTTTCTTCTAATATTCACATGGACAGGTATTTTCATATGTTAGCGAGGCGTTGGGATGGTCATTTACCTGGCACTTGGTATTTTGCTTTGTCTTTGAATTCCGGTGACAGAAAACGGATGCAGGTCTAATAGCTGAAATGGTGAACTTATATAACGGTGTTTCTCTTTGTTTGGAATGTATATATATGTTATGTCTTAGGTGTGCAATCTGGCGATGTGCTTTGTGCAACATGGAGCTTTACTCATCCCCTTCCCCCTCTGTTATCCGCCCCTTCTAACAGGGAGGGTAGTACAGAGTACAAGCGAATACTGATGGGGGGGCAACGTGAATCCCCGTTCAAAACACATCTCTTGGAATTCACTAGGTCAAGATGTGCACTTTTCGTTATCCTAGCCGGCTAGAATCTAGCTAAAAGCAGCAGTCCTCAATGATACAGTCAACATCCAGTATATAAATCGGAAATCTAACCAACAAGTTATATAGGCGAGAAACCAAAAAAAAAAAAAAAAAAAAAAAAAAAAAAAAAAAAAAAGAGAGAGAGAGAGTGAAAATGTAAATAGTAGATAAGAACTTAGGTATGATTTATCGCCCAGATCTATGGCCGCCAGCTGATTGGAGAGAAGAGGGAAAGAAGATAGAAAGAAGAGGGATATATAAGAGACAAAAAGACCACGTCAAAGCACAATCAATTCGTCCCAAACCACACAATATTCAGAACCAAATCCAGCCCCTTATCTTCCGCGTTCGGGTACTTGAACGTCCACATCCCATCACGGCTAACATCCCAGTATGCGCCGGAAGCGGAGTGCATCCCCCGCTTACCAGCCTTCTCGCGAGACTCTGGGGTCTCTAACGCTGTTACGCCTTGTTGTATGATCGTACAATTTACGTTGAAGCGGTATGGTGGGGTTTGGGGGGTATCGGGTTCGGCGTCGTCGGGCTGATCGGGCGTTGTGGCTGCGATGAGTGCTTGGAGGACTGTGTTCTGTTGGTGTTGGGGGTTTTTGTGGAGTTGTTAGCGGGTGAAAGGTGATGGGTTAATTTTTATCATTAACGTTTTTTGAGATGGTGGAGGTATGGGTTGGAAAGGGGGCTGTATCTCCCCGCGTTGGGTTCAGGGAGCGTTGCTGATTTTTTGGAGCGAGAGGGGATTGGGCAGGCATTGGGCACTTTATATTTAATTCTGTTGACAGTATAGGGATGAACGAACGATTATATGAGAGCTCCATTGGCCGACTTGTTCGTGGACGTAGCCTTTAACATCTTCCAATGCCGTGTCGCATGCCTGTGTGAGGAGGAGAAACGTATTAGTAACGCGAATGTGTAAATCAAAGCATTTCGAACGAGCACATACCTCGGTCGCAATTTCTGTCAAGTCCGCAATTGGGATAGGCTACGTGTGTCACGCAGATATCCAAGTCAGTAACAACAACAAATAGGGGTAGTTGGCGCTGTTTATTGGCGCGGAGGTGCTCGGAGAGAGGCACATACAAGGTTGCCCGCACCAGCTTCACCACCCATGATTAGTAGTCGAGAATATGAGAATGGCTATCAAAAACGGAAGCAAAACCTCAATGGGATATATGGATAAATGGTTGGAGGATGCCCTGGACGAGAATTCATATACTGTTAGTTCTCTGCGATGGTGAGGGGCACTTTTGAATGAATGTAAGCTGACATATCCCAGGTAAACAATTCATCCGGTGTACTGTACGCTGGGTAAGCGTAAGCAGGGTCGCAGGCGCTTAGGGGACAGGTAAATGCGATTGGCTGGAATTAGCGCGGAAACCAGGGCAACTCAACTGCCAGCCGCCTTGGAAGCTCGAAGGTGCCAGCAGCCATAGATCGTAAGAGAGCTTGAGGAGATCGAAAATGCATTTCTGTAGCACACATAGTATGCGATTATCATCCCTTGCTCTCGACCAAGCTGCTCTAATTGCCCAAGAAACACAAGTAGGGTTTCCTCGTTTGCAGACAAAACCGCTTTGCGGAGCGGTTTGATGTGATGTCAGACCTCAGCCACTTGCCAGCCACACCAGATCGGCCAATCACTGCCATCATCACTGCCACGTGATAATCGCCTTCTTCCAAGGTTTTCTCTCCAAACCATCATGACCATTGTTAGATCATTAAGCTCGTATGAACGACGCTCGGGAGTCAATTGGGGACCACAGTTTGAAAGCCATTCTTAACCATATATTCATTCTTTTTTAATTTTTTGGGACCGTCTTACCTCCTACATACAATACGATATAATCATCCAATTACTACCCACCCGATTCTGCTGCTGGCGGAGAACGGAGTTAGCGGCGAAAAAGCAGCTTCTTTGAGAGCAAAACAACAAGGCGTTATTTCGCCGTAAAGGAATTTCAGATACCAATTTTATTTATCCTGTATATATTTATCTGGAAGTATGTCGAGCCAGCCTCTCCTCCAATCTGGCCCAGGTACGTTGCTAGTAAACTGCGCCTCCATCGCAACCTTTCATTCAGCGTCTGCATCTTCGCATGTCACCTTTTCCCTATATACGGACTTGCTTGCGCAGGTTACCCTTATTATTACTCTCAAAGCTCTAATTCCTAACTTATCAACCCCACCCTCAGGCAAACGTATCGCCCTCCCCACCCGCGTCGAACCCAAGGTCTTCTTCGCAAACGAACGCACATTCCTCTCATGGCTCAACTTCACCGTAATCCTCGGCGGCCTGGCCCTGGGTCTTCTTAACTTCGGTGACCGCATTGGCCGAATTAGCGCCGCTCTGTTTACCTTTGTGGCTATGGCCGCTATGATATATGCGCTGGTGACGTTCCATTGGCGGGCGAAGAGTATCCGGCAGAGAGGTCAGGGCGGGTTCGATGATAGGTTTGGGCCCAGTGTCTTGGCCATTGCGCTACTTGCGGCTGTTATTGTCAATTTTGTGCTGAGGATTCAGGAGGGGGCGAAGGGGAAGGCGTGAGGGGGCTTTAAGAGTAAGGGTTGTATCTTTGGCAGCGCTGCTGGCTGGTCGTCGCTGTTATGCATTTTGGACCTGGGACTGAGATACCTTTGGATTTTTCTTCACGCCTTTTTGGTCATTATTGCTGCTTGATTGTCTAATTGATGTCTCTCACGAGTTTTGTTTTCCCATGCATAGAGTAAGTAGGGAGGCCGCCTTTTGTTTTCCTTAGTTGCTCTATTTTTAGCCCCCATGTTGACGACTTGCGTTTCCTGCTCTTGGTTTTGCCATTGGATAAAATGTACTATGGACATATATAGCTCCTGATCTTGACTGACATTTGGTTCTATTTATTTTCCCTACTACATATAACAGATTCTTTTTCTTTCTTATTTCACCTACCAACACATTATGTACAGTTCCAGTTTCCCCAACAAGCTGTATGCAACAACATGGACGGTTCAAAATTTCCCTCTATCTCCTCAAGCCGGACACAGAATGACAATCAGGTTCAGGTGGATTCGCTCTCCCCGTAATGGAGACGCCTCACCCTCCTAGTGATAGCTATGCTTTTTAGAATTGATTAGCTTCCGCTTTTTGCTAGCTTCCAATATGACCAAGCTCTGAACGGGATTAATATCTTCTAGATATAGAGGTTGACTGCTTGTTATATCTAAGTATGTACTTGGGCTTTCCGCCATGGATATCATGCCATATACTCTACTCCGTATACTCCCGTATATTTGCATATATATGGGGAGATATTTGACCTATCACCAGGGAGAACCATTCTAGATCTGCGGTCACATGATCTAGAATGTGGCTGCACGCTAATGGTCTATCTGAACAACAAAAATGTTCTGGTCTTACACCACGTCCTTCCACAGTACTGCATGTGAATGCAGCTATTTTGCCCAGAGGATGAGATTTGTACATGTACATGTACATACATGACATAAAATAATGTATGCTCTTCACGGAGAATACATGCATCCATGTATTAATCGTCTCAAACACCTCGCCTCCAAAGGCCTAGAACTAGGTAGCGTCTCCCGGGGTAATCTAGCCAATCTTAGCCCCGTAATCAATCGTGGAGCTCCGTGAAACCGTATTATTACCAAGGATATCAATATTAGCCTTTGGTGTGGCGTGACTCATATGAACAACTAGTAACGTATCGCGCTCATACTGCGTATTCAGCTGAGGGCAAGTGAAGGCTTGACCGGCCGACAATACGGTAAGGCCATACGCTCCCAATACGCAGTCAGTCCGCACCAATCCGAGCCAAACCTGGCCAAGTCGTATTCGTAATACACCCTGGCATAGATAATATTATATATATAGCGTGGTGAGAGCGGAGTTACTACTTTAGGCTGGGCGGCGTAAGAAACCGGTAATATTCCGGGGCAGCGCTCCGTCTGTCTGGGCCGTATGTATCAGCGCAGACGCCGGGAAACGTCTTGTCCCTGACCTGAGAGGACGTCACCTTTCCACCTGCAACTCCTTCCACCGCAACAACCTGCGATACACAACGCAACGCAACAACTCCGCTACAACCACCACCACGACAACCACCACAACTACCACCACTACACTACACCCACTCCTACTACCGCGTAGAGTGGGATATCTTTCGTGGGGAATTCGTCTGGTTGTCCTGATATTGTAATCCCCTCAGCCGGTGTCTTAGTTTACTATCGTCCCAGTCGTTGCACCTGCGACAGAGAAACCCCAGACCTCAATCCTCTGCGCTTCCAACTCTACTCTACAACGACCTAACTGCCTGGCGCTGGTAGTCGTTCGCTAATTTATTTCACCTTTAAGCGTGCTCCTTTTCGCTTCAAGCCGCCGCTCCAGCAGCTGCCACTTTCCCTTCCTTTCGCCCTTATTCCCGGCAAATTCGCGCAACATCCGGCTTCCCTGAATTCGACCCAAAGAGGACCCTAGTCGTGCACAGCAACTAAGATCGTTGTCGCATAACCGATGCACCCGTCTACGTTGTTTATAAGTGCGTTATCGCGGCAGTAGCATAGGGGGTTTGCTTACCTGGCCCCGTCAGAGACGAAACGAAACAGGCACCCGGAATCAGTTGTGGCGACCGGTACATTCTCGTATGGCATGTTTCGATTGCTTCCATGGTCTTCTGCTGTTGGGGGCAATAAAGTTACTGCGGAGGAGGTGAAGATGCTAGCCGCGCCCCAACGGAGATCTCCTATCATGGAGACTCCCGCCATTCACAAGTTGAAGCGGAAACGCGCAAACTCTGGTGATCGAGGCAATCCCGCGCTAGAACACTCCCAACCCTATGCCCGTCCTCATGACGCAAATGGAAATGATAGGAAAACATTATCGCCACATTCACCGTCGCCTGCGATCAAGATAGAATCACCAAAGGCATCTTCGCAACGCGACAGTCCTAGGAACAATTCACTGCGAACTATTAGCCAGTCTACGGAATCTGGAGATGAGCCTCCACCGACAAACCTAGCGAAACCTGAATCAATGCCACCCGCAAGTACAGTCCCAAAAATGGATACGGAAACTCTACGCCGCACGCTTGAGGCGCAACTAAGCCTGGAAATACTCCTGAAACATGATGAACTGCGATTAATTGACCAGGAAATGGCAAAATGCCAGGTCGCACTGGACCAACTTCGTCGGTGTTCCGAAATTCCGTACCCTGGTTCAAGCGTTTCGGGGCTCTCCACCGCTATCAGCAACGGTACTGGAAATGCACTACTGCCCGCTGCAGCTCACGGCCCGCCGTTAATATCACCTTCGCCATGGGGCGTTACTGATGGGCCGTACAGCAGACATTATGCTAAATGGTTACTTCCTGACCCTCGATTTGATGGCGGAGAAGTTGAGACTGCTGTTCCCCCTTTTGCAATTACAGGAGGTGCTCCCGCAGACGGACGGGTAACTCGTGGTTCATGGTCAGAGCAAGGTGTTACTGGGACTTTGCGTTCTCAACGTAGCTCTGCTGGCACCAAACTACAAGCACTATCCAGCGGGTATCCGCAACCGAAGGATAAAGCTGGGCCTATGATAATAAAGCGCAAGAGCGATGGCAAACTTGTCAAGTTAGTCTGTCTTGACTGTAGGAGAGAAAACTTTTCAAGCACCCAAGGCTTTATCAATCACTGTCGAATTGCGCATAATCGGAATTTCGCAAGTCATGACGCGGCTGCTGCTGCATCCGGAGAGCCAGTAGAAGTCGACGGGTCAGGTGCGGTTATTGGGAACAATAACGATGTATCTGCAGGGACCGCTGTTGGATATGTGCATCCTCTGATTCGGTCAGCTCACCTGGTTGGGTCTACTCCGCAACCCGGCGCGCGTCGCACATCTTCTCAGAATCAAACCGCAAAGCGACCTAGTGAAAGCGGAACAACCCGTGGCAGCAGCAATGAACCTCAAAAGGGATCTTCGTCGTTGCAATCTCGAAGTACTCCTAATGGGAGCCGCCCACGACCGCAACAAGTCACCGTTGAGTCTCCTAGTCCATCATTTAAGGCTTCTCCAGAGACTCCCAATCTATCTTCGCTGATGAAGAGAAGAGGAATTGCAGTGGATCTGCTTGACATCGTGGATGATGCTTTGACCAAAACAGAACTGGACATGTTTTCAGAGGATGAGTTTAGCGAAGGAGCGGAAACTGAGAACGAGCAGCCAAATCCTCCATTTAGTGTTCGAGGGAGTAGATTACCCGCCCGAACGATAGTTTCTCCATCTCAACCACCGCGGCCAGGGAGCCGAAAAGGAGCCGACAAACCAAGCCGCAAGCCAAAGTTAGCTCGTCCTCCCAATCCTCCTTCACCTCAGTCTTCGTACAGATCGCCATATGCCCCAGCTTCAGGATCTCCTCATGTTCGTGAAGCCGACCAGCAAAGAAGTCAAAGAAACGACATGGATATAATAATGGCTGATTCAATTTCTGCTGCTCTTAGTCCTCATACACTGGAGTCTAACCAGGCACCCAGCCTAGTCAGTGATGACGAGGATTATGAAGCTCCGTCCGAATCTGAAACCCCGAGCCCCAGCCCTTCAATGGCAAGTGATGAAGGCCCCGATAACATTGAGGTTCGGGATGGTGATGAGGGCAGTGTCAGGGGCACCAACGTAACCACCGCAGCGGCGCCAGATACGAAGCCAGGACCGGAAATTCCGAGTCCTTCCAAACACCATCCTTCCCCAGTCCCTCAAGAAGTGCCGACTTACAAGAAGAAAGCAACCAGTAAGAAGAAGGGTGGGGCGAAAAATACCGGACAAGCACCCAGCGTCCCTGTTCCTGCTTCCCCCGCTGCTCCCCGCACCAACGACAAAGAGCAAAAACGTGTTAGCTTTGTGAGCCCAATGACCACTCCACCAAGAACCAAGAAGGATGGTGGTGGAAAGAGACAACGCCGTGGATAGATTTGTTTGACTGTTTGTAATATTTCTCTCCAAATCTTTTCTATGAATGGTGTATTATCACGCCTTTCCCCTTGTTCCTCCAATCTCCTTGTTCCTCCAATCCCCTCTCCCCCTCTCCTATCCCTTTTCTCCCCTTTCCTTTCCTTTCCTTTCCTCTATTTTTATTTTTATTTATTTATTATTTATTTTAAATAAAGATTGTATATCTTTTCGTTGCTGCAAAGCCCCTTCTGTAGCCAGGACTTGGGAGGTTAGTGTCTGTTTTGTACCTTTAAGCCGCCAACCTACCGAAACTGTGTGACCTGGCAGGTGTTTTGTTTGCATCATGAACGAATTCCCTTTCTAGCGCGCCCTGTGCCTTGTCTCGCTTTTCTTCTTCCGTCTCTGCCTGTTGTTCTCTATTATATACGAGCCTACTTCTTAGCCTTTTTCGATTTTGTCCTTGATTTTTCTCCTTTTCTTCTCACTCAGCAATTTACATTACTGTTTTTTTTAATACTGGGGGAAAGGTCATATGTGGACGGGCATGGCATTACGGAATGTCTTTGTTTTTTTTTTCCTTTCCTGCCGGGGTTTCATTTTGTGTTACCTTTCTTTTTCCACGCTGGTTTCCGGGTTATAGGGTCGGTTTTGGTTGGATATCGGTCTGGGTCTGGGTCTGGGTCTGTGTTCGGCTGGGCTGGGCTGGGTTGATATCAGGGACCGTAACGGATTTATTTTATGGTCACCAACCGGGTGGGATTGTTTGTTCAATTTTTTTTTGACATTCACTGTTTGTTTTTGTGTGTGATTCCTCAATTTGCATGTGTTTTTGTCTTGCCTTTGATTATTTGTCTTTCTTTGTCCTTGTGAAAGCAATAGCAATCCTCTGCTTTTCTATTCAACCTCCCCCGTTTTCTTTTCTTTTTTTTCCATTTCCAATCCTCTCTTATTTCGTCTCTGCTTCATCTATCTCATCTCCCTTACGCTTCTGATGTTGTTGCTCATAAACTATGTGCCCCTCCCATCTTTTATTTTATTTTATTTTTTAACACATGTGGTTTGATCTAAGCGATTTCTTCTTCTTCTTATACATATATTTATCATATACATAGTTATATTGTGGTATTATGTTTAAGATATCGAGCCTTACCAGAGAGAGGGAGGGATATCTAAGAAAAATAACAAAATGAGAAACTTTATGATGTTTTTGAGACTGTAAACTTCTACTAGAAAATGGAAAACTGCATGTACAGTAGTTACAATAATGTATAAACGCCGCTCTATCGTCAGATGCCCTCTTTGATCAAGAATAGCTCCTGAAGGCAGCAACCAACTCCCACTGTATGGGTATGTACTGTGGTTGTCATTATTATATTATCCCCGTTCTCTTGGCGCGCGGGATAACTTATTTGTTTGCGCTAACTATTATTAGCTGGTTACGGGTACAACGCGTAGCATCTCTTGAGTTTCAACCTCGCATCTCATATCTCATATCTCATTTGCGCCCTCATTTTGGCCCATCTTTACATAGCCACCATTTATTATGTCTATTTGATGAATTAGCCCCCAAATCTTCCAGATCTTATGTTGTTTTGTTTTTGTCCCGTGTAAAAAGGCCTCATCAGGATAAATCAGGATAACAGACGCGAGAAGCAAGAGACTGACTGTTTCGCGGTTACGCGACCTATTGTTTGTCAGGAGAAAGTATTCAGGTGGGTTTTTCACATTTAATTTCATTGTTCTCCTAGAGAAGGGCAGACTCGATTGCCTTTGCTTTGAATTCTTTTTTTTTTTTTTTTTTTTTTTTTTTTTTTTTTTTTTTTTTTTTTTTTTAAATTTTCCCTCTCCTATTTCACTTTAAATTGCTGCTGGGTTCATTCATGTTTGTACTTGTATGTACCTTAACAAATTCAGTCTCAATGTGTCTCATTCTGAATTTGAATTTTGTGACTCTCAATTATTCATTTCTCTGGGATGATCTGATCCAGCGTCTGAATATCTTTCTTATCTTATTAGAGATGGATGTGGGTTGTTGATCAAACTATCGATCGAGTTATTTCCATCTGCGTTTCACCAATCTATATATCAGTTTGATATATTCCGGCTGCTTTTTTTCAACTAAGCCTTGATTACTTTTCTCAGACAAGCCAGTTTTCTACAGACAAGCCAGTTTTCTACAGACATCTAGCTATCCATCCACTCTTTTTCTATCGAAGTCCCTAGAGTGGTTGAAAACTGTTGACCTCCTCTAACATTTAAATGTAGGCTGAAATCTGTTGTGTCTAGCTCCCTCGTTTGTTCTGCAAATATTACTACCAGTGTTAGTTACTAGCGAAAGAATAAACCCAAAATCGAAACGAAAACGAAGGATAATGAGATAATGGCTTCTCAGAGCCCCCTCGCACCGGCCAGCATATCCCGTGCCACCATCTCATTTCTCCTATCTCTCTACCCACATACCATCAGAGATTTTTACAGGGCTAAACTGATAGCCAAGTCTACTCCGAAAGCGGGCCCAAAACCTGGTTCAAAGCAGTCCACGGCAAAAAGAACGAATGAAGGAGCCATAGAAGCGGAAGTCGAAGCCTTTTTGAAATTGGATAAACTGCGCTATGAGTCGATTCCTGCTACATTGAGAGATAGGGCTGGCGTTGCCGCTGGCGCCGACACCAGTAAAGACGCCGCGAAAAGACCAAGTAAAAAAGTAAAAGTATCAAAGAACGATGATGCTTCGCCCCTTTCGGGAGCGTTTCTGGAGAAGGATGAGATTGTCAATCTTATGAGCTGGAAACTGTATGCTCCCTCCCTTCCCACCAACCAAACAGTCTGTTTGGTTCCCATTTGTCCCCTCAGCAACAAAAAATGTGCTCATATGTACCATTTTCACAGCAAGCATGGCTCCCACCGACCAGCCCTCATGGGCATGATACGATCAAATCCAGACTCCCTCGTCAAGTCCACTACCGCGATTGCTTTCTCACAACTCCAGGACGCGCTATCTAATACGGGAGGCGAGGCTTTTCCCAGCACTCCGCTCGAGACACTGACGGGGCCCCTGAGGGGCGTGGGGCCCGCCACGGCATCTCTTTTCCTGTCCATTTGCCCATGCCATGCACCGTCAGATGCTACATACAACACGAGTATAAATGCGGCCCCGTTTTTTAGCGATGAGCTTTTCAATTGGCTTTGCCTGGATAAGTACCCGCATGACTTCCCCAACAGTAGTAATAACAACGGCGGTGGAGGAGAAGGTGGCCAGAGATCCAAGGGAAAGTCACCAGCAACAAAAGAGACTAAAATCAAATATAATATGAAAGAATATAGAGAGTTATGGGAAGCGGTGAGGGAACTTAGAGGCAGGATTAATCAGATTCCTGACCAAAAGGAGGGGTTAGGAGAGGGCCGGGGTAATGGGGAGGGCGGGAACGAAAGCTTCTCAGTGTTGGATATTGAGAGGGTGGCGTTTGTTATTGGCCATCTCGGGGTGTCGGGATATGATGAAAGGATGGAGGAGGCATCGACGATGGGGCTTCTAGATGGTGGTAAAGTGGACGATGATCTAGGCGCGGCCGAAACGAAAGATGTGAATTTAGGTAGGGGGAAAAGGAAGAGAGGATGATGCATTTCATAGCGGAGCCTAGGGGAGCGTGCTTGGGAGACAAGCTAGTATATAAACTATCGCCTTACCTGTATATTTCATCTCTAGGTGTATGAAACCGAAGTCAATCTACTACAAATTGCCATGCTTTCATTTTCACCAATGAATACCTGGAGCAAAAGGACGAATTGAAATCAGACCCGAAATAAATAATCTAATAAACTATATTAATCAAGAACAAAGCTATTAAAATTCCACAGTAATTATTTCCACAAGCCCCTTAAGCTTCCCACTATCAGTTTTGATTAATTCAGCACATTCACGCTATATTTCCCCTTGGAACATGCAGCAAAAGTGAGCAGGTTACCCCTGGCAGTTTCAATCCCTCAGGTCAACCACTTTTCAACAATCCTACCAACAGGCTCAAACTCGCCTTCGCCCATACAGCGTCAAAAAAGAAGATACTAATGTCCTCAACCTTAATTACTGGCTCTCCCCCTGCTTCAGTTTGCTGCAAACGGTTAAATCACCCCCCAACCCTCCTCCTTCATACGCCCAAGCCACACCATTTAACTACCAACCCACCCGCCAAGCACTTACATCAAATACCCAACCCCCGCAATCAACATCCAGGCCAGCCCTCCCAACCCCATCTCAACCCCGCTAGCCACCATCGCCGGCGCGGCATTCGGCGTCTCCGTCTCCGACGCTGGACCTGTCCCGGTAGGCCTGCGGCCGCCCGAAGTTTGCGACGCATCAGCATTGTCAGCGGTACCTGAAGTTTGTGTAGCAGTGGGTTTTGAGGTCGACGAAGACGAGCGAGTTGTGCTGAACTGTTTCGCTGCGTTGCAATTGGCGACTTTTGACGATTCAACGGCGTGTCGGCCTTGGTCCTTGGGGCAGTTGTTGTAGCAGCTACATTTTGTGTGTTTGGGGCGGGTTAGTGATTGGAGGCGCGGACTGACTCTTCATGGAACTAACATGGAGGTAGAGAGGGAGGGGAGCGTAGCTCTGGGTAGGAGCATCTGATGTTGACTTGAGTATATGCATATACGTACGTCAAGACATTGCTGTAATGGGTGCAGAGGCAGTCCCAGTCCTGTACAGGGCAGCTTTTGAGAATGGCTGTGGTAGATTCCACACAAGCCTCGAGAATACTATAGATGTTTGGATTCTAGGTTAGTAACGGAATTCTGTAAATGTTCACGATCCGCAACAGACTGCTTTCGCCTCCCTTCTCATCACGATGATCTCCATCTCCTTCACATATTATCAACGAGAAGAAATCACATACTTCTGAGCATCACATTTGCTGGGGCTATCATTTTGCGGCGAGGCGGCTGCATTTACATTTGCCATGATAGCGAAAAAGAAAGTGAGGAACGCAGATAGAGAAATAAACGAATGCATATTTGGCAGTAAGAATGGAAAAGCAAAATGAATGGATAGATTAAAAAAAAATAAAAAATTAACGATTGCTTTGTTTCTCCTCTTTGGTGTTTTCTTTTCTGAAAAGAAAGTGCTTTGGTGCACACACGAAAACAGTGGCCGAAATATGCGTCAAAATTCCTCACGGACAAAACAAAAATGAATTGAACTGGGAAAACGCTTGAAGGCCAGTGGGTATAAACGAATGAAACGGAACGGACCCGATGAAGAGGAGCGAAGTGTAAAGGAGAGTTGAAATTTTTTTTAAAAAAAAATGAGCGTGGGAGCGTATATGAGAAGATGTATTAAACGATTGTTCCCAGGAAACTTAACTGTGAGAGAGAGAGAGAGAGAGAGGAACCAGGACACAGCTTTGCCTTCGCCCGCGTCATTGACATCGAACGCAGAAACAGAGACACACGCGATTTGGAAAAAGGGGCCTCCCGAGAAACATCCTGCCCAGAAAAGCAAGGCAACTGGACTAACGAACAATAATGGCTCCTGTTAACGGAGCCAATGTGGTACAGACTATTTGAAGGCGAGAACCGGATCTGGATTCTTGCGGTGCGGGGAATGGCGATTTGATTCAAGCTATGTTGCACTGAGCAAGGTAATAATAATAATGTTAAATAATATACGCAGCGATATGCATGTAGATGGTATGGCCATCCCGCCGCATATTTGATCATATTTGTCGATAAGGGGACGAAAGGCAAAACTAGGGCAGTATTATTATATTGGCGGTGGTATGGTATCTGGGAGGCCCTTTGCTTCATGTAAATCAGGAGAAAAAATGAATATGATCCTTTGAAACACCATGGCGTATTCTTGGCTGTGAAACCTGTTTTTAGTGGCTTCTAGCCTGGCTGTGATACTTCAAAAAGCAGGGCTTTATTTATTATTTCTTGGAATGATGGATGGATGCAAAACCAACTCGACCCGGGAGAAGAGAGAGAAAAGGTTAAAATAATAGCTGTAAAAATATAAAATACGCGGCAAAATCCTGGTCTGAAGCCGGTTGAGGTCAGAATTGCCGTTTTGGGAATCTACTGTTAATTAGATGCGTGATTATATAACCAACGCATCCAGGGGGGGGGGGGAGTTGTTAACAAATTAGTTAGTTTACTCCTATAAAAGGACCGTCAAGCCGTTTCTCATACATAGCTTACTTCTCTCCTCGCTCTCTATCCTTTTGCTTAATTCTCCCCCTCCTTCCCATAGATACATACGCGCACACACGCATATATGAAAGAAAACGGACTTCTTTATTTCAAACGATTGATGATGTCACCGGGCGCAGGTTCCAGACAGGGGCAATTATATAATTATGAAAGGGGGAAAAGAAATGGGGGAATCGTTACATACATAGATCGGGCGGGGAAGGAATGAAAGGACAGGAAAGGAACACAATATATTGCCGGTCGTTCATCACTAAGGGGAGACAAGGAACATGTAAAGGGAAAGAGTACAGTAACACGATACGGAGAGAAGGGAAAGTAAAAAAAGTTAGGGAAAAAAATGAGGGGCACAGTGATATAAAAAGAGAATATGATGGGAAAAGGGGGTTATTTAAGCCAGGATAATAGATAGGATGCTTTGTTTTCCCCGTTTCAATTTCCCCCTAACAACCCTGCTTGGTCTCTACATTGTACAGAAGAGAGAGGCGAAAAACAAGGAGAAAAACACAAAATATACACAAAATATATGGCGGTAGGAAGGAAGCTCATAGAAGCACATCAGACAAAAGACAAAATAAACAAATATGAATATGAGTCGGCTTCTCTGATGAATGAAAAGTAGGAATAAACAACAATAAGTTTAAATAACATATGCATGGCTTGGGGTTACATTTACTCCTGGCCGAAGCCCAAGGTCTCCTCAACAGCGATAGATAGCTTATGCTGCAGTTGTTCGTACGTCTTATACGGTGGTAGATCCAAGCGGTTAAAGCTGTTTTTTTTTTTTTTTTTTTCGGACCCGTTAGTACGCAAAGAAATATAGATAGCAGAAACAGAGAAATGAAGAAAGGCAAACTAAAATAAGAAAAGAACATACCAAGTATGCGACTTGGGCAGCGCGGTGATCTCTCCAGATTTTTCAATGGTAAACCGCCTAGGCCCATCGCTGCCTTGCAGATCCTTGAAGCCGTTAACTGGAATGCGAGAGGTACCCGTTGCGAACTGCAGGAGGCGAGATTTTTGCTCCGAATCCCAGCTCCGTATGACCTTCCAAAAGTTTTGGATCACTTCGTCCTGCTCCTGGTAGCCGCGGTAGTCGGTATGTTTCTTCCAGTCATCCACGTCGATATCAGCAATACCACCAATGAGAAGCTCCAATTCACGCTCGTCAAAGACGTTGACGAGGTCAGCAGGGATAAGCTCGTTGAATCCAGTGATGAAAGCATTGAACTGTTCTTCTACTCTTTTCTGGATTTTCCATTCTGTGATCAGCCTATTTATTGAGGGTGTTGATTAGTTATAATATTCCTTATTATAGGCAGTGACGGTCTTGGCACATTGTATATACTTACTCAACATATTGCTTTTTGTTCTCGTTGGTAACCGGGATGTTACTGCCGTTTGGTATCAAGTCAACAGTCTTCCTCTCGCCAAATTGATCATCGTCAATGGAGAATGTGAGCTCGTCAAATACGCCGGTAATATCATGTTCCCTAGTTTAAAAATGTTAGCAAAAAACTGGGTATGCTCGTGCCCCTAAAAAACAGGAAACAAAAACATACAATGTCCATGTTAGATTTCGGTGGAAATCCTCATCGACACCCTCCATATCCTGCAGGGTAACCTTCTTCCTCAACATCATCTTATAAAATGCGCCGATAAAGAACGAATCAAGGAAGCGGCGGTGGAAGATGGCAAGGCCGACGACACGCCCTATGAATTTGAAATAATTCAAATGCTCAGGATTAATGCCGGAATGAGGGTTAATCTGGAGCGTGTAGTTATCATGTGCTGAATATTCGAATAGACAGTAGAACGGGTTAAACATTTCGTGGGAAAGCAAGAAGAAGAATTCTCTGTGGTTTCCCGGTATGTCAGTAATTCACCACTAAATTTAACAACCACGACAAAAAAAGTACTCAAACAAACGAACCTCGAAAGGCCACCATAATCGAGCCCATCTTCCCCATCGAATTTGATCATTAGTCTCTTTTTCAGATCCGACGCACTCTGGCGCATGATTTCCGCGTATGAATCCTCGAAAATAGCACCTCGCCGGACTTTGACATGGCATTGGCCAGACATGATCCGCAACGCCGGCTGGGATCTGAAGTAAATAAGCTTGCGCCGGAAATCGCGCTTGTATTGCGGAACACCTTGGTCGAGGGAGGAGGGGAGTCGTGGATCATCCCAGGTGGTAGTCTTCGTATTGTGATCAACAAAGTACACTCGAGCTGTGTTGGTGAGACGCATTTCCCAGCCACTTGGTAGCGGCCCGAGCTGAGACACGGGCTGTTGTTGAATAGTGGTATTATTTCCATTAGCATTTTGACCATACATGCGGATATATTGCTGTCGACGCGGATCCACCCAGGTGGTCGTTCTCGTGTTATGGTCCACAAAATATGGCCGGCCCTCAGGGGTATAACGCTGTTCCCATCCAGCTGGGAGCTCTCCAGTGCCGGCTGTCGTAGCTCCCGTGGCCATCATAGAAGCGGCATTTGCATTGGCAACACCTGGGGGGGTGCCCGGCTGCTGAGAGTCTGGCAGATTTGGCGAATTTGCGCCTGTGCGGTCTTCGGGGAGCATTCGACTTTGATGAGCCCTGCGCTCCATCTGCATGTTGGCTTCCAGCTGGGTGCGTTGGGCCTGCTCGTTGTAGTGCTGCGAAGGACGTGTCCATGTTGTCGTTCTGGTGTTGTGGTCGACGTAATACGTCCGGCCTAGATTATCTTCTCGTCGTTCCCAACCCGCGGGCAATCTTCCTTGGCTATCCTCGAAGGAGCTCAGGTTGGCTCTAGAAGAGGTCGATCCATTCGCCGTCTGACCAGCTCCGCCAAGAAGGGAACCTGAAGGGGCGGGGGTTGCGGCAGAAGGAGCTCGAGAGGGAAACATGGACGCGGGGTTAGCAGCAGCTGGCTGATCGCTGGCTCCTTGGCTAGTGGCGGCAGGAGTAGCCGACGTGGAAGACTGGGGTCGAAGTTGTTGCTGATAAGAAGTTGAAGAGGGAGGAGCGTTATGAGGAGGGCGTAAGGAGCCGTTCTGTGGGGGAACGGGTGTCGACAGGTTAGTAGATAGGTTAACGATCAGTTTCCCGTGGACAACAAGATTATCATTGGACTTCTTCAGGTCTCTCGTAAGCATCTCTGTAAGGGAGGCGGAGTAGTTAGCAAGCGTCCTTGGTATCGAATAGTGGTCGTGGAATTTCGGGGATGAAGTATTCACCATCATCACCAACGTCTAAGTCTATCACATCTCCGATGCGAACATTTATGACACCTAAGAAACCCTGGTCCTTCTTCTTGAACTTCTTCTGGTCGAAAATCTGAATGGCGAGAATGGAATCTTCTGTGACTCTCCTAAATGTTGAAAGGGGATCGGTCAGACCCAGCCACAGTGTAACGTGAATGAAACGGGGTTTAAAGTTACGGGTATCGTACAGGTCAAAGACTTCATTCCAGTATGGGTTGAGTGTTTTCTTGATCACCGAAGTAGTATGAGTTTGTTCACCACCAACCGTGGCAACTGCAAACGGATCGGGGAACCCTGAGCAATTCAAACAATGTCTGCTGTCAGCATGAAAGTTCCCGGCTTTAAAAGGGGGCATTTCCTCCCCTATCACTCTCTTTCTTGTTGATTTTCATCGATTATTGGGGGGGGGGGAGGGGGGGGGGTTCCAACTTACGGAAAACATCGCGTTTGTACAGGCCATCAGCTGCGATGACTATAGCTCTTCGTCAATATAGGGAAGATCATTAAGAGCGGGTGAAAGGATGTATATGTTGATCCTTACTTGTGACTCTGAGATTTGGTTGGCTGAAGGGGCAAGAAGATAGATTAGTAGAGAAAAACCCCCAGTATAGATATGTATAGAATAGAGGAGGCCAAATACATACGCAGGCAAATTGGAACCCATTCTGACGGCAGTCCTAACTCAGCAGGCCGTCTCCGTCTTTCAGGACGGTGGAGATATATGCTGAGGGGTGGCGGATGGAGGTTCACATCCAGCGGGGAAGGGCGCGGCAACAATAGCAGCGAAACGCCAAGGGGAGAGAGATAGACGCAAATCCTGCGCACTCGGACGGGGGGGAGGCTAGATGTAGCCTCTCGATGCAGGGAGCGAAAAGACCGAGATAGGAGGCGTGGGATGCAGGCAGGAGTGGTTGGAGTTTGTCGGTGCTGGCCAGCGAGCGATGGATGGATGTCAGATGGATTGGATATCGGATGCTGGATGCTGGATGCTGGATGCTGGATGCTGGATGCTGGAGAATATCGAAGGCGTGGGAGCCGCCAACTGAGGCTGAGCAGTGGAAACGGGCCAATCGCCGGCCCGCAGTCTCGAGGGTCGGTGGCGCGCCCAGAGAAAAAAGACCCGGGAAGGGCAAAAACCCAAGACAGGAGTTATCTATGCGACTATTACAAGACAGGAGGAAGTCTGGAGATTAAGCTTGACCCTGTGTGAATTTGAAGTTGTTGCGACGACGCCAGATAGAATAGCTAGTTATAGATGATATGATGGTTGATGTTGCCCGAAGATGAAACAAAACAAACCCCTTCGCCCGGCAGTGTACGGAGTTACAGCGTAGTTAACTAATAACTACATATATCAATCAATTCAAGACCTGGCAATCGCATTATCACAGTTAATATTGGTGCTAACTATTGACATGTCATGCTAGAATCACGGTCTACAAGAGAAGAGAGCAAAGTTGTAAATAAAATACTCTGGCATCCATGGATAATCCTCTGTCGCATGGTTGATATTCCTCCCGTTGAAAATGATATACATAGTCAAGCCCCGCCGCTGTATAAGGACGATATATCTATCCCCACGCTGTTCAACTGGCACCAATTGTCCATGGAAATAGTTATCAACATGAGCAAAAGGAACATCCTGTCGCAATGTATTCTTTTCTTTTGTTTGAATATCTCCACTTCCATATCTTTAGCTGCAAGATAGCTTTCAAAAATTTATAGTAATCTGCTGGTCACTCAACCCCAAATCAAGAGAGGAAGAAAAGGAAAGGAAAAGAAAAGAAGAGTGTTAAAAGGAACAAAGAGATACCAGATTTGAGAGTGGGACAAAGGTCAAAATAAAATAAAATCAATCAATCAATCAATCAAAAAATAAACAAACTCAGGAAATAGAACGCAAGTCACGTAGATAGAGATTCAAACCCTCAGTAAATATCCCTCCCTATTTTCGATTTTTGCCCTTTTGCCCTTCAGACTCAAAAATTTTGCGAAATAAAAAAAGGACAGACAGACAGACATAAATTGCAAAAAGAATTCAACAGCGCATTTGCCCATATCATATCAATATTCATACACACCACATCCACATCCACACCCCCTCCAGCTTCAAGTATCCAATTTGATTCGATTCGACTTGAGCTGATCTGATTGGATCCCGCTCCGTTCTCTGGAGTCCAGGGAGCTATGGATGGATTTTCGATCGGTGGGATTAACGAGTTTCCATTTTCTTCTTCTCTCCGGCCGCAATTCCCCCTCCTTCTCTTCAATAAGTACTTCCTTCCCCCCCACTTTCATTAAATTGCGAAATCGATGTATGGTGCGGTCGAACATAGAAAAATGAAAGAAAAAAAAATAAAAAAATAAAAAAATAAAAAAAGTCCCCGCCTCCTCTTTATTGTTGGCCGGGGCTTATTTTCAGTACGGTGCATATCCCCTGCCCCGACCTCTATAGCCTCCACGATATACGCCACGGGGAAGGAATCCACCACGTCCGAATCCGCCGCGACCGAGGCCACCCCGACCACGACCACGCCCTCGGGTCATTCCTGGTAGATTGGTTCGTTTGGGGACGACCTAAATGAGGCGGAGAAGAGAGAGAAGGATTACGTTAGTAGATAATTTCATAGATGATAATAAAGACGGGGAGAGGAGAAGGTTTTTTTTTTTTTTTTTTTTTTTTTTTTTTTTTTCTGGGAGGAGGGTAGCTTGCTCACCTTCAAGTTCCGCCCGCGGAAGACACTCTCGTTCAAAACAAGTGCTTGAGCCACAAGACTCGGCTCCGTGAATTCCACATACGCATACCTGCGTGTATTTATACCAATTAGCGCTCCATCTCTTGCCAGGCAGCGCGGATGCAAATGTTTTTAAAGACGAATATAGAAAACAATAAAGATGAAAACAGAGAAAAAAAAGCGAAACACAGCTAATCCACGACAGCCCAAGGGGCGGCAACGGCAGCATAGTAAGAAGAATAAGGGCAGGGCGAGACAAACCCCTTAGGATGGCCGGTGAACTTGTCGAGCAAGATGGTAACCCGATTTATCGACCCGCAGCTCTGGAAGTGTGCCTGGATCTCTTCCGGCGAGGCGCCGTAGTCGACGTTGCCGACGAAAATGCTCCGCGCGTCGATATCCTCTTTATCCTCGCGTAGGCTCTCCGACTGCTGGTCTAGCGACGCTTGCATCTCTCGTAGTTTGGCGGCTTCGGATTCCATCTCGGCCACCCGCCGTTTCATGGCGGCGATTTCTTCCTAGAACAAGAGAGAGGAGTAGGTCTTGCGTTAGTTGGATGATTTTTTTTTTTTTTTTCCTTTCTGATATCTCTCGGAATTGAGTAGCAGTACAGCGGGTGGGAGACGGGAAATGAGATCTTTCGGGGTTTCTCTTGAACCCCCAGAGTCTCTCAAATGAAGTATATATATATATATATATATATACCGTGCATGTGTAGTATATGTATATCTAAACTTACCTCCTCATCGCCAGGTTTCTCATGTGTCTCCAACCGCTCATCGGCAATATCAGCTGCATCAGCCATGATGACTGTGACTAGAGTGTGTCGAAGGTGTCACCTCTTCCTGCGAACTCCCTGGATTAGATAGGCAGAGCCGATAAAGCTAACCAAACTGGCGGCGCGTCCGGAGATATATAGGGAGTCCAGGGGGGGAGGGGGGTGTTTTATGCTAAAAAGCGCAAAATCTGTTTCTGGGCACAGATGTAGGGAGGACGATGATACGAAGGAAGTACAAAGAAAAGGGTCTCAAGGGAAATAAGGGGAAGTAGGGCTGCAGAGACGGTTTGTTTCGTTGTATGGTTTGCCTTGTCTTGTCAATTGCTGCTGGATGAGATTGGGGTCTTTCGTTCGCTGCGGAAACAGTCGCCAGTTGCTTTTCTGGCGTCGGTGACGGATTAGGCATGGCGCCATCTTGGACCATTCGAGGCCGGAACCCTGCCATGGCAGAGGCGAGGGTTATATAGAATCGCTGAGTTTCTTTGGAATTTAACGAATGGTATAATTACTACTTATTTACTATTTAGTTCGTTGTTCGTTTGGTTTGACTAGGTTGTATTTCTTGCTTGCATACTGGCTCGTTACTGCTGGCTGATAGGGGGATCTTAGTATTTAACTAGATAGCGATGATGGGATAACCCACTCCGCACATGGACAAAAGAACATGGAGCAGAAGTAGGAGCAACAGAAAGCCCGCAAAAAAAAAAAAAAAAAAAACCATTGGACGGTAGGTACCAAACAGTTAATGTGAATAATTATAATCCTTGCTCCCTGAAACGCCTGCTGGAGGTTCCAAGGCGATACAACGGGCCATATGAGAAATGCCCGGAAACAATAGCAAGAATAATTTCTCATTTCTAATACAGCCCCGATATGTACACCACACAAAAATTAAACTCAAAAAAAGGAAACGAAACAAATAAGAACATCTTTGCAGAGAGTTAACGGAAAGAAGGGAGGGAAATTGACAAAAAGGGTAAAATAATAATCGACCAATGTTCTGCCAACATGATCATGAAGCAGGCGGCGGTGCCTGTTGTTTACGAAACGAGACTTTCTCAACGGAGACGGTTTCCGCCCCCTGTGCGTCCTTGCGTAGCTGGTACACGTATAGAACGAGCACATCACCTTGCACCTGTATAGAGAATTAATCAGCCGTCCATTCGTGTCCTGAATGAAACACGGATCCACCCCGTCTGGTGCGGGCGGCCGAAAAGATATATGAATAAAAAAAAAAAAAAAAAAAAAAAAAAACTCACATCCATCAAACAAAAACTGGGCGTCTGCTCCTCTTCCTCCAACCCACCCTGTGTCGTAAAAGCCCCAGTAGCACTGCCCGGGTTGACGAAGAATCTGCCTTCCAACTCGTACGCCTCGAATTTATGTGTCCCGCCCCACAACAGCACATCGACATCCATCTGCCGCGCGGCTATGAGCAGAGAGTCCGGATCGCCGGGCGGTATGATGGTGTGGCCATGGGTAAAGCCGATGCGCAGGCTGCCGTGAGTAACAACTTTGGAGAGGGGGAGATTGGGTGAGTCGACGTCGAAGTCGCCCTTCACTAGCTGGAGGTCCGGGGCGATCTGGCGGAGGAATTCGAAGGTGTCGCGATCGGTGAGGTTGCCCAGGCAGAGGATCTGGCCGATTTTACCGGGGGTGAGGAGCTTTTTGAACTGTATTGGTTGTTTGGTTAGTCCATTGAGATGATGTTTGTGGTTTAGCTAGCTAGCTCCAGCGAGCTGCTTTTCTACGGCGGGGCAACAAGGCATGGGGGAGATGGTTTTCTGCGAACCTTTGCAGGAATATCCTATTGTTATTATTAACATCATTGCAGGTGGATGTTAGCACAATAATTGGAGGTCTTCTTCTCCTCAAGCATTCAAAGGAATGGAGTTGGGTGACGATAAGACATATAGGGAGCGGGGATACAACATACCGGAGCGCGGTCAGGGACGAAGAGGTCGCCGATGGCCAGGACCAGACGAGAGGTCATACTTGAGGGAATGGTCCTCAACAACCCATTCCTGGACGATGGTACTGAGGTGGGATGGTAACAGCCTTCTTCTTCCTCGCTTGTCGTCGTCTCCCGGAGTTAGATTCGTTGTATCTACTCCTTGTTCTGTTCTGTCCGGTTGTTGCGACTGCTGACGCCTAACCGCCCCGGTCCTGCGGCTACGGCGTCTATTTATCGAACGGGAAATGGGGTGTCTTAGCGCCTCAGCCGCCTCAGCCTTAGTAGCGCATTTCCTAGCTGGAATATCCCCAAGTCGAACATGGGGAAGTTCTGCTATTATTAGGACTCTTTTTTAATTTGCTGGCAGCCGAGTAGAAGGGATATAATCAGGCAATTGGACGGACAAATTGATCACCCTGTAACTGGGCTCCCCGTGGCAGGTCTTTTTCTACAATGATTCGTTCGAAAAACGATCGCAAGCTGATGCAGGCAGAGTTACATCTATGCTTGATACTCAATGAATGTCTACTCGTTGCAGCAAGTTCACGGTACCGTCAGGCGCAATGCAAGGCTTATATTATCACTTAAGCTTATGACTCCCAAGGCTAGATAGATAGAACCTTGGACTAGCAGTTCCCGCACCGAACGACACGTTGAGATTTTGGCAGAGCTAGGTCTGCCTGAACTTTGGTGACCAGATGTGCGTTGAAGCTCCCAATGAGAAGGGCAGATCTTCTCGGTCGAGAACGGAATGACTCCAACTACTTCTGCCTTCCGTTTCAAATTTCCAATCGTCAGCTCTCTGGCGGATTGATTGCATGTAAGGGCAGATCATCAATTTCATTACCAGTACAGTCCAGTACTCCATTATGGCTGCTCACACCTCGCGCGGTCTCATCTCTCCCTGGTGGCCTATTAACTATAGCCTATGGTACAGCATTCAGGCTCTTTAGTCCGCGAATTGGGTAGGAATAGCTACCGTTGTCGGAAACCTCCGACGCCAGCGGCCAGCGGTCCTCCACTATTATCCTGGCCGAATAAGATGGTTTGGGGGTTTTTCTGTTCTATTGAAGACTAGTTAGAAGATATACATCGGAATTAACTACCAGCAGAGATATATTTGTATTTTTTAGGGAAAATGGTCAACCAGTAGTTGCTATGTACCAGAAATGAAATATTGCAGACATTTCCACCCCGAACGTTGGCACTTCTCTCATATTATTAGAAAATACTATTCATTCGTCTCACAGTTGACAGACTCAATCAAATAGAAAGGATATTACTTGTGGTTGATTCTGAATCCAATCCAATCCACCGCAAGATATATCCATATCTGTGTTGTTGTTGACTTTGGCCAAAACAAGAAATTAAGCCCTAATGGCAGGCTTTTTATTTAACAAAAAAGGATATTAATATTGCAAAGAAAAACGGAAAAGAAACGGAAAAAAGCAAAAAAAGAAAAAAAGAAAAAAAGACTCTCAATTAGATTCGACTGGTCCGGGTTATTTGACCAGACTGGGTATAAATATTTATTTCAACTCTCCCCTCGCTCTCGGTCGAAATATTTAATCCTCCAGCTCTATCTCGGCCTGCTAAATAATATATCTCTCCCTCCTCCAAGGTATAATAACTATACGCTGTACAACCCTTGCAGCCTCCGCATCTGCAGATTGGCTTGCGCAAAAACAGGGAAAACGAAGCACCAAAAGCATATGCTTAATAACCTTTCTTCGGCACTCCGAGCTGTGGCCCGGCTCAAGCCCGCGGGTGGAGAAATAATCGCCCTGGCTCCCTCACGGGCGAGTCCGCGGCTGAGCCTGATCTCTCGACATCTGGATCAGAGACTCCCTTTGCCGGCCTTGAACACGCCCTTTTCGACCGAGAGATCTGTGTCTGTCGAGCCTGACGACCTTGAATATAAACCCCTCCAGCGGACCCCGCCTCTCCTCAACCACAAGAATCCTCTTGCTCCCACTCCCACCAGCAATCGAAAAGATCCTGCTGCGAAAATGTCCGCCCAAGCCCCGCACTCGACGCTCCTGATCCCAGGCCCCATTGAATTCGACGATGCGGTGCTTCAGTCTATGTCCCATTATGCGTACGTACTTGCTTCTCCCTATATAGATATTATTATTTTCCCTTTGCTATACACATTTTCCCCAGTGTTCCGTCCGCATTCCGCATTGCTCTGCTCCTAACTAACCAAACTGAGCAGTGAGAGTCATGTTGGCCCCGCCTTCGTAAAAACATTTGGCGAATCCCTCGCTCTCCTTCGCCGCCTCTTCCAATCTACCTCCCCATCTTCCCAGCCGTTCCTCCTTGCCGGTAGCGGCACATTGGGCTGGGATCTTGTCTCCGCCAACCTGATCGAGCGCGGCGAAGATGCCCTCGTCCTGCACACCGGCTACTTCGGTGATTCCTTTGCCTCTTGCCTTGAAACCTACGGTGCCAAAGCCACCCAACTCAAGGCCCCAATCGGCCAACAACCCTCCCTCGCCGAGATCGAGCAAGCCCTAACCGCAAAACCCTACAAACTCCTTACCGTCACCCACGTCGACACCTCCACCGGCGTCCTCGCAGATATCAAGTCCATCGCCGCCCTCGTCCGCCGCGTCAGCCCAGAAACCCTCGTCGTCGTCGACGGTGTCTGCAGCGTCGGCGCCGAGGAGATCGCCTTTGATGCCTGGGACCTCGACATCGTGCTTACCGCCAGCCAAAAGGCCATCGGCTGCCCGCCCGGTCTCAGCGTCGTCATGGCCTCCGGCCGCGCCATCCAGCGCTTCGAGAACCGCCAGTCCCCGCCCACCAGCTACTACGCCTCCATGGCAAACTGGCTGCCCATCATGCGCAACTACGAGGCTGGCAAGCCATCCTACTTCGCCACGCCCGCTACCCAGCTCGTGCACGCCCTCCACACCACCCTGACACAGGTAACCAGCAAGCCGCTGGCAGAGCGCTTTGCGGCTCACAAAGCTGCCTCGCAGCGTGTTAAGCAGGCTGTTGCTGAGCTGGGATTGCAGCAGCTGGCGACCAAACCCGAGGACCAGGCCAATGCCATGACGGCCATCCGGTTGCCCGAGGGCATGACGCCGCCAGATATCCTACCTGTGCTCGCGAAGAAGGGTGTTGTCTTTGCTGGGGGGTTGCACAAGGAGATTGCGTCTAAATATATCCGCTTCGGACATATGGGGGTCAGCGTAACGGGTCCCGGACGGGATGATATTGACAAGGCGATCGTTGCGATGAAGGAGGCGTTTGCGGAGGTGAAGAAGTAATTAGAGTCTCCCTTTTTTATCTTCCTTACTTTATTTTTCCTTTGTTCCATTGAAGGGAGTTCTGTTCTCTGAATATATTCTTTTTTATTTTCAAAATTACTTTAATATCAGTTTACGGTGTGAAAGTGATGGAACGGGCGGGTTTTCTTTCCGGGCGGAGGGGACTGGAGATTGTGTTTAGAGATACCTACATAAGAATGAACCGCTTTTGATATTCCACGAGCGGGGAAATTATGGGGTTTTGCATATAGGTAAAAGATGAAAGAATACAAAAAACCTGAAATTATAATTCCTTCCGCACTGTAAGCAAATATATCCTCTCAAGATAAAAAACAACAAAATAAGACATTCTTACATGCTACATGCACAATTACCCAATAATATACAGATAGTTACGGAGAAATTCGACGTGAGAACATGATCATTTCTTTTTCTAGCTTCAAGTATCTGGATCTAACTGTAGTGCTCAAGCGAGGAAGCTGGTTCGAGCACTCGCTATATATCCCTTTAGCGAAAAAGACGGGAGAAAATGAAACAAGCTGCCAAACCCTAGCATGGAGAACTTGGAGAAGAACCACGGGGAGTGTTCAGGGTAATGTAATGAAGATAACTGAAGCAGAACTAAAACACGGGGTGAGGGGCTGAGGAGAAGAAAACGTAAATAAATACGGAGTAAACAAAATAGAGAGGGTTAAAAATGATATCAACAGAAACGCAACTAATAGGGGAAAGAAGAAACAAAAAATAAGGGCAAAATACATACGGCGAAAAATAGAAACAGGTAGCATACTATCTATCATAAAAAAAGAAGGGAAATTAAAAAAAAAAAAAAGGAAAATATAGAAAAAGGGGCAGCACCCCTCCTCTCGTCGTTGGCCTACCAATCATCATCGTCCTGCGGCCTCATCGCGCTCTGCCTCTGCCTCAACGCCTCCGCAAGGCCACCCGCAAAACTAGTACTATTCATACTATTCGGGGTGGCACGACCACTCCCGCCCGACGAGTCGTGCGAGTTCATGCTGACCGCGCTGTCTCGCGGTGCCGGGGGCGGCGCGGGTTTACGGCCGGCAATTGGCCGTTTGGCTGGGGGAACGGGTGGGGTGGGTTTGGCTTTCGCTGCGGCGCGGGAGGCGCCGTTGGTTACCACAGGGTTTACGGGGTTGGCGTTGGAGACTGTGGAAGCTCTGGGAATGGCTGGGGGTGGAGGAGGTGGCGGGGGAGCGGCTGCTTGGGGGATTGGAGCTACGAGTTCTTCTAGATAGGCTTCGGGCGCCCAGCCTTGGGCAGAGGTTGTCGTGTTCATGCAAAGCCACCATCCTGGTAATTTCACGGGTTATTAGCATATTTTCGGTATGTGATTTGTGATTTTTTTCTTTTTTTTGGATAGAGATGCGAAAACAGGGGTGAGGGACGGGGGTTGGGGGTGTTATTAACGCTTACCGTTTCCTTCTTTTGCCATGATTTGGACTATTTCGCCCTTCTGGACGGAAAGCTCGTTAGAGCGCTCGCTGTTGAAATCATATAGGACCTTGGCGGTATGTTTTTTGACTGCCGGCGGTGCGGCCGGGGGAGGAGGTGGGGGTGCTCGAGCTTGCCCCGAGGCAGCCTGTGGTACAGGTCGGTAACCAGTATCTGCGGCTTGGGGGGTAGCTCGCGGCAGAGGTTGAGGTGCGGGTGTTGGCTTCGAAGCGGCTGGTCGTGAGGCCAGTTTTGATGGCCCTCCTCCAGGTCCCCCAGGCCGGAGCAATTTGCCCTTGGTGATGGGCTTGCCAGCAACCTGCCTCGGTCTCGGAGTCGGCTTTGATACAGAATCTGGTGGTTGGCCTTGACTGGTGTGGATTGTTCCACTTTTGTACAGATCATCTCGAACAACTGTCGAATCTTTCATTGTCTTAATCACAGCCAATTTGCCCGGCTTTTTGTTATATTCAATACTGGAGGCTTGTTAGCTCTGCAAGTAATAAATGTACTGGGAGAACAACTTACGTGTCGGCGAGTTTGAGATTGAGCTGACCGCGGAGTGCATTGGAAAGGTATGTAAAAAATTCAGTCTTGAATACACAGCTGATAAGAGGGTCCGGCTCCTGTGGAGATCCAACTCCAAGAGCAAACCAGTCATCTTTCAGTCTTGATGCGCTGACGAATTTGATTGCGCCGAGCGATATCGTTCGTTCCGCTGAAATGTTCAACTGATGATTTACGACACTTTGGACGACAATGTAAACATTGTTCGATGTCTTTTACAATGACACACGTTAGCCAAGGCATCAAAGTTATGCAAAAACGAGAGGCGCACATACCAGAATTAAAATTCGCGGAGAAGGTTTACTGGAACGGCCGAATTTGGTGACAAGGAGCTCACAGCGGCAGGAGAATAAAACATTTTCGGATTCTGGATGTTTCTGTTGCGTTAGGAATTCCACTTCACCGCATAAAAGTATTTTAAAGAAAATAGCACTTACTGCTAATGCGAATCGAATCCCTGATCATTTCTCCCGGGCCTCCAGCGTTGCTAACTCCAAGATAATCACCAAGGAATCTCCGCGAGCCAACGAGACTGTATCGGCGCCTTTCTTTCCTTCCACCAAGGATTTTGTGCCCCTGGTCTCGCAGTTTAATATATTCCAGCCCTCCAGTGACCCGTCTCCAGAATCTTTGGATTCGGATAGCACATTCAGTTCGGTACCGGAGGTAGTTTCGCCAAGCGCGCTGGATACGGATGGCCATGTTATGCCAGTATCTATCTCGCATGTGTTCAAGAGCGAAAAGGGTTTCGGGGGTTTTGATAAAGGCTTTCGTGGTGCCCATCTGGTACTCTTCTGCCGGGATGCTTGTGTCTTTCAAGATCTGCCTCGCTCCCGATTCAGCGTCCCCAGTCCAGGTGTAATCGCCGGCATATGAGGTCTTTGGCGACAGAAGGTAGAAGCGCTCGACAAATTTGTCGAAAGTTTGACGGTAGGCAAATCCAGCTCTGCGAATCCGGACGTTCTCTTGCAGACCAAGGTATTTAATTTGATGCATCACATTGCCAACATTGTACTCGGACGGAGATTTGTTGTCGTTCGGTTTTATAGTTCGGATATATGACGGTTGTGCCTTCATTAAAGTCGTAACAAGGTCGTTTGCAGATGCCTTGATCTTGTCACCCGCGGTTGGAGGTCGACGCTTGTCGTCCTGATTAACTTGGTTGGGGAAGAGCGCATGGATGAAGTCGTTGCTACTCGAGCCCACAAGGTTAAGTAGATCTTTTAGTAGCTGATCTTTATTTTTGTCTGTCATTCCGTCAACAGTGTAGCCGACGTCACCAGCGTAATGCTTGACAATAAATTGACCTTGCCGGGACTCGAAGTTTGGATTTTGACTCAGGAAATTTAGTCTTCCCACAAAGGTCTGGTCGGCGGCTCCGGAGTCGGCATGTGCAGTGGCACAGGCGTCGTTTAATGCCGCGAAAATCCCGGGGGGGCGCTTATCTTCAATCAAGGAGCAAACAACTTTGTTATCAAAGTAAGTAATGGGAGTCCACTTGATTTGTTCGCGGGCGTATTCTTCTTGTTCCGTCTTTAGCGTAAGCTGGATGAAGATTTGCTGCAGTTTTTCGTTGACGTAATTGATACAGAGCTGCTCAAATGAGTTCTTATCAAAAATCTCGAACCCGTAAATATCCAGGATACCGATTGAATTTTCTACGGCTTCCCTTGCTGCGAGTGAGGCATTAACTCGCTGAACGATCCAATCAAACATGTTGAAATAAAGGGCTTTCGCGAGTGCGTCTCGAACAGCGGTGGCCTGGACAACGTTCAAAGGAACTTCATACACAGACCCCCTGCGCCCACCTCTGGCTGTTTCCATAACCCTCAATGTAAGTGCTTTGTTTACCGCGGCAGCATCGACCTCTAATAGGTATGCGACGAAATCCACTACCGATTGATCTGTTATTGAAACGTTAGAATTGTCGTCTTCGAAAAATTGCATATTTCCAAGCCACAGAATGGCTGAAAGAATGCGGAAGATATTATCCTGCTCGGCCTGCGCTAAACCAATAATTTTCATGGCGTCTAATGTATCTTTGAAATCAGCAGCATCGTCTATACCAGGGACATCAAAACATTTAGAGCGACTTGTATACACATATGACTCTGGTTGTTGGATGCCGAAGTTTTCTGGAACATATGTTAGCTTGACGGAGTGGGCTCAGCTGAAAGCATAGACATTCCACATACCTCTATAAGTCTGCGGAGCAGCTTTGGTAAACTGATAAAATATATGGAAGTTTCGCTCATTTGTAATTTGACCAACCACTCTAGATTTCTCCAGGAGGTAGTTTGTAATCGTCGCGCCGACAGGCTCACCAACGGAGTTGAATTGCAGCTCTAGATATTTTCCGAAGCGTGACGAGTTATTATTCCGCAACGTTTTCGCATTGCCGAAGGATTCGAGAAGAGGATTGGTCGCCAGGACCATGTCCTTGGTATGTTGTATGGAAGAATCGCTGCCGCCCGATACGTTCGCAATATACTGCATCAGCCGCTTGGCAGCTTCGGTTTTGCCAGCACCGGATTCCCCTGAGATAATGACACATTGATTCTCCTTGTATGCTTTCATGTTATAATATCCTGCTTCCGCGACAGCGAAAACGTGCGGGGGGACTTCCAGTCGGTTTTTCCCGCGGTAGGAATCAAGAACTTTGTCGGTGTAAATACCCACTAAATCGACGATCAGTATGTCGCGCTCGATATTTGTGGTAAGCTAGGTGTGACTTACAGTCTCTAAACGGGTTAACAGAGACAAGTACATGGCCGATGTATGTCTATATTCCAGGAAGTTGTCAGCAGCCAGGTGAAAGGTACAAAGTTGTCGCCTAAGCTGGCATTTCGGAAGGCAGGCAGGCATACGTAAATCTCGCCATGTTCAAATCTCTTTTTCAAGTTCTCATTTATGGCCTCATTCGACACTTTACTGAGGAGTGTAAGATCTGACACTCCAACCTCCTTCTTCTTTGTGCTTTCGAATACGGCCTTCTTAACTTGAGGTTTCCCCCCTGCCCCGCCCTCACCATGCCTCGACCGACCAAAACCACGACTCTTCTTCTCCGGATCTCGAGGGCGTCGCGAGTGTCCCTACATGAATATAGTTAGGGATATAAATTGCACAATAAGACTGAGCGTAATATGAGGGGCTATAGTCCGCCAGGACTTACCATATTCTCTGGGTTGCGCCGGGTGCGTGTTTGGCTATTCTCGCCGGATTGGAGGGAATATAGACCACAACCTCCTGAAAGTATAAATGAACGGGCGCAAACAACGAAGCAAGAGCATAAATATTTGTCCTGTAGAAAAGCTTCTTATCCGGCAGAAAAAAAGAAGTACAGACTCAGAATGCAGAGGAAGCACAACGACGGCAGAAGAATAAAGTAATAAAGGATAGGTGGGTGGACAGTACTCCGTAGTTAGTTGCCTTTGACACTTCAACGTACGCGGTACCGGAACGATGATGCGGCGCTTACTGCAACTGCGCCACAACCGTGTGGCGTCTGGACAAGATTAGTTACATAATCCACGTAACTACATGCAATCATTCCAAGCGTTTTCTTTTCTTCTTCTAACGCTAAACCGTTTTAAGACCTCGGGTAGCTTTGGTGCCTGGCACAGCCTATATTATTTCTCAGTCTGAGCTTGGTAGTAGATACATACATAACATAACATCAGTCTCTTGTTCGTCATGAACCATACAAAGTTGATGATTTCGTATGTCCTACGTTCATACAGTCTGTACTGTTCAAGTGTGCTTTCCCAAAAAAGCCTCGAAACAAACGAGCCCAGCAACTGGGATAAATCTGTGGAGCGCCAATATCAAAATGTTAAAATCTATGTTAATGAAACTGTTCTAACCCAATTAAAGTGCGCTCACATACAGATTTTCCTCCAACAAGATCCCAGTTGAAGTTGTTGTTTGGAATCACCGCGATTTACTGAATCTCTCCCATTCTCATGCTCTTAGTTTGACAATAATGGACTCATACGCAACAGAACCAGAACATATTCCGGCCACTGACTTATATGCAGATGTTCCACTTTACGGGCGGTATCACCCTGCGCAGAGTGATTTTTGTGTGAAACCAAAGCCTCATTAATATACTGGGAACCAGTAATCGACTTATATCATGAATCTACCCGAATTTACCCTGCAGATGAAGGTGCCTGCAGATGAAGGTGTTCGTGGTGTGTTTGCTCTTGGGAATGTCGTTGCCAAATCAAGCAATCAGGGGAGATCGACTATTCGTTCGCTGATTTCCATGGGGTTGATGCATCTATATTGCTAAAAAGGTAATAGAGACATCAGAGTACCAGAGATTTACTTCACTGGCAAGACTTTGATTATTCTCATGGGCTGTTTTACGCTCCACCCGAAATAAGATCCAAGGCTGCCAAGTTATAATTCAAGAGAGGTTCCCTGGTATTGACGTGTACGGAGTATTGCAAGGCCATGACTTTCACAATGCCAAAAGTAGTCCTTCACACAAGCAGACATGGGTGTACTTCAACAGCTACATACTATCAAATTTGATGAATGCTAGGTTTGGGCCCATTTTACCTCAGATGCTAATATGCTCAGAGACAGTCAGATAAATCCTCTCAAGAGAGAGATTATAGAACTATTCCACACCAGCCCTGAGAAGTTAAGTCTGAACCTAGCATCCTTTCTTCTTTCCTTTACAAATCCTTACTTTGTGATTGATTGTAACAATTTTTGAAGAATTTTCTTGTACATTCTTCAATTGAATTGTTTTATGTCTATACTGTATTTGAAAACTTTCAAAATTGCACATAACACTTGTCTTTTGCACATCTGGTGGTATGAGGGGATTCTGATTGTTGCGCTCTGTCACAAGCCCTCTGGCTTCTGTTCACCCCTTTCCCACTTCAGATCAACTTGCAACATACAGAATACGTGCAAACCACTGTGCAAGCATCGCCAGAACCCGGCGCTTAAGGCGAGATGAGGTGACTTACTCCTGAGGAAGAGACTAATATTCTTATTGCCCTTAAAGACCATGAACAAACAGTCAGATAATACTCTCATCTCCTCAAACACTCAACCTTAATCCAGAAAGCCGCTGTCCATCACCTAGGTTTATCTCCAGAGAAATGTGAGACTGATGGTCTCAACAACTGGCTGTCTGAAAGCTTCAATGTCTATATCTCTATCATTGTTTGCAGCTACAAAGTGATGTTGATGCGGTTCTCAATATTGCATCAGGTTGGCAAATCATTTTGATTAGGCAATGCAGATGAAAAATATGATGTGAAGCAGACACTTATGCATGGATGAAGGAGAATTGTCCTTCCATATTAGTGTCTAAGCTCTATGAATTTGCTCTATCAACAGGCCAAAGTGTAAGTTTTCAGACCTGATATGCATCATCTGATCAGGAGTATATGACTCACAGAAATAATAGTTCACAGCTACTGAGAGACTGCCAGTCCTTCCTCAATATTTTCATTATCTTTGATGTTACATGCTTAAGCTGTTTAGATAGGAACCACCATCTAGATATGTTCCCTGTCAGGGCCCATGTTTGAGTGATCTCAAAGCTGGGTATCTTCTAATCTCATACTGGCTCACTGACTAGAGTGTGAATGCAATTGACACGAGTCTCTTTACTCCTCTCCATCAAGAGTTTGTGGGCATTCTGAAGCAGGAGGAGAAGCAGTCTTACAAGAACATACAATATCATTTTCAAAGAATATGAGTCCGAGATGGAAGAACAAGATGTTCTGGTTTTTGTTAGTGCTCACGTCACTGGCTGGTCTTTCTCAGATATCTTACAACCACATCTGGCCGGAATTCGCAGGAGACAGTGTTGACAGGGGGTGGTTTCTGAAGATCATAATGCACTTTTGGATGCAAAATATAGAAGCTTTTATAGTGAAGAAACTGGGAGACAAAACTGCCTATGATAAGAAGCTACAGGAGGAGTTTGATATTGCGCCTTACCACCTAGGCCATTCTGCCTCAGCTTTCTTGGTTCTCCCTTTCTATTGCCTCAAGAACTTCTCGATACATGTTTTCTTCCCCGTTCCTCTTTCGATGGATCTGAGTGGCTTTTCCAGACAAGCTGAGCCGGGCTAATATTTTTCTATCTATTGTAGTCGCCTCCTCGACTGCCGCGCTGTACGATGAAGAGGAATATCGATCCGCAGTGCTTCCTGCTCTATCAGCCGCCGCTACATGCAGACTCCTTTCGGATTCGGACAGGTTTTCTTTCGCTTCTTCTGCCGCCATCAGGATGCGTAGATCATGCTTGGCCTTTTCCATTCTTCTTTGGTGGGTGTGGTGTCCCTAGCAAACCGATAACAATCGTGCCACTTTCAGGACTGTTGGCCCAATTTGGAAAGTTCACCAAATCGCGATTGTGGAGATAGTAACATAGTAACTGTAGATGGTCGCGAAACTCTCGCGAGCTCTTTTGATCTTTTGTCTTCGTGCTCATTATAAAGCGGTCACAAATCCCAACCTGATAAGCTACTCTCCTTCGTCCACCATCGAGTATAACTAGATAACTTGATCATACCTAATTGCGGGAGGCTAGAATAGAAAACTTAACTAGACAGCGGGCTTGGGCAGTCTGGAGTGGATTGGCGGGGTAACTGAGTATAGTAGAAGATATTCAAGTATATACTCATGAATATCTGAATTATCTGGGTATTGGTGTAGAATATCTATAGTGAAGTAGCAGCAGGCATAACTCTATCTGAGGATACCGAGCTTGCCTTTCATAAGTTCCTACCAGAGTTGGCACCTCAACACGAGTATTTCAAGTAAATGATCTGGGAGAGGAATTAAATCAAAACGCGGTGGAGGGAGTCGCATCTTTAAATTCTAGATTAATATCTTTATACTCTAGCTAACGAACTCGATCTATCTAGTCTTGAGTAGAAAAAACGTAACTACATGCGCCGGGAAGACTTTGTACAGTACATGGCAACTGAGAAGAATTCTCGTGTTGGTTGCTGAGTGGAGAATTTAGTTTCCACAGCTGCGATATAAGAAAAGCAAGCATGGTATGTGGGTAAAATATGTTGGTATCGACAGCTAGAAAACCAAGTAAAATATACATGGAAGAATTGAAACGGTCAAGTAGGTATTGGAAACCATTTTGCAATGTAGATTTCCTCGTAAATCGATTGAATATCCCTCAAATAGATAAGTTTGATTACTGGGATGATCTTCAGATGGTATATCGATTGAACTTTATTTGGAGACTTGAGACGGTAATGGCGAAGAGGAAGACGGTTGCGAAGAGTCACTCAAAGGTTTGTATGCGGATGAGGAGACAATGGGACTAGAGTAATTGCCAGTCTCAGGAGCAGTCGTACTGTCGACACTCGCTTTCCTGGGCCATTTAAAATAGCCAACAACCTGAGATATCCAACCAGGCTTTTCGATCTCTTCCTCCTCTTCATCAACATCCCAAACATCCCGTGGTAAGATGCGTTTTATGCTTTTCGGCGACTGTTTCTCCAGCCTTGCTTTCAGCTGTATAACTTCCCGCTCTAACGCAACGAGACCGCGCCGCGCCGCCCTTTCGGACTCTTCCAATTCAGCGAGGCGTTCTGCTACATCCTCTCTTCTTGATGTTTCTTTCCTTCGTGCTCTGAACGCCTCGAATACTATCAAACCACCTGCAACCAGAAACAGAAATGTTTCACTAATAAATGTTGCTCCAGAATCAATGGCTTTCGCTTCTGAAAGTGGTCGGATTCGTATGGGCGGAGGCGGTTTCGGAGGCTCTTGGGCCTTTTCCTTTAGTTTTGCGGCAAGTGACTCTTCAAGCTTGGTTTGTGCTTCTGTTTTCACGGTCGTGATACCATGCTTTTGTTTGGTCGCGAGGGCTTCAGCAGCAGCCTCTCGCGCCACCTGTTTTTCTATCGCCGCAGCGTTCTGTAGGAGACCCAGCCGTAGGCGCATATCCATCCGGTGGAGGGACTGGGCAAAGGAAACACATAACCGTCGGAATCGCTCATGTTCACGCGCTTGTGCTTTGATTTGGTTCTTTGGTTTTTTTCGGTATCCAGTTAGCTTTCAAGGTCGCTAAGAACAGCGCAGATGCGCATTTGCTGGCTCCAGCTTACAGCAATAGGTTTTGACAATGTTCGGATGACCAGCGAGGATATTTTAAGAGTCACGGACATCCTTGGGTGAGTGTACGTTGTAAGTCTGTAGCTTTGAAGAGGGGTTCCACGATGTGCGGAATCATGCCAGTGAAGTTGCAGCAGCCTCCATTACTTGGAACCGGAGACTACACGACGTCCAGGGTCCGGCTGATGAACGGGATATCGGGCGATTTTAGGACGAGAGTCGGAAGTTCCGCTGCGTCAATGAATACTGCGTCGGTCGTTGCTGATTGGCTCTGAGCCCTCCGGTGGATTACATAAGGAGATGGCCTAAAAGGGCTTAGTCTGTGTTATCATTTTTCCGTTTCCGGGCCAATGTTTACAATATTCCACTTTGAGAAACTCAATCACTGTTCGATGTCGATTCCTTCACGGCTCCATGCGACAAGGCAGTAAATCGCTGCTACGGCATTCAATAATAGCCCAGCGTGTTGTGGCATTTAATAGAACACATCAAGGTTGCGGTGAATACTATTCTTTACTCTGCATGTTAGTATTGTGGATATCGCCTCGTCGCATCTTTGTTAGTTCTGTCAAGTCCTGCTATCCAAACTCTATGAGACGGCTAACCAAAATCACCTTGATTCAAACCAACAATATAGCCCGTGGCAAACTTCAAACCTGCTCTATGAGAAACCGAATTTTTGCTCTAAAATATATCACTTGTTAATATAATTTGAACTGTCCAACGATTCCTGCTTGTCGCGATCGCATGAGCTCGATAAAGGAGGTACCCTTGTACATACCACGATGGAGGCATTGTCACCTCGCTCAACCAACATTCTCTCCAAGCCCAAGACCGACCCTATAATGAAGGCGAGCGCCAAAGATGCACCGCCTCAAAAGGCGCGGTCCGCCAAAAACCACGCCCCCCCACCTCCTGCTACGGTTCGTGAGCCTGAAGATGGGGGGGAGGAATACATCACTGGCAAATTTTTAGGAAAAGGGGGATTTGCCGTATGTTATGAAGGGAGGCTTGCGCGAAATAACAGGGTATATGCGATGAAAGTGGTAAAATCGGAAATGAACCAGAGGAAAATGGAGGAGAAGGTATGAGATAACAATTTGGGGAAACCGACATTTTGCACCTTATGGTGTCTAACTTTCCGCACGTACAGTTCCGGACCGAGCTCCAGATACACTCAAAAATGCGCCATCCCAACATTGTTGGTTTCTACAGGGCATTTGCCTTCGAACAAAACACTTATGTCATTTTGGAATTGTGCCCCAATGGCTCGGTGTCGGATATGGTGAGGAAGCGGAAATACCTGAGCTTGCCCGAAGTCAGGAGATTTATGATTCAGCTTTGCGGGGCGGTTAAATATATGCATAAGAGAAACGTGGCCCATCGAGACCTGAAAATGGGGAATCTGTTTCTCGACCGGAATATGGACATCAAAGTTGGAGACTTTGGCCTAGCTGCTATTATCCTGTCGGAGAAGGACGAAAAGCGACGGAGAACACTATGTGGAACTCCAAATTATATTGCGCCGGAAGTTTTGGATAAGAGCAAGGGAGGCCATAATCAAAAGGTTGACATATGGTCGCTTGGCGTAATTTTGTGAGTGGACCTTACCAGCGGCTTGAATAACGTCAGTTCTGTGAATTAACCGTTGGTCCTAGTTTTGCCATGCTCACGGGATCCCCCCCATTTCAATCGAAGACGCAGGACGAAATCTACAAGAAAGTCAAAAATCTTACATATGTCTGGCCCAAGGAGTCCGAGGGTGCTAATTACATTCCAGTGGAGGCAAAGCACTTGGTCAGCTCCTGCCTGAATTTGAACGAGGATGAACGACCGGAGCCCGACCAGATTGTTGATCACGCATTTTTCAATATGTACAATGGCTGTATACCACGTCAACTGGACCCAGCCACACGCCTCGCTCCACCTACCTGGCTGACAACCCAAGACCCTCGAGGAGACCGTATGAGTCACGGATATAGTCTGGACCATGACTCGAAGTATCTGGGGAAAATAGCCCATGCGAAAAACTCCAATGAGCGATATCTTATTTGCAAAAACGAGTTTTACACAGAATGTGGGGTTGGTAGGACTTCTACTGGATCAATTAGGAGGCCAGCAGGGAAACGGTGTTCCAAATCTGCCTTCGCTGAATGTGCTGCTGAAGAAGAAAGGGGGATGCAGCCCATCGTCCCCATACCAGAAGATCTAGTCTACAGCTATTACACCGGATCCAATGGAGATTGGAGCCATACAACGGAAGAGGATGATGCTCAGCCCGATCCTGATAGTCCCATTGAGGGTGAAGTGCTTCCCAAAACGCGTAACGCATCGTATAAACAGCAAGCCGCCACAGTTGCTCGCATAACATCGGCTTTGGCTGCACAGATTCGCCGCAAAGAAGCTCAAACCCAAAGCCATGCAGCTCTCCTACGGCAGCAAGCTGTGCCACAACGACAGCCAACAATGAACCCCTCGTCTTCCCAACACCCTCAAGGTGATATTAAAGACACCGCAGAAAATGGCATTCAGACCGAGACCATTCCTCCCCAGCGGCTGCTGAATGAGCGACCAATCCGGGCACGGAGGGTAGTGTCTGGTTATTCTGCATCTGTCCGCGACAGGAACATATCGTTGACTTCCGCCTTGCCTAAATCCAATTCGGAACCAATTAATTTGACCATCGGAAAAACGAGATCACAGTCGAGGCTACAAATGGCAGCGTTGACGCGAGAGAGAAACGAATTAGCACTGGAAGCCAATGAAGTGAACCCGCTAGATATCAGAAATAAAGACATGTTTGCTTCGGTTCGCGGGATGCCTGCGAGAACAGTTAGAGTCGACCCGCGCGAGACAGAAAGACAGCGACCGTGGGAACAGCCAGTGAACTCACAGCAACAACAATCTCGTGATGTGAAACTGGATGAGAGGTCCAGGAGCGCTAACAGTAGTGGAAGTAATGGCAGCAAATCCACCAGCTCTTCTAACAAATCACGATCCACACTTGGGCTTAGTCCTCTAATACATCCCGACGAACATGCAGAACTTATGCCGGGGACGACCACCAGTGAAGTTTTGACTGATTTGAGAACATACCTTAGAAGCTTTGGGCATCTGGAATCATTGACAGCATCGACTTCAAGGACACGGCAACGGCAACAATTTTCATCACTCTCCGATCCACATCCCTATGTCGTCAAGTGGGTGGACTATACGAATAGGTACGGTATCGGGTACGTTTTGGACGACGGAAGCGTGGGCTGCGTTTTCAAAGCAGAGCACGGCCGCCCAGCCAGCTGCGTTGTGGTCCGGAATGGAGAACGGCATATCCGTCGGAAAGCCTATGCGAAAGAAAATCCTCGTAGTGCATATGCGGATGCCGATCAACTCGTGCCAAGGAATGGTCAACCTGTGGAATTTTATGAAAATGTTGATGTACAAGACAATTCATACTCTGGCGGTGGAACGAGAAGGGTGCTTGTTCAGCCGGATGCATTTGAAGTGAGGAATCAAAATGGCCCCGGTGGGCCCGGCATAAAAGTTCGGATGAATTCTGGAGTTGACTGTGCAAGGTGTGATGCGGAGAAAGTCAAACGAGTCAAGCTTGTCGACCAGTTCGGCAAATATATGATTGGAACATTGGGAAGGAGTGTGGATGAAAACTGCCCTCCCGAGGATGAGAGAAACTATAGATTTTCCGGCAAAATCGGTCAATATGTCAAATTCTATCAGCGACTAGGGAATGTTGGCATATGGGGTTTTGGGGATGGAGCGTTCCAGGTTCGTACTGTCTAGAGCAATCTGATATCGTGGAACTATCTAACTTTCTCTCCTATTCAATTATAGTTCAATTTTCCGGATCATACTAAACTTGTTATTTCACTGCCACGACATGGATCGCAAGGCTCGTCGGAGCCACAGCCTTGCCAGGCAGATTTTTATCATCTTTCTCCATCTGCGGCACGCTACCTATCAACCAGGGGCAGAATGCATCCAGCAGGTTTTGATACCAGAGCCGTTATATCTGAAAACCTGAACACCTATCTCGCCGCACTCTCAGGTCATCCTATCCACCCATCCGGAATTAGCAGCAGTCGGTTTTGCGATATATTAGAGGCGAATGCGTTCCGCGACAAATTAGACTTCGTTCAACAGGTTCTGCGGAGCTGGTTTGAGAGCAGGAGGTTAGGTAACAGAGTACTGCTACGGAATACATCATCGACGACCATTAATACTGGTCCAGATAAAACCATCCCTGACAACTTAACATCCAAACGAGGCTACCGCGGCGAAATATTTTGGGACGGTGCTCAGGAGAAATCCTGGTTGACGCCGTCTGGGGGTAAATTTGTGTGGGTTACTGTTGGCGCCCATGGCGGCGACGGCGAGTATTTTGCCGTACAGCTCAAGGGAAATCCTGAAGGCGGAACAGTCGAGTGCGTTGGCGCTGAACAGATACAAGATCTGCAAGATCAATTGATGGCGTTAACTGTGCGGTCGGGTTAAAAGGAGCTGGTGCTGGTGCTGGTGATACCATTTAATTATTTTCTTTTTTGCCCCTTTTTTGTGATATCCGAATACTACGTTCCGCTATGTTGATTGTTATCCTTTCTTGTTTTCTTTTCTCCTCTTTGGCTTGGTGTTTTGGGGTTCTTTTCTACTACTCATTTTTTTTTCTTTTCTTTTATATACACATTCTTCTTCAACTCAGCGTTTTGCATTTTTACTTCTCTGCATTCCCTCGCTCATCGAATGCCTTTGACCTTCATGGTTCATTTTAACGAAGTTACGCAGCGCCTGTCACTTTCTCCTGGTTTCTAGCATGGTACTAGGCCTTTCCGTTCTCTTGTTCATTTAACTGGCGTGACTGTGCTCTGATTCTTTGATTCTTCTGATCTTAACTTCTACCTTGAGTTGCCCATCTCCGGTCACGGATATGGGCATTCTTACTACTTTTTTTTTTTTTTTTTTTTTTTTTTTTTTTTTTTTTTTTTTTTTTTTTTTTTCCCTATTCTAGTCTACTCTATCCAGCAACCTGAGCGTGTAAATGTGCGAATCATTCTGAAATTGGACGGTTTCATTGTTCTATTGGTTCGTTCTCGATGTTCCCTATCGAGTTTTGCTACGGCGGCGAGTATAATTGGTGATAGTTGACTTGTGGTTGATGCGATGAGCAGTATATATATAGCATAGATATTCTCTATAGTAATTGAAGCGATGACACGGAATGTGAATAGCCGGCAGATATCTGAATTCATATCCACGCTTTTCCTCACCTAGAGCCGACGTAACGGGAATAGCTTATACCATAGAAAGCAATTCATAGTCATTCAAACTGAAATGTTTATACTCTATTTTAAAAATGATCTACACTCTACACTATCATAAAAATGGACGTAGACATATCAATCTACATACTGTATACTTTATTGCGCTCAGCTGTTCATGTTCAACGAGACTAGTATCCCGCTTTTCTCCTGTAAAGATTAATCAATGGCTCGCCCTTCTCCAATCGGCCCAAATTCACCTTTAACACATCCAAAGCCCTCTGCATATACTCAATCCCTAACGAACTTATATGGGGTGTAATATGCAAATTCGGTGCATCCCACAGCGGATGGTCAGCCGGCAGCGGCTCTGGTTCCGTTACATCAATCGCCGCCCCACCCAGCTCGCCAGACTTCAAACTCGCCATCAACGCGTCCTGGTCAATCACCTTGCCCCTGGAGATGTTGGTGAGGAAAGGACGGCGGGTGGTGCGGGTGCAGGATTTGGAGAGCAAGGCCATTTCTTCTGCACCGATGAGATATTCCGTCGAAGGCGTCAGCGGGACCGCCACTAGGAGGTGGTCCAGGTTCTGCGACAGGAAGTCGTGGAGAGCGGCTTTGTCGGTGCCGCTGTGCCAGGATATCGGTAGGCTGCCGTCGGGGTCACCGGTGTTCGGGACTATGTAGCCAGTATCTCGCCGGGATTCAGGGGTCGGCCGCGGAGAGACGGTAAATGCCAGCACTTGCATGCCCATGGCGACAGCGACACGGGCGACTGCGAACAAGCTGTGTTAGCGGTGGTATTTTTGCGCACGGGAATATTGTACTGGCCTCGAACGTTTCGCAATAATAGAAATGTAAAGAAGTCAAGGTGGGGGTAAGAAAAATTTAGAATTGACCGAAATTGTGGGGTTAATACCTTGCCGCCCAATACTTCCATACCCCAAAATGCCCACTCTTTTGCCTACATTATCCTCCATCTTGTTGATGAGGCTCTGATTATGCGTCCAAATATGCTTCCTTTGCCATTCGGAAGTTTGGTCATACATCTTGGAAGACACGAGCCAGTTCATCACCACCCATTCGGCGATCGGTGGGCCGTGGATGCCGGAGGTCGTTGTGAGATCAATATTAGTGTCTGTCACCAGCGGGTGGTTTAAGTAGCGGTCCATGCCCGCAGAGATTACATGGACCAGTTTCACACTAAATGCAAAAGATATGGCCCGTTAGTAATGACTTCTCAGGCGCAAGTGTTTAACTGGATTGTCGCATTGTCGCTAGTAGCAAGGAACAGGGTCGTTGCGTACTTGGGAATGTCCTCGAGTGTCGGCGCATAATGTAGCATACACAAAATGGTTGCTGAATTCAGGAGGTCTGCAAAAGCCAGAATAATTAGCAAAATTAAATTCAAATTGTTCCCAACTGAACGATGCCGAAGAAGGGAGCCATGAAAAACGAACGAAAAGAAATCGTAGAAGAAACCCGGATTACAAAATATACAACAAGGAGCGTATCAAATTGGGTATTATAGGTTCTTCATACTCAACATTATGACCGAACAAAAAAAAATAAATATGGTTGGATCATCGTACTGTACATTCACGTCTGGCAGCGCACATAACTAGTGGTAAATATATCGTGGGAGCAAGTTTACATGTTAGGATTAAACCCACCTTTTGGCACAGCACCATTGACCTGCGTTTCACGCTGCTGCTCAAAGTAAGACACTCGAATATGCGGAAAGCTTTTGCGGATATCATTTATCAAGGCGGCTGGTTCGGGGAACGGAAGTATCACCACAAGGTGTTCTTGCGACGAGGGAGCGTCACCCATTTGTTGACTTCGAGATTTTTGCTTGCTTGAGCCCGTCAATGTTCAGGCACTCTATTTATTTACATGCACTGACTTTAGTGTAGATGAAATGGCACAGGGCGGGACCTAGGGAGTAAGTTATATAAACATTAGCCTTTTCTAACCGCTCTCATACTCGGACACTTAGTTATTAGAGTTCTGAATAATAGTTAGTTAACCAACTAGTTATCTAAGAACCCCTGCCGAACGTACCTAGGGACGACTAATCAGACGCCCCATTGCGGGGTCTCTGTTTAAGGAACGGAACAGAGGGATGAGGACCCAGGGCTACGAAATATCACGATATCCGTATAGAGGTGTTTGTGAGCGAGTGCAGTCTAGATTGTTGATACCTATAATGGTATACAACGTATTCAGACAATAATGCAACGGCTAAACTTCCCTGAACCGTTATATATATTTGGCCAGTCAATTCATTTTGCCACTGTTGAGCGGCGGACGGGACAGGCCCTAAAAGACCCTAAAATGGGCCGACAGACAGTTTAAATCTGCTTATCATATAATGAACGCCCTCTGAGTCTCTGACCTCGGGTATCGAGTGGAGCATTGAAGAAGTGGATTAGTTTGAAACTGGAGGATTCGGCTTCGGCAGAGGATTATTATTGAGAATTTATTCTGAAGCTGCCGAGGGCGGACGGCGTACAGGCATAATGATCAATAGTTAATCGGCACCGGTAGTTGAAAGATTTAATTATGCCATGTCGGAAGCCAGTAAAGCCGAAGAAGCAAAACGACTGTGCTGAAGAAAGGTGAATTTCTCGGGGCTTGTAAATGCATCTGGATAGGGCTGTGTGTGTGGGGAAGAGATGAACGGGCTTCCAGGGCAAGGATGGTCAGACTCTAATTGCACATCATCTCTAACTATCGTCAGATGAAGAAGCATTAAACGCTACTGCGTACGCATAGTACTGTGTACATCTCCGGCGGCTATTGGCCTGGCCATGCATGGCCTTGGGCTAGTAGACAGCCCTTTTTTGGTCGTGCTATGCTTTAAGCTTTTTATCTCCATTGTACTGGATATCTGGCATTTGGAGCATGGACGTAATGTCGCGTTACTAGAGAATGATGGCTGAACGAGCCGTATGGCCTATGACTCTTGGTCAGTTTAAGTGATGTCGGAGGTAGGAACAAGAGCGAAAGAAGCATGATCAGTATGTTAATTACAAGGTCATTAGGTGGAGCGTGAGCGTCATTTGAAAGAGCTGACTTGAGAAATAGATAGGCAATGAACAAAATCAGTTACATTCAAAGTGAAACGAAGAAGGCAACAGAATCAGAGAGTAGAGAAGAGAGAGCTACGAGAGACGGAGAGAGGCAGAGCGGGAGAAACGATGCTAGAGCACAAATATCCGCCCGAATGATAAAGCGTACCTTTACGGCTTCCAATCCATGGATTATTGCTGAAACCACGAGAGATAAAATCGGAAAGGGAGAGACATTGAAAAATGGAAAGGAATGAAAGGCACGAAAGACAAAGGTTCAAATGGTGCCATTGAATGTGGTAGCTAGAAAGGGGTTGGGGGGTTGGAATTTTCTCGGAATTTGAGTACGTAGTGTCAACGGGACAAATATCGTCAGATGGCCTGTTAATGGTTTCTTTTATTTGCAACATGCAATACTCTTTCTCACAGGGCTCTGAAAGTGAGTCAGGGTGGGAACTTGAATAATGCGGTGATGGGATGAGGATAAGATGGCTGGAAATAGAACTTAGAAGAGGATGCACGTTGCGATGCGGTCAGACACTTAAAAAGTATGAGTAGGAGATAAAACAAAAAACCTATGGCTAAATTCCAATAGCGGTCATCGCAGTTATGTGTCGGTGATTATTTTCCTTTCCCGGTCAACAGTGGACACTCCTCAGTCCATCCCTTAGCAGCCGTTCATCAACCGCATTGCTTTCCCCTCATTTTTCTAAATACGTCAACCTCAAAGGGCCTTTTCGACAGCCACCAGCTCCTTGAAGCCTTCGGAGTATCTCAAAGCCTCCTGTTGTGTCGGACTCGGAAGAGGCTTACGCGCATATCCACCGTATCCAAAGTGAGATAGCAGGCCACTTTTAGTACCAACCACGCCTCCTTGAATTGCAATCCAATCCCCCTGGGCCACAACCGCTTGTAGCTCTTGGGCCTCAATGTGTTTCCCAGCCTTGTAAAGCTCAATGATCTTGACGCAGGCTTTGGGGGCGATGTTTGCTAGGCCGCAGATAACGCCTGAACCGCCGCCAATTAGAGTCTGCATGGTGAAATCTGCAGATCCACCCATACACATAAATCCTGAGCCATCATCTGATACTCTGCTAGCTTTAGTCCCTGCTGCTATCCGATTCAGCTTTCCTGTATTGCCACAGGTAAGCTTGCAGCCAACAATATTTGGGTGTTTTGCCAGTTCGATGATTGTATCAGAATCCATGTCTATGCCCGCCGCGCCGCCCGGGTAGTTGTAAACTAATATTGGGATCGGGGATGCTGTTGCCACATCTGTAAAGAATTCGATCGTTGACTGAGGTTTGTAGAGGCCTTTATAATATGCTGGTGGAAGTACCAATGCATAGTCGCCTCCAGACGCTGCAGCCTCCTGACAGAGGCTGATAGTCTCTCGTGTAGATTGCGCTCCACACCCCACCATTATAGGAACAAGAAGAAACCTCTCTCTATCAAGAGCTTCCCGTGTTGTTTTGGTTACCAAGTTTCGCTCGTGGTGTGACAGATGGACTGCTTCGCCGTTCGAACCTTGGGTTGCCAACCCAGCAACCCCTGCTTTGGCCATACGAATCGCATGGTTGGAAATGGTATCTAGGTCCAATTCTTCAGATATTTCCTCGAAGAAGGCTACCGTTGGTACGTAGATTCCCGGTTTCAGTGGCCGTGATTCGTGATTATGGCTTTGGCCAAGGGAGGCGTTGGAGAAGCCATTGCTGTACCGAGCAGCTCCATGCCCTATAGGATACCCAGCCCGGCTGTGGTTGGGACCAGATGATGGGGCGTCGTTATGAAGGGGCATCTAGTTCGTAGTGGTATAAATATGGTTTGGCTGAGCTCGTTAAAGCAAAGGGGCACGCACCCCTGAGAAGGGAACAGGTTTCGGAAGGCTTGAAATCTGGAGAGACTTCAACGGCAAAGAAGACTGCTTTTAACGTGACTTGTGCGATGTTGAAGGGGGATTCATGTAAACATTCAATTAATTGAAGCCCTAGTGAAGGCAATAACAGAACGATGCAAAAAAAAAAAAAAAAGAAGACATCTGAATCCTCAACACCGATGAAGGTCTACATCAACTAGGGTATTAGGGGGTAGGGGTAAAAATTCCCGTCCGCAGCGGTCCTGTACCCTGCTCCTCAAGCTGCGGTGTATTGATCCAGCCCCGATCTCCAATCGCATGCTTGGGCTACGTTCAATCTGCCCGATTGCCTCCATCATTGGCAACGAGGAAGACGAGAAACATTCTCAATCTGGGCGGTAGCTAGAGCTGCAACCACAACAGTCTGCGAAGTTCGATGTATCCACTACCTAGGGAAGCTTTGATAGAGCGGCCATTGAGGGGTGGTGAAGCAAGATCATCTGCTCGGTGTGAAATAGTGCTGAAAAGCCCGCATCTTGATATTGGTCAAACCTCGCAGCAGCTCGTTGAGAGTTACATGCTTGAAGCAGCTGGGCTGTCGAGGGTCGGACGTGTGGGGGTTTGTATGAACCAGTGCGGCTGTCAGATTCCGATTATGAGCGGTTTGCAAGGCCCTATTGGCGTGATAGGCTCCAAGACCGCCAGCCAGCCTAGGAGGCAGGCTGGTGTTGGTACTCCTGGATCGTCGCGACTCTCGCCCGTCGATGCCCAGCAGCCATAAGAGAGCTCGGCAATTTACCACCGGTAGGTGGTTCTGTGAAGGGGAACACCTTAAATCCAGTACCCCATACTCAGGGACCACCCTGGCCCATGCAGTTGGTGTCAGCCAACAGTATCTGGGCTTAACGCGGTATGTAGAAAATTTGACCCCAGCGCCCCAGCCACAGACTCGTGATGCCTCTACGATGTACGGAGTATGCGACTAACGATCCGGGCTGCTACTATGGAGCACTAACCGACTTTTGACTTTCTATCCCACTGCAATGTCGCATGTTCGCCTGCTGGTCGCACATGTGGAATTTTTGAAATACGAACGGTAGCCCATGGTTTCTCCTACCACAGTAAAATCTTGAAGATATTGATACTGGTGTTCTGGTTTGTCCGGGCCTGTCAGCGCTACGCCCACCTTTGTCTGGAATCCGGCCGAACGAAGGAGGTCTGCTAATATCGGGCAAGGCAAAGATTGAAGGATAGAAGACGCGCGGGGTGACTGCGATGTACAGTACATCCCCGGCGGCGATGGCGCGGTGACAGTTGGGGAACTCCAAGATTCTCAGTCTAGAGCTGCAAGGCCAGCGTCATAATTGGTGAGGTGTTGCGGCGACCCTGCCAGTAAGAAGGAAGCTTCCAGGACTTAAATATTGCCCACTGTTGGTCCTAGTTGCGTCCCACAATCAACTTATATCTGGAAAACTGTTGAACCGCACGGACTGATGAGCTGCTTGGGTGCCTGGTGGAAATTCCCATTATTGTCCTTCTTTCTGCCTTGTATTCTATTCCATCTTATCCTTCGCTTTGATCGAGATTATGGAACCCTGGATTGATATCACTACTACCCTGTGCCACTCCCGGCGGAATTCGGCTCATTCTCGTCTACAATTTCTGCCACCATTTTATCCGTGGCTTAGTTCGCAATCGACTTGGTGACAGACGTAAGGTTCGGATCTCCAGTTGATGCGCGACGAGGAACAGAAGAACAGTCTGAGAGGCTCGCGAGGCGGTGCTTCAAGATCAGGCTTTCTCTCAATGTCTGGCGGTTGTTCGGCCTTAGCAATAACTGCGGCCATTGTAGCGTGGGGAGATCATTCTGGTTTGACAAGGAGTGTGTTAGGATTATCCAAATGCCGGCATTTTGCTTCTAGTTTGGATTGATGGCTTCGTAGTGTATTATTGATTCACTTTGGATGCTAGATAGAATCAAACCAGACCCACTTGCAAGTGTTTTCCAAAGGCTGAATTTCGTTAATGTGGCACAAAAGCTTTTCGAATGGGCCCGTCAGTCGCAGCCGCCAACATCCCGAGTGCCATGCAGTGACTTGGGGGTTTCTATCTTGTGGCTTTCTTCCCTGAAAAGTATCGTCTGTGCAGAATTATCCCCACGGCTCATTATCCAGCATAATAATCGAATTTCAAACCCATCTGCTGGAGACGACCATGTCACTCATTAATAAGGGCTATTAAATCGAAACTTTGGAGAGCACTGAGAAATGCTTTTTTGTGTTGCTTTTCTCGACTCTCATGCCCGTAGCTAGTAAACAAATACCTGTCTTGTGATCAAACACCAGAAACAACTAGGTGGCTATGTGCTCCTTATTTCTGACATGCGCATAGTGATCGAAATCAGAATATCCAGTTCTCCTGCCACCTTACTCTTCGAATTCGATGGGAGCAACACTCGAAAATTGACCACTCACCCACTTCATTTCCGCCTGGATTCCAATTAAACGCATACATACCCATTATTTCCCTACCCATGTTTCTGAAACGTCGCATTTTGTCCATGCGCTGCAAATAGTTAATGTTCTTGCAAATTGATCTTGGTTTTTCTGGTCGAAGAGGATGTGCAAAGCATCTGAGACTCAACTTGCAACTACCGCTCTCCTTCGACATTTTGAATTACCTGAGGCAGCCCTGAAATGGGTGGCCCCTGCATAGGTTGGTGAAGATGTTTTTAGTTTCATTTTTTGGTCCATTGATTAGTGGGAAAGGAGATGAGGCAAGCGCGTGTATTCAAACAGCATATTAAAGCATAATCAATGAAGTGTATAGCTGATTCGTGCTCCTTTTGAGGTTGGTAGAAGGGATTCCGTCGCTTCATTATTTCACTTCGTTTTGTAGTCACTGAACCTCAAAAAGTGAAAAAAAAAGACATAAAAGTAAAAGTAAAATTAAAAAAGTTGCTTAACAATCATCTTGATATTGGCAGACTTCATTCGCACATTGTACTGTGGAAGTTGACAGAACCCGCTGCTCCGCTATTCTGGTCTTCTTGTGCCCTGTAACCCGAAATGCTGGCATCAGAGTTCGTCTTTTAGCAAAAATACGTACCCCTTGCTGTAACAAGGAGAAAGATCAGTGTCATAGTTATGCGAACAGACGGGGTCAGAGAACAAACGTATGCATTTGTGGAGCAAATAATATTATTGGACCTCGCCTTGTTGACAGAGTGAAAAGCTGGGACCCAGCACTCAATAATAATGAACCAACCCCGGAAAGTTGCAAAAAACGCGGGGGTAAGCTTATCAATTTTTGGCAACCCAATCTGTTGAATGCCAAGCAACGCTGTCCTGTGCCGGAGGTGATGCAAGGCTGGCTGGAGAAGCTCGGACCCCGCCATGGTATTTCTCCCCGCAAACAAATACGATTTGTCCCAGCTCCTGTTGGATGGAGTATGTCGACGGGGGTTTCACACCCTTGTTAATCCCACTCTTTTTCTGGGTAGAACGAAATGAGGCTTTTCAATTCCCTCGTGTTGGCTAACTGGTTCTTTCGGAATAGATGATGGCTAATTTGACGCATATTCGCTGGGGTGGAGTGAGGTATCCAGACAACTCGACATTGCATTCGTATGCACGTAGGATATGCATGCAGGTTTTACTGTGGAATTCTGGGAGAAGGGACGCGCATGGCTCGGCAAAGACTTGCCGTTCACAACGCTGTCGAGGAGCCATCAGGGGAGTTTACGCTTGAAGAGGTGTGCTAGGCTAGAAGCCGCCATCTTCCATGGTTTGTTCTCGTCCAATCATCTTATTCCGAGTTTAGGCCGATAAATTGCGGATTTTGACTGATCGGGGCCAATGATGTGGGATCTTCCAATATTGCCAGATTCAGCAAGAGAGCACATGTCCAATTTTTCAAGTAGTGCATTTGACTTGGGCTTGCCTTCGCCGAAGAAGCTCTGCAAGCGGGATATCGTCCTCATCATAGAATTCAACCTCTTCGTCAACCCCAAAGTCCCGAAGTCTATCACCCTCCGGATCTCTCCAACCTTCTTCACCGCTATCGGAGTTTCCCCCACTTTCAGATCCACTCAAGTCAGCAGAGTCTGTCATCTCCACATTTTGGATGTACCGTTTGTGGAAGGGGGTTCGACGTTGAACTTCTGACACAATCTGTCGGCGCTTGAAGTCTTCTTTTTGGCGGCGTTTAAATGCTTCAATTTCTTGACTTTGCGATGCATAGTTTTGTTCACCACTGAAATCGTTTCTAAAGTTGTTCCGTGGCATCGACTTATACATTCGATCTGGGTCGGGTGGTGGCCATGACACGGTGCTTTCTAAACATTATTGTTAAATTGACCATAAATGTATGAAATAGAATACGATAATAGCCCTTCGTTTAATTCCGCCTACGTACCTTCAAAACCGTTCACCTCGAACTCTAACCCTGAACCTTGACGTGGAGTTGAAGCAAGAGGCCAAAACCAACTAATGATCTATATATGTTTGTGAGTTAGAGACAGCACATATGAGTGTGGGATGGCCTTCTGCATCTATGAGAAAATGGACTAACATTAGCGTTTCCTCCCATACCGGATTTTATATTGTTCCAGATCCCAATGTCGTATGGAAATTCCTGTTTTTGGATACGCACAGGAACGCCGTCCGGGCCATCAAGATATCCTCCAAGGACACGAGCTCGTCGAAGAAGTGTTTTATGTCTTTCAATCTCCCAAACCTCGATGGTAGTTGTGTTTCCCCCCAGACACCACAGTGTTCGTGCCAGCAGGATTACGAGTGCGAAGAGCACCGTAGAATTAAGCACAACAAGCAAGAACAGGTGAACTAGCTGTGGAAGGCTTGGCCCCAGATACTTTAGCACGAGTCATTGCATTGGGTGTTAGTAGGCGCATTTTACTTGGGTGGGATACAGAGTAATTGGGAAGCCGGCAACTCACGCTCGGCAGATGCCGGTTTTTCCAAACGACAGCAACACGGGGGTAGAGGAGACATTCAAGGTATGTCATAGAACACACTGCATAAAAGAGAAAACGAATGAAGTGGGGGAAGGTAAAATGAGAAACGCAGTTTTCTGTCCAGGGGCAGTGGTGGTCCATTTTGGGTATGCATCTGTCACGTAAGCGTTAGTCATGATAATAACAAATAAATGTCGGGAAAAAAGAGGGCAAGGAAGTAATAAGAAGCTAAGAAGCCCTCACCGCTGGCAAGACTTGCAATGGTGAGCCCGAGGAGGCTTGAAAGTATCACATCGCCGGCACCATCGTTGTCGAAAGGATGAATATTGGATACCATTTTGCGCCGTTTCTCCCGTCTCAATGACATCATTTGCGACAGACGGCTGCCAACCAGCAGGCACTTGCCCGGGATCTGTCGTACAAGCACGGTAATAACAAATCCAAAGACATGCTACCAAAACGTTAAACTTAATCAGTTGGTCCTTTCTTAGCGGCGATGGCTCTAAGTATAGAAATATATACTGCGATGAATATGCAAGGAATGTGATAAGTAAAGAGACGGCTGGGATGGCGAGGCGGGAAACGTTAATGGCAACCATCGTCTCGTGTTTATCGTACTCATCCTGCTGATGCTCCCTCGTCGTGAGTCTGTTCCATGATGCTCGATGGAGATGGACAGCGACATCTTATATCATGTGATTTATCCAGCTTAGTAATTACAGCCGCAGCTAAGTTAGATGCCCCTTGAACCAAACGACAACTCTAATCCAAACCTCTGTCATTCTTGAAACTTAGTTAACTGTCAATTGCGAGATATCTAGAATCTAGAAGCGTTCATATATAATTTATAAGGTCGTGTGTATTTTCTACAAATTTGACAATCAATACATATCAGTTGCAGTGTTGTATGAGCGCACAAGCTTTTAAGTTCAGCTAGCTGCAACACATCACTGTTTCTGAGAATGGACAATGTCAATCGCACATCTTCCCCCAGATACTGCGAGGGCAGTTAGGTCAACCTCCGCTATTTCTGACCCATGCTCTCTTGTTAAAGAGCTTATCGATAACAGCCTTGACGCTGGGGCCACCTATATCTCAGTCGAAGTGTCTGCTAATACCCTTGATACCATTCATGTCAAAGACAATGGCGTCGGCATCCATCCGAATGATCGTCATCTGGTTTGCAAACGCAGCTGTACCAGCAAACTTCAGACTATTGATGACTTAAAAAATATCGGCGGAAGCACTTTGGGTTTCCGGGGAGAGGCCCTCGCGAGTGCTGCTGAGATGTGTGGTAGCATCGCAATAACAACAAAGGTAGCTGGAGAAATGGTCGGGGAAACTTTGAAATATGATCGCACCGGGCTACTGGTCAGGTATGCTCTGCTCTATTCAAGAGATATATGCAAAGCATTTCTTCTAAGCAGTTCTGACTACGTGCGTTAGTTGTACCAAAGCAGCTCATCCGACAGGGACCGCTGTTCGAATTTCCGAGTTCTTGAAGTTGGTCCCTGTTCGGAAACAGATAGCTTTGAAGAGTGCTCCCAAAACACTCAATCAAATGAAGAAAGTTTTGAACGCATATGTGCTTTCCCGCCCTGAAATTCGACTCTCTTTCAAAATCTTAAAGACTAAAAGTGACTCCAGTTGGGTTTACGCGTCGACGGAAAATGCAACAGTTTCCACTGCAATGTTGAGAGTTGTCGGTGCCGAAGCCATTTCTCAATGCACCACAATAACATGGCCTCAAATCCAGGGTGGTGATGATGATTTCTTGCTGGAATCCTTAGACATAAATGAAAGTAATCCTTCAGCGATCCGGATTGTTGCTACAATCCCGAAGCCTGGTTCCGGTGAGTGATATCTCGTTTTATTGCCAATGATAAAGGTAACTAATTCATCCAGACCTCTCGAAAATCAATCATGCCGGTCAGTATGTTTCCATTGACGGGCGGCCTATGTCAATATCCAATGGCGTTGGGAAGGAGCTTGTTAAGCTATTCAAATCTTATCTTCGTTCTGGATCACATTGCGTTGGCAGCCAAACATCACTAGTGAACCCATTCCTTTTCATGCATCTGCATTGCCAACCCGGCAGTTATGATGTCAACGTGGAGCCATCTAAAAATGATGTCGTTTTTGAAGACTCGAAACTGGTTATGTCCACGGCGGAAAATCTGTTCAAAACCGTATATGGTGAAATCGAGTCGAAACATACTCATCAGAACAATCGCCAGCTCGAAGACCAGGGGTTATCTCCGCAGGTGATACGCTCGCCTCGCAGTCGGTCGGCCAGTAGCCGACGTACCCACGAAGCCGAAGATCAGCCATTATTTCTCCATATTCCAAGCCATGCAGTAAAACATTGCCATTCCATAGGTAACGCCCTTGTTAGCTCAACACAAGGGAAGAAAGACAATGTGTCAGTAGCAAGTTCCGCCGACACCACCTCCTGTCCACAGCTAGCCGAAAATAATCCGACCCTTTCCGATAGTTCTCGATTGACCAACCCATGGATGCTTGCTAAAAGGCAATATGTAACACCCCCGAAGAAAAACGCGCAGTCTCGCAACTTTAACTCTCATCTCCTCACCCCTGCGTACGAGGATGAGAGTTTCCGTTCTGATAGCACAATGGTAGATAATTGTACGACTAATTCTCTGCCTGCGAGCCCCGCAAACCTGACACCTATCCCTATGCAAACACCCGAAACGCGGTTGGCGAAAGCCGGCCACAATATATCTCCGACAGGTGTTAGCAAGTCACAAATGAACGCACTGAGCAGTCTCTCCGAACCCTCAGTTAGCCATGGAGGAACTCAGAGGGTGTTAGGGGGCTCGGGCAGCTTGGACGTCTGGATAAGAAACCCCCGAGATGCTGCTAATCATCCTGCTGACGAAGGCCAAGATATTGGGATACCGCGGGATAGGGAAGATTGTGAAAATCGGCTTCCAGAGATAGCTATTGCGAGACGCTTTGGTAAAGAGGGAAATGGCGTTTCCACTGGGCGTAGTCATGCATATTCTCCAGCAGGGCTTTCGCCGCGTGCATTGCTCAGTTCCCCAGGTATCCATCGGAACTCTACTCTCTCCAACACAAGGGGCTACCGCCCACCATCGATTTCATTCGAAGTAGATGATGATCAAAATTACCGAATACGTGAGTCAACTGACAACCAAAATTCTACGCCAGAGGGAGTGATAGGCGAGGCATTGGACTTCGAATACCGGAAGAAAGCCGCCACGCGGCTCTATAGGCAACTGCAGCAGCAGCAAGAGCAGCACCAAATGCCTGCTCAGCCGATGTTACTCTCATGGGCGGGAGCCAATCATGTTAAGACATCACAGAGCTCTCCGCATCAAAATCGATACAGCAAAGCCAAAGCTGATCTAGTCAGTCATTCGCCTAGGCCCAAATTACTCAGTCATGAGATGGCGTTCTTGGTGCCCGAAATGGATTCGGAAGATCCAAGGGAATATTTTAGGCGTCATAAAGATGATTTGTCTCACCACGCATCTACACACATAGGGGTTAAGAATAAACGTATACTAACAAATCAGCTACCATTGGAAGTGATACCAAATGCGTTTGCACTTCATGGACTCGCGCTCAACTGGTCGAGGAAAGACGATGTAGCGTCGATACTAGGTAATGAATTGTTTAAAGCGGATGAATACATTCGAAAAGGCATTGTGCCTCCGTCCCCTGCGTTTCTCGAGGTGCAACCGACAGATATCAGCCTCTGGACTACCCGATTATCAACCCTGACCCAAAAGCAATATCGATCCGAACATGTGGGCGGAGAAGTGGGAACCAAACTCGTTTTTGATACAGTTCCGATGTCACATGCGAGCGCTCCGTAGAGTAAGAACTTTATTGCAATCTCCCAGTTTCTCACGTGGGCGTTTCAGCACTGTTGTCCCAATGCCTCCATTTCTGAGGCGCGGGTTTACCTCAGTTTCTCCAATTTTCGCCCACCTTAGCTGATTTGTTTGTATTGTCATATATATTAGTACAGATTATAGACATCATGCATACGTTTGTATTTTTAGATGACTCTAATCATACGATTTCCATCTCCTAATGTATGGGCTGACTAGTTTTCTTTCGTTGTCGAAATTCACCGAAATTATTTTTATCTAAATTTCTTACCCTTTTTGATAGCACCCAATATGAAGTTACTTCTTATTTTTCCAAGCTCTCTGAGATTATCTAGCCGCACTGCACTTTACCCCTCTAGGAAAATTCCACCCCACTACAAAGCGCGAACCACCAAAGCCACGGGCAAACCTCTCCGCTGTGGTCGAGCTACCAAACAAAGCGTAGATCCAAGTACCTAGGTATGAGAAATTGAATACTTCGGAAATATTACCTAGCTCTTCTATCCTTGTGAAACATTGAAATTCACCCGAGCTAATACTGAATCAAGGAAGAGAAATTCCAACGAGAGAAATCTATTATTTTGTTCCCTATGTCCGGGTTAACCCTGAACAAATTACCATTTAACTAGGGCAGAGAGGGCTTGATGAAACATACAGAACCTAATTCCCTTGCTCCGAATTTCGGGTCGGACCGAAGTCGCCCGTATCAGGGCTATCAGTTGCTCATGAACAAAATGGCTTGTGACAATCGGACCATCTCATTCTTATATGTTTGGAACAGAATGCAAAGCCTGAGATAAAGAAAATAAAAGAAAATAAAAAAAATATTACACCCCATAGAACCTGATGACTCACGGCGCCTCCTGTCATTCCTAAATCAAATCTTGAACTCCTTGCAAAATCATCTTCTCACCATCCTTCCGCCGAAAGCTGTCTTATCAATAACAGACCATGACAGTTGCAACCACAGAGCAGGCGCAGGTGACGCCTACGGCTCAGCCCGTAAAGCAGACGTGGAAGCAACCATCGCACCCAGACGCCATCACAGTCCGGTCTTCGCCTGCTCTCGCCTCGGGCTCAGAAGCCGCCGTTGAAGGTCCCTCCTTCAATCTCACTGCAGTGGCCAGCAAGAATATCCCAGCTAATACCCTCATCGCGAAGAACACGTCCACCACTCTCGCCTCAGAAAAGGACTACTCCACCGTTCAAATCTCAGCAACGCATCATATCAGACTGAACTCGGATCTACTATACTGCAACCATTCGTGTGACCCCAATGTCCGTTTCGTAACGTCAACGCTCGCTTCACCCAACGTCGGGCTGGAAGAACAGGTTTCCGGTGCAATTGAAGTTTGGAGCACGAGAGATATTCCGGCTGGAGAGGAGCTTCGATTCTTCTACCCAAGCACAGAATGGGAGATGGCACAGCCGTTTCGCTGCTCATGTGGCGCGGAGAAATGTCTGGGTTTGGTCGATGGTGCGAAAAAGGTTTCTACGGAGGTGCTGAGGAGGTACTGGCTCAGTGGACATATCGAGTCCTTACTGAACGAGAGGGATGGACTGAATTGATTTTTCTACCGAGCGACGTTCTACCCCTCTTTGGGCCATCTGGGAATGAAATATTTAGGTGCTTTGAATATGGACGGGGGAAACTTTCGCCGCTCACTTCTTTCTGGGTGCATGAACAAGAGGGCCAGCGGGAAAATAGGGAAACAAGAGCGAAAATAATATATATACAACTGAGGCTGAAGCTATGGACAACTAAATATATTAGGAGGAGTGCGCGATATATACAACATACATAACTGAATAGAGGGCATTATGTACATACATGTACAGACTAGACATGACTATAGTGGTTTTAATACAAGGCATCTTCCAACACCATTTCAATAGCTTGTGTACTCATTACTATGTTTCTCTACCATGGCAAAAGAAATCAGCATAATGCCTGTAAGGATACTGAAACTACGCAATGCAAGCGTCTCTCGCACTTGCACCAATGGAGCGTTGTTAAACGGACATTCGCAGTCTCATCCCCTCCTCATCTAGGATTGGGGCGTGGACAACTTCACCCGCTGAAGGAACAAGCCCTTGATACAATGTTTCTGCAGCCTCAGCTGGAGTCGAGTTAGCTTTCCGGTTCATCCCGGAACCAGGCTCAATACCGAAAGTCCAAATCAGTCGATGAGGGGCACCGAGATAAGAATCTCTGGGAGGAATAAAGAAGTACATATTCTGGGCATATGCGTGTTAAAGTTAGTGCGAGAGAAGCTCTTGTATTCCTTGGATTTGGTTGAAGATGCTCCGCGACGAAAGCAGAGCGGGAAACTGTTCCCTGGAACAAACTTTTTACACTTTTGTAATTGACTCCATAAATTACCAGACACTGATCAATATAGCTATCCTCCGTACTTGTACATGGTAATGTAAATCTTAGGGAATGGTTTCTAAAAACATTTCTGTAGCCAATGAACAAAGGCTGATCAAATTAGGGTTGCTGACTCAGCAGAAAAAATGTGGCGGGAAACCCATGACATCATCGTCTCCCCTCATTATTTACGGTTGATTTATTGCTAACGAACTGATCTGACCAGCCATTGGAGTACAAAGGACGAGTAATATCCGATATCGACGCCCATAAACAGATATTCGTTCCCTATCCATTCCGAACAACAGCAAGAATAACAACCATGTCCCGTCCAATTCCCGTCACCATAATCACAGGATTTCTCGGCGCGGGCAAAACAACCATCCTGCTCAATCTCGTCAAGCAATTGCCCCCAGACTACCGGCTAGCACTCCTAAAAAATGAATTTGGAGACCTAGCCGTAGACTCACAGATAGCCGCCGCGAACTCCATCTCCGGTGTCCGCGAGCTCCTGAACGGATGCATCTGCTGCAACCTGGTGGGACAACTAGGCGACGCCCTCCTCCAACTCCGCGATGAAGTAAAGCCAGACCGCATCGTCATCGAGACAAGCGGGAGCGCATTCCCCGCCACGTTGGCGATGGAAGTGAACCGCGTCGCGCGCGAGAATAATGGCCAATTCGTCCTGGATGGGGTCATCAGCGTGATTGACGTGGAGAATTGGGAAGGGTATGATGACACATCGTACACGGCGAAGTTACAGGCGAAGTACACGGATTTGATTATTTTCAATAAATGGGAGGACGTGCCGGAGGAGCGGTTTGACATGTGTTTGGACCGCGTGGCTGATCTGGAGCTTGATACTGCCTGGGTGAAATCGACGAAGGGTTTGGTGGACAAGGATGTCCTACTGGGGATTGACGGGGCGTTGCTTGCCAAGGAGATGTCGGATCGCGGACATGCATCGCTGGATTTGGTTTTGTTAAATGGAGGCGATAACACAGTGGCCAAGGATGCTTATGTGCAAGAGCATAACCATGGGCTTGGTGAGCCTGGGGAAAATGAGCACCAATCAGAAGTGGACGTGCTCTCCGTCTCGCTCACCAGCTCTCAGGAGTCTGATACGGTGAATCCGGAGGCATTGACCACCCTCCTCCTCTCTGCGCCCAAGGATGAGGTTTACAGGATAAAAGCCATTATTCAATTCCCGGCCGATTCGCCTCCGGAAGACTCGTCAGGTGAGAAGGCTCAAGTGCCTACACCACAACCAACGCAGGAGGGAGACGTGAATGTCAATGGAGCTGCCCCTTCTGGCAGCGGAGCAGGTGGCATCAAGACGCAGAATTATATTCTTAACTGGGCCTTCGGCCGATGGACATATACCCACTCCCCAGCCTCGATAGACAACGCTTCTAAAAGCAGTGGTGACGGTGAAACAGCAGCAGCAGCGCCTCCCGAACAGGCCATAATTGCGCGTATGACGCTTATCCTTGCCAGGGGTGAATCTCACAAGTGGTCGCGGAAGCTGGAGAGTGGCGGATTGCTGGAGGTCGCAGGCGACTCTGGAGAGGAGAAAAGAGGTGAGGTGAAGGTGGAGCGTCTTGCTTGATGTTTGGCGTATACGGGTTTATTGGGGAAAAGGGAGCGTGAAGAAGAGAAGATGATTGATGTAAATGCTGCGGTATACCATGCCAACCGCGCTATTTTGCTATATGGAATGTATATATTTGTGTTTATAGTATTTTCTTTTGTTGGAGGCAGGGTACCTGCATTTCACAACATCTGGATAGATAAAAAGGAGGGGAAAGAATGAATAGGAAGACATTGGAACTGGCAGAGAGTTGAGTACTAGCGCAGTCACCAATCTTCCAGTGATGATCAAGGATTTTGCTCTTTTACAAATATCATTCCTCTACACACGCACTATTTCAAAACATCTATGCATCATTAAAGCATAAGAGATTGAGTTGCATGCTTTTCCTTCAATTACTCAAAGGGACGCAACTCCCTTTTCCTTCCCCTCTCATTCCGCTCTTCCTCATGACCTGAGACGACAGATATCAGGGGTTTTCATGCTTGACAAGCAGTTACTTTGGGACCGGGGATACAGACTTCTTTACGAGTATTCTGCAAAGTACCGTGAAGAAGTAGGACAAAGTAGTAGACAAAGAAATAGATAGGTTAGTAGAAAGAGGAGGACAATTGATTAGCTGCACATTGTCTTTCACCCCATTTTTATTCAGAGTGGACAAATGCAGGGAAATTGTTCGGAGAACAGGGTTGAAAGATGATGGCGATTGCACTTCTCATGATTTAGGGTCTGGTTCGCCTTCATTCACATCCTTCTCCCCGGAATAGGAGTGCATGTATCTACCTGCTTGAGGGGAATAAAGGAAGTGGGCTGTAGAAAAGTGTAGAAAGGGAATAGAGGAACAAGAGGAACTAGATAATATGCCAAACTTTTTTTCTCTCGCTGTACGTGAAACTAACTCTGAATATAGATGACAGGTAAATGTATTAATTAAACCAAAACAAATCGTCCAGAGATCTAACCAAAAAATATCAAGTTAGAGAGGGAAGAATCCCGACAAAAACGAGACATTATATTATCAGAAAAAAATATTTTTTTTGGTTTCTTTCCCTTTTCTTTCCTTTTTCTTTCTCTAAATGCAAGAATATAAATCAAGCAATCCCCGATATTACTTCCAGGCTGTGCCTAAGAAAAGAAAGCTCACATTCTCATGGCATAATATTAACGACAGTAGCCACTATCATACTTCTTTCCCACTTCGCTACTTGCATTTTCATTGGTTGAATTAAGCCGATAAACGATTCTCTCAAATATCGTTCGAGTATTCCAGTAACGCGGTAGCACTGGGCTCAGTGGAGATGTAAATGACTTCATGTTTATCGGTGAACCCATTGAAACGCGTTGCGCTGCACTTGGTATATGCACCCATGTTCTCGAAGTAGAGCCAATTGCCGACGTCGAGGGCCCCAGGGAGGGTGGTGCGTTCCGTGATCAGATCGATGCCATCACAGGTCGGGCCCCAGATTGAATACTCGATTGGCGTGCAGACTGGGCTTCCCATTGTCAGAATCTGCGGCACCGGATGCTGGTGATCGAAGATGATGTTGGAGAAGTTGCCGTAGACACCATCATTCAGATAGATCATGTAGGCTTCGGTGGCACTATCCGTAGAGGCGGAGTCAGACATTTCCAGACTGACATCACGACGTGCAATTACGTTCGCAGCCAGTGTGAACGCTGACGCGACATAGTAGCGCCCAGGCTCAGCGATGACGCGGATATGGGGAGGAAAATGCTCATCAAGAGCGTCGCTGAGGGTAGCTGCAAAGCGTTCAAAGGTATCCTCAGAGAAGCCCCCACCGACATCAAGGACTTTGAGATCGAACCCAGCTTCAGCAGCCTGGTCAAATACGTAGCGGGAATCCTCCACGGCCTTGACGAATGACCTCGGGTCCTCAGCTCCCGACCCGACGTGGAAGCTGACACCAACGACATTGAGCTTGAGCTCCTTGGCCAACTCGAGCAGAGAGCGTGCAATGGAGAGGGAGGCTCCGAATTTCATGCTCAAGCGGCACAGGCTAGCAGAATCGTCCGTCAAGATGCGGAGATACAGTTCGGCATCAGGGCACATTTCCTTGATCTTGTACAATTCATCGGAATTGTCAAAGGTCATCTGCTTGACGCCCACCTGTGAGGCGTAGCGGAGATAGGACTTCGTCTTGCACGGCTGTGCATAAATGATACGGCTCGGGTCGACGCCAACACCAAGGGCCAAATCGATCTCCGCTTTGGACGCACAGTCGAAGCCATTGCCCAGTTTCGCCATGAGACGCAGGACTTGAGGGTCGGGGTTGCATTTGACAGCTGAAAATGGATTCGTCAGGATTCAATGGTTTTTCGTTTTTCTTTTTTCTTTTCTTTTCTTTTCTTTTTTTTCGAAAATGGAGAAAAGTAAGAGCAGGTTCAAGACATACCGTAAAACGGCTTCACACGTCCCAGATTCTTCTTCCAACGGATATGCTGGCGATAAACCTGACCCAGATCTGCGACATAGAACGGGTCTTCCTCGCCGGGGTGGCAGTTGTGGATATCGATCTTCGCGACTTTCTCCTTTAAAATCTCAAAGATCAGGTCCTTGGAGGCTTCCCTAGCTTGAAACAAATCGAACCCGCCATGATTGTGAGAGGACTTGTAATTATTACTGTCGTCAGGATAATTTTGGTGCACATATATATCATGGGGTACGAAGGCAAAAGGTGCCATAACCATCCAAAAGGATAATGCCGGGTTGAGTTTTGGTAGGTTGTAAGTGTAAAGAACTTGTATATATATATGAGTTTTTTCTTTCGTTTAGGATAGATGGGTAGACCTTTTAACCCGGGCGTATGGATTCGTGTTAGGGTGGTCGGAACGTCTCAACACAACCGAAATTGACTGGACCTAGCCTCCTCGACTCTTCCTCCTGAAGAGGAAGAACCTGTAGAGAAGTCCTATGCGGCAGCTTAATGTTCTGGGGAACGAGGGGGTTGTGCGCTGAGGGATCAACGAGCACAAAAGACGGGTTGCGGAGAGCTACTTGAAGGACAGCCAAGCGCGTTAAGAGGATGGAAACGCTGGTGAAAAATGGAAGAGGGGAGAGGGGACGTAAAGAGGGATCGTTGGCTTCGGAAGCCGTTGTGGGCAAAGTGCCTTTGGGGGTGTTCGTCCCAAAGGCGCGGGTTCTGTTGTGGGAAAAGTTGGTGAGGCGAGGGCTCGATCGGGCTAGAATTGCAGGGAGTCCGTTAGAAATGACAGATTCTTCAAAAGAGGAGCGGGAGCAGAATGCAGTGAAACGGGGAAGAGATCAAGAGCATCAAGGACAGCACGCAGTCACACGGGTTTGTTTTACGAGTGGCACAGAACGGGCATCCATCGTGGACTGATGGAGGAGCGCTGAATTGGAGGGGACTCACATTTGAAGTGGACACTTGTCGTGCAGGAGGGACAGACAAGTGGACGATGGGCTCGACGAAGATATTAATAAAGAAGGTCGAGAGACAAGGGTTTGAAACAGCTGCTGTGAAGTGCTGAGCTAATGATTTCTGTCGAGTTGGTAGTGGTAGTGGTGGTGGTGATGGTTGTGGTGGTTGTTGTCGGAGTTGTGGAGGTTGAATGAAGAGAGAAAAAAAAAGAGGGCGGCGGGAGTGGGACAAAAAGTTTTTGTGGTGACGAGTTTTTGTGCGGGAGCGAATAGCGCCGACGAGGGTTGCAACCACCACCAGAGCTAGCTTTGCGGGCTCGAGTTCGACCACAGCCAGGGTAAACAGAGGCTAACTGCGCGTAGACGCAGAAAAATGGATACAGAATATAAAATATAAAAGAAAATCAGAAGCCAAAACAAGCCATATGTCCTATCCAGCCAGCCAGCCCATTGGCACACTCCTGTCGGCGCAAACAATGGGCGGACATTGATGCCCTGTCGCCCTGTGCCTTGTCTGCTCTAGCTCAATGCATCCTAGATTCCTGGAAATTGAGATTCTCATCTTTCAGACGAGTAAATAACGAAGTTCTGCAATAATTTGTGTTCCTTTTTCCCGTTCCCGTTGCCCCTCCACAAGCTTCCTTTTTAATTTACGAGCTAGAACTCCCCAAGGGTACGAGCTAGAAATTTACATGGCGGAGAAGGATGGAAGACCATCATCGATGAATCATTTCACCCTCCCCTAACTTGGATCGCCTTGATTGTGGCTAAGAATTTTGGATCACATTGACGTGGCAGTGACTGGTCTCTGGTTAGTTACCGCACATTTGTCCTAGTAGTAATAATAATCCTGTGGTAGTAAATACAGTAGCAAGCTTCTGGCAATAGTAATAATAAAAGTGTTACGGAGGTATAGTAACTCAATGCAAATTACAAATATCAAGGCAACGATAAGCCCATGCTGGAACCGCTAAATCTGACTGACCTGCATATGATATTCTCAACATTCCTCCCTCTTTTCCCCCCCTCTCCCCATCTTGAAGAGTCTATCAATAGGCGTAATGTAGCACTTGCAGCCGCTCTGCAGAAAGCCGAGAAGACGATCAACAGGAGCAAAGCTGCAGCCTGTATCACCAATGCTGAGATATATGCCGGGGTTTCTCCCATCCTATTCGTCTGCTCAGCTCCTGCTAAAAAATGGGCTCTCAAACTCAAATCCTTTGTGCCGTGGGGTGTGCAGATTTATCCGTGTTCTCCACAGGCAGCCACACTTTCAAAAAAAAAAAAAAAAAAAAAAAAAAAAAAAGGAAAAGAAAAGAAAAGAAAAGTACTCTCCCCTTTGCCTCTTCAGAGTCCCCGTGGCCTCCGTTAATCCATTATTTATGTAAGCTACAAGAACGAGAACGGAGCGGTGAGCTGCACCAGCAGCCGATGTTCCATGTTCTGGCGGGGGTTCCTCGCAGACCTCCTTATCTCTAGCTGTGTGTTCTGGCCATCTCTCCCTGCAGTCGTCGTGGCCCCAGCTATCGCAATTCCAGCGGTCGATAAACAAACAAGGGATAGACCTCCACTGTATATATGAGGGATTTTTTTTGGTCTGTTAAAAGAATAGCCGGACAGGCTTAATCGTTATTATCATCGTATGCTGTAATCTCAAATTCGTGTCTTTTTTGTCCGCTGCAAAGCGAGAACACCACTCTCACATCATCAACTATCTGCCGGGGAATTTTTGCGAAACGCATATAGTTCGATATCGACTGACTCATTTTCTGAACCAAGGGTGGGCAGCGGGGCAACGGCACGGCTATCGATTTCAAATCCTGCGTTCTTTATAAAATCAAAGAACACTTCCTCACTATCGTGCCGCCTTTTTAAGGCCACCAGCACAATAGCACTAGGAGAAATTTGCACCAGCGCTGTAAGCATTTGAACCAGGGCTGGGAGGCTGTCTGCATTATAAGTGCAATCCGAAACAACAATCAGATCATAACCATGTTGAGCAATTTCTTCCGGCACAGCTTCATCCCAGTCAAGCACCTGGAATCGAGCACTGGACAATCTAGCAGGAGTGGCAAACTCCAAATTGCGGCTGATGATATCCCGCACCTCTTCAAGGTCGGTGAGCAGTACTGAGCACTGAGGAACTATCTGGGCTATTGCGATTCCGACAATCCCGCATCCCGTACCTAGCTCGATGACGCGAAGTGGTGCGCCCTTTCGCTCATAGAATAGTCTTTGCAGTGTGGGAATAGATCCTCCTAGGCGCATATATGCATTCTGAATTTCCATCACACATCCCAACGCAGCGTCCCTGTATTTTATGTCAATGTTAGATGGTTTTTGGATGGGTACAGATTAGGTGTATGGGTAAATATGTATGCACTGTACATATACACAGCGACCCAACGAAGCATAATATTTTTGCTAGTTGACTGATAGAGAAGAAACACTTTTTTTTAACTCACCATATATGCCGGGCAATACTATTGCCCGTCTCTTCCCACGCCCTCAACTGCGGTCCAATTTCCAGCTTAAAACATCTCTCAACTAATTTTTCCGCCTGCGGACCATAATTTCCCCCAAACTCAGCACTCCAGGCAGTAACAATGCTGGGAGCCTTGGAAGGTTCCAAACGGTCGACAAGACCAGCGTTGGCGTCCCTCACACTGAGTCTCGCAGCTTGATTCGTATCAGAGATCTGGCATGGCCCGAAAACGATCTTCAACTCTCGATTCCCCGCATTCCACGTGAATGTCTCGTCGAATGAAGTTGTTAGCTCGTTATCATTGTTGGTAAACTGCAAGATGGAAAGAAGCTCAGCGTCTTCTGCAAGGAATGTGTCCCCCAAGTCTGTCGTGATGGTGATCAATGCTTCCACAAAGCACTGTCTATGAGAAGACGCCACTATTCTGGGGGTCTTGAGAAATCGGATGTAATGGGGCATAATTCAGAGTGATGGTGGGGATATTAGTGTTTCTGGAGAACGGGTGCCAGAGAGATATATATATATATATGTAAGCTTCTTAAAGAGGTCATGCCATATGCTTCCGTTTTAGTTATAGGGAGTAAGTAATATAAGCCGTAGAATGGTATGGGATAGTTTGAGCGGAGGTTGACGCACAGTCTCGCGTTCTAGCTGCACTGCTTCTTTTATGGCTGCCTTTCCCTCGCCGGCTTAAACAAAATGGAAAACGAATAAAGGAACCTTTCCAGCGCTGCGATTTCTTTCTTTCTGTCGGCTGCTTGTGGAGAATCTCAATACCAGCCTTGGAACAAACTGGCGCTCTTTGGTCGCTCAAGCAGCCAGCTCTCCTGCAAACAAGGCAAACTTCTGGGGGCGGTTCACATCCCATCCCTAACATCTCGTCGTCCCACCGACATATACAGAGTATCTTTCCCGCGATTCCTTAACACTACTTTCTCATGCTGCCGCGCACTCCCTAGACAAATGATGAAACTGAAAACTACTATCAACCAAGGGATCATACTGGATACAAAATCCCGCAGAAAGAACCCCTGGTTACAGCCCTACCTTTCTAATTTGCTCAGCCGTCTTAGTATCCGCTCCATGGAACTGGACAGGCAGGATCCTGCCATTCGCGATTTGCTCGCTCAGCCTGCCGCATACAATTATGAAACCGTGCATTGTTCTCCAGCAGCATCCCTATAGAACCGTCCATCTTGGCGAGAATGCAGACTCAAGCCAGCCGCACGGATTTGGCGCATGCGCAAGGAGTCTTTACGTCAAGTTTCCGCTCTCCTGTGGCGTGATACGGATTAGGCTACACTTATCATCTATTTCAGTGGATGGCAAATTGTTCTCCTATTGGTGCATTTCCACTCCTAACATACCTGCAGCGCCACGGCTGCTGACTTGCTGGTTGCCTGGTTGCCTTATGGTCTATGGACAATATGTACAGTACATATACATACATGTACGATTTTCATTCACCCAACGCTTCAACCAAAGTGCAGGGCAACCACTGAATAGGAGGAGACTGTTAGTCGATGTTGGACAGCTCTTTGATATATCGCGCTCAGCTTTGCCTACGCGTTCGAAGTTCGTGGGGATCAACGTATTAGACAATACTGCTCCAGCTTCAATTCCGCTCGCTGTTTGTCAACTGGAGTGTAGCTCAATCGAGCACCTAATGCTTCACAAACACCGCTATATTGACGTACGGACAGACCCGAGCGGATTAATTCTGCTTGTCACATGGCGGGATTAAGGGTTAAATAAGCGACGGCCAAATGCGCTGTTTTGTCTTACCATAGAAAATTTTCAAAATCATACTTACTTAGTGCTCCAGTGCCTCCAATAGCTTGGAATTGGAAGCCCTACCGACGAGGGTATGAAGCGTATGCTGGAAGCTGAAGTTTATCTCGTTCAGTTTAGACTAGCCTCAGCGTTTCGCCGTAGAAGAAGTGAACATTCAGTTCAGTAGGAGGAGAAACGCGAAGACTTTGTTTGGCCAACTGGTTTTGGCCCAGTTAGGAATATTCAACCCCCCCCACCGGTTCTTCCAAGGTTGCTTACCGTATGGGAAAGATGCGAGGAGGAGGAGGGGTCCCTAGTCTGTATATTTGGCCTGTCAATAGATCAGGCATAGTAATGCAATTCCAGATATTCTCTCCAGACACTAAGTAAACCGCCGCCTCAACCCCCTCGACTCCAGTTTGATATTGGCAATTAGCAATCCTCAAGGCCGAACTATAAATAAAAATTGATGAGCAAATCACGTGGTTTAGGTGAATACGCCTCCCGTTAAACTATTCCCAGAAAGGCTTAGCGTCACCCTGCTCCCCCCCATATGGCTTCGTCCATGACGCTCGAAGGCGGATGGTGGTTGATGAATGATCTTGACATCCAAACTCAATTTATCGTCGCCTGGCAGAGCATAAGATGCCACTGCCCGCCGTTTTACCCACCCTTACACTGCGATTTTAATATCGAACCGAATCCACACCCATTGACTGTCGCCCAATGCGCCCGCAACCCCTGTCATCCGTCTAATCATTAAGGACGTCACTTGGCGCACCATTCCAGACGCCGCAAACATGATGCGCCCAAGTGATCCACGATTCCGCCAGACCATTAACCAGATCTCCCATAACCTCGAGTCTGCCAATGAAACCGCTCAAGAAGGGATATATACCTTTTCGCACAACTATATCGGCCCGTGCTTCGCGGGCATAAAGAATGGCATCAAATCCTGTACCGCCCTTTGCTTCCCTAGTCGCGAGGACCAGTTACGTCGTCGCAGGCGCGGCAGGTCAGGTGTTCGAGCAGAGTTTGACTTCGATTTTTATGACGACTGGGACTACGATGAGGATGCAACGGGGGATGGGCTTTTAGGCTGGGGAACCGATGAGTTGGATAGATTACTAGCTGGAAGCGGCGCTGCGCGCAGCTCCGCCGAGCAGCCCCGAGGTCATCCCCGCATGAGCTATGGTGCTCGTGGTGGCCGTCGAAAAAGTGCTGCGCTGCCAAATGATGAGAGGCGTGACCCTACAGTTATCCCTAGTTCTTCATTCCTTGGATTTCTAGAGAGGTTCCCCTGGAGGATAGGTGCAAAGGGAATAAGATACAGACCGTCTGCGGCTGATTTGCAGGAAAATCCGGGAGGTGCACGACGAAATGTCATGGAAAGCGAACGTTTAATTGAGGGGAGTGACGAGAGCGACATGGATGGATCAAAAGATGATGAAGGCATGCGCGCGACCAAAACTAGATTACGGAGCGGTACGCAATCGTCACGAGAAACTAGCAATTCTCTAAGCTCCCGCGGCGATCTCCTACCGAGTGACGATGAAGAAGATGCAGTACCCCTTGACGACGAATTTACTATGACATTAGGCCGCAGGGACACAGGGGGATCAGGGATACACGACCCTTCACCCACAAGTAGATCTGCCTCCGGAACATCAATGAAAACTACAGAATCTTCCAAAGACTCGAAAACATCAGGCAAAGGGAAAGGAAAACGCAGGAGGAATTCAAGGAGAACTATGTCTTCCAAGTCCCAGAAGTCACCAGTATCTGACGGAGAAATGATAGAAACAGCGCAAATTCCCTCTATGCTAGACTTGAAGAGGGAGGAAGAGCAGGCTCGATATGAAGAAGAGATGGAGATTGAGCGGAAGCGCCAGGCTGCCCAAAGGCTCGCACGAGAACGCGGTTTGAGCGTAAATGAAGATAATCGAGAGGTAAATACTCCCTCTTCCCCACAATGTTATTCTTTTGTTTCATCATCACCTCGCTAACTACGGTACTACTAGCCTGAGAATGAAAATAACGACATCCCACAAGACCCGCAACATGAACAACAACAACAATATGACGAACACACTCACGAAACCCCTTCTACCCCTGTTCAAGAACCTCGTACGCCCACTGAACAGGCAGTACAATCGCCTGACTTAGATAGCTCACCAAAGCCCTTAGATAATCGAGATACGCTCGACCAAGCGTCATAACGTTTAGACTGTTATGGCTAGCGATTATAATGCAAACGCCGCAAACCTCATTGACATAAAACCCACTCTGAGCGACTTACACTTTCATTGTCTTTCCAACCTTCTATTATAGATACCCCGTTTACCCTTCCTGTTCCCCGAGAGGGATCAACCTACTACAAACCCCCTCTCCACGACGGCTGTTCCCCTTTTACATACGATACCCGGCGTGGTATTAATAGGCGGGAACGAAAAAGGAAACCCGTTCTGTTTCTCCTTTCGACTTGGCAAGCTTTTATTTTTATTCTTTCTGGATCTTGGCTAAATAATTATTTATTCCATTTCTTCCATTTTCATCTTTCTTTCCGCTTCTTGATGTATAGGTTTCGGTTCTTTCCACATTTTATCAAATTTCCTTTTTTTTTTCCTAGGATATATGACGAATGGAGTGATTGTAAGATGTTCTTTTCCGTATATATAGTATACTTTCTCTCTCTCTCTCTCTCTCTTTTTAATTTTTTTTAATTTTTTTCCTTGCTCTTTCTTTCTTCTTTTGTTTTAAACATGCCTTATTCAATTCACGCAGAGCCTTCACCGAGTAACATCTCTCCCACGCAATGATGGCTACAGCGACAATGAACATGGTGAATTAGCAGCTACACGCGCCATTCTTCTGCCGAGATACTGAGAGAATAATCGATAATAATAAGCATGTTTAGTTCTCCGAGCAGCTGGATATCTTCAAATACACACACAAGTGCCAGTTATTATGACCCTGCAATTCCCATTTCTACCTCACATCATCGCTCTGAACCCCCGATCAGCAGTGGTCTCTAAGCCCAGAAACGCGGCCACCTGGGCCATACGATCGACGCCCCAGAAGCACTCCGTCTCGCCACTGCTATTGGTACATTCGAACCAAGGGATGCCAAAGGCACCGGTTTCCACCGCCTTATCGCTATTGGCGATTAGCAGGTCTTTGATGGGTTGGGTGTTGGACTGTTGATTTAAAATGTTCGTCGCCATTAGTTAAGATGTCTCCTGTGTATTATGTATTATGTATGGGAAAAGGGGGAGATTCATCACGGCAGAATTTTTCCCTCCCCTCTTTCTTTTTTCGTTGACTTTGTGTATTGATTTCTTTTTTTTTCCTTTTCTTTTCTTTTCTTTGTTCTTCTTGGGTTTAACATACCTGTTCCAACGCATTTGCAGCCATCTCCTTGCCCACGGCTGCTTCCAGGATGGGGAGGAAGGTTTTCGGGTCGTTGAGCTGTGAGTTGCCTTCGACCCAGAGCTCCTTGTATAAAGCGTCGAAACAGGCGGGCAACTGTTCTGCGGGGATGGCGCAGAGGGCTCGTTGGACCTGGGTGTAGGGTTTTTGTGTGAGTTTCTGAGGTGGTTCTCTCCTTTTGCTTTTTGCACCCTTCTTTGCAAAAGAGTGGACTGCAAAAAGAAAAAAAAAAAAAAAAAAGGTAATTGATAATAGCTTTGACATACACTCATCGTTAAAATGGGGAATCCTTTGGGCATGTCAGGGTACATGGGGACATTGAGGAACTTTGACCAGCGTAGGCGCTCGGTATTTGTCCATTTGTTCTTGTCTATCAGTTTTCGAGAGGTTAGATCAGTTCAAACATCATGAGACAAAGTGAAATGGTGGAAGGGGAGAAGGGACCATGGCACGTTGCGATATGACGAAAGAAAAACATACTCTTGACAAAGATGGGGGAGGTATTGTTGCATGCTTTCAAGATCCCACCGAGGAAGACGGGCGTATAGGTAATATGGCAGTTTGCGAAGACGGGGGAGTGCTAGGCAGGAGTTGCTATTATTAGTTCTGCGATGTTGAATCCCCCCCGCCCTTTTTTTTTTTTTCTAGGGGGTAGGATATGGAATGGCCCCGTTGGAATAAAAATAGAAAGCATAATATATCCCGTTAGAAGAAATAAATCAACATTAAATCATCTGAAAGGGTATCACAGGGAAATATCCTGGAGACATTATTCCGCGAGGTATTGGAATTTAGTTTAGTCGGGGATGATGTGCGCTGCTGCTGTTGCGAAGAACAGAAGAGCAAGGTCCAGCCAGGCTTTTTTTTATAAAGATCGCAGGACGAATATTGCAAGTTAGTAAGAAACTGCTCGAGGATTATAACATACTCTTGTCACATAATAGGCGATGTAGGCGAAGGGACTGACGACGTCCAGATATAGATTGATTTTCCGAGCTGCCATGCTAGCTAGTTACTATTGTGGAGGCCGGAGCTACTCTAGATGTGATGTGCAAGTATTCAGTGAGCAAAAATGCGCTTTCATCAAGCTTATTGTCGATGTTGTTCATGATACTGACCTCAGTATTTGTTTTCGAAGGGTCGGAAGGCTAGCCCAAGGCTTGAGGATAGACATGTATCTCCCTTTAATCCTCGAAGGGGTATTTATTATTGTAGTAACTTATATTTCAACGGGGGCTCGCTCTAACCGGGCCCCCTCGATGATTAGTAACTAAACTAGTTAAGTTAATTTAGATTCCATTTGGTTCTGGGCCGGTTCCCAAAACATGAAAGAGATCATCATAGTCAACCTCTAGTTAGTTAACTAACTTAAATTATATATAAGTTACTCCGTAACTACTCCGTACATACATAATAATTAACTCGGGGATAGTTAGTTAAACTAACTAACTTATTAGTGCCTGGTTGGCTGACAAATGTATTTCTACGTTAACTAACTTAGTTAAACTTAGCCGTGGCTGAGCCGAGGTTCGTTGCTTGATTGTTTCACTACTCCGTACAAGATCGTATTCTTGTTGATTTCTCTTCTCAACCAACCCAAAGACATTTTTTCTCCTTCTCCCTCCTCCACATTTAACATTTATTGATTGGTGCCAAGTAGGAATACGGGAGCATTGACCGTGTTGCAGAAGAATGGTCGTTAACGATCGTGTTGTATTATTAGTTGTCGCTCACAGACGACCCCTCTCCAACACAGGGAGCATCACTTTCGTCAGGGGAGCAAATCCCTCTGACGAACTCTACATCTTGGTAGTCTCCCTCATAGAAACTAAACTAACCAACTTATAGGGTATCAAGCTGAGCTCACTGATGCTTATGCAGCCGCAGACACGGCTCAATGCCACCGTTCACCATGCCACAAGTGCCCGCTGGAGCCGTCGAATGAACGCGGACAGTATTTTTGCTGTGCGAGTTGGTCTGACATTCAACATATATTCGTAGCTTAGCAGGGCTCAGTAGGGCTCAGCAGGGCTCAGCAGGGCCCTTCAGTACAAAAACAACGTTTTGGAACGGGATTTTATCTCTAGGAGGTCGCGATTACTCTCGCCCGCCAGAAGGATATGGACTTGCGCTCCACCATCCACCACCCAGCGCCTGTGGGATTGTTATCTGCCGTGTTTGCATCTGCGATTTGAGATTGCTGAACACGGCCGTCTATCATATCTCGATCCGATGCCGATATTCATCACTGCATCATTGGATGGAAGCAGAAACGTCCATCTGGCATCTGGCATGTCTTTCCTTCCTTTGGAAACAAGAAATCTTCTGCCATTGCTGGGTGGCTTCCCCTGTTCTTCTCCTCCTATATTCCTTCCCTCCAGCTCTCTTCCAGAACTGGGTTTTTTATTTTTATTGTTTTATTGTTTTATTGTTTACTTGCCTTTTTATGTTTATTTTCTTCAGTGAAAGAAATTCTCTCTGTTTTGTTTCGTATACCTTTTTGGCTTAGTTATATAAAATTTAATAACGTTGCAGTCGGTTAGATACAGCCTCCGTTTAAATGTTGGCAACATCAAATCATTCCATTCGCATCATCTATGGGTATGAAGAAATCCAATCCAGAAACGCCCATATCTGGGAAAGACACCTGTTCTCGGGGCGACATTGAACCTTTCGCAATTATTGAAGCTCCCGAATTTCCCCTTCATCTAAATAAACCACAAGATCCGTCTAGGTGGAAACCTTTGATAGAGGGTGCAGGCCTTAATATTACCCCTGAGCCGGCCATACTCGTGCCCGATCCATCTCCGACCAAGACGCTTCACGACAGTGACGGAGATACACCAACATCAGAGACCCTTGGAGGATCGCTTTCGCGGAGGAGGCGGCATGGGGAATACCACCATCGTCCTCCAGTCTGGAACATACGTCCTCTAGACGAGGACATTTCTGTCTCCTCAAGCATCAAAGTCGAGCTCGATTCTGATATTCTTGATTCTCTGAACGGATTGAAGATGGACAGTACCTCGTTTCACTCACAAACATCATCCAGTAATACGTCGTATAACCTTATTCCGCAGCCAAACATTAGTCCTAACGCTATAATATCTGATTCTCTTCTCGAGGAGCAGCTAAATACGACGGCCTCCACCTGGTCGAGAGAGCCGTTCATAATTGCCATGGCCGGAACGGACGTCGAAGATAGTAATGGGTCAGATGGCGATCAGCGTAACCCAGCTATAGGATTTGCTGATTCTAGACCGGACGAGCCACCACCAGATTACAGCCGTCTCAGCCCCAGAAGTCGCATTACACCTTGGCCAGCCAGCTACTCAACTCAGTCAACCGATGAGGAGCCCCCTCATATGGACACATTTGCCTCTTCCGAGCCGGGAAGCGGAATTTTGCATGTTAGCGATTCAGTTGGCCCTTCGAGTACAAGTGGCGGTATCCACGCACGTTCCCACGAGAAAGAATCTAACGATCGGGGAGGAGAAAAGGAAAGTGGCCACTTTCATTTGTCAAAATGTCCTTCTCTGTCTCCAGTGATAGAACAACCCCAAGATGAGAACTCGCCGCCTAGAGAACTAGAAGGGGGTCTTGGACCTTATGAGCGTGAGACGGTTTGTTCAGTGACCCCTACTACGGTAGAGCAACCTCGAGATGTCCCCGCACCGCTTTACCAACCATATAGGAAGCATGGTCATTCCGAGCAAAACGAATCTGCTCCACCTGTCTGGGAAGCACAACCGAACGAAACCGGGAACCAACAACTTGGTCAACCTGAAGAGGAAAATGAGAGCTCTGAAAATATCGAGACCTCCTCAACACCAGCCAGAATCCAGCCATCCCAAGGTGCCAACTCCCCGGCCGGTACCCCCGAAACAGGCGTTGCAGGGCCATCTCAACTGCTTCCACCGTATCAACAACAGCGCATCGAGTACAAACATTTAAGCACTTTCAGAGATATTCGTTGTTTACAGCCAAATAGATTCATTGGATATCCGCTTCTACCCAAAAGGAAGTTCGGGTGGGCAATTGAAGCCGGCTCCAGGGTAATATGTGTTTGCGACACCGTTGCAGACTGGGAATATAATGATGTTTTTCCAATGAGGTTAGGTGATGCCTATATTGTTCTTAAAATGTATGGTGATTTCTGGGCTTCATGCTTGAAATTGACTCTCGATGATCAAACCTGGTCTGCGTACCCAATTTATGAGAGGCATAGAGATAGGACAAAGTCTACCTATATTTGTCCAGACAAAAATGTGCAATTTCTCCCGCTGTGCGCTCTTACACTCGATGCCAACTTTGGAGACTACCTTGCGCGTCATCCCAGAAACGGGGGTCCTTGTTATTCACCGGCAACCGGCCAAGAGGTTGTGCCCCCTGAGAGAACTTTTAGTCACCCTAGAAGCCTTAGGTATCAATCTGTGGTAGTACCCAAAAAGATACTTCGCCAAGCCAAGTATCCAAATATGCCACGAGATACTGCTGCTATCCATGCACATGATTTCGTAGCCATGGATATCGGGCACGTTTGTGAATCAAAACCTTCCGATTTACTTAACGTCGATCCTGATTATACTCATATTACACCTGTTGACAATATTTTGAGGTTTAAGACCAGGATTGAGAAGAAAATATCACGTCTATCTCTCCGAGAAGCAAGCGCAAAAGTTCAAGAATCATCTGCGGCGATTGGTGGCCACTTAAGAAGAAAATTTCACTCCGATCCGGGTTCTTCTGGTATCCGGAGATTCTTTACAAACCGGGGGGCATCGAGCACGGATACGCCAACTGGGCCAAGCGAGAGTGATTCTCATCAGACTACAGAAGGTGTCGGGGATACTGCAGATCAAACTGAAGCTGTCGGAGGAAATCCTGACCAGGCCACGGAAGAGACCGCGGATTCTTTGCGAGCAACTGCTGAAGGAAATCCCAATGATGGCACCGAACGCACTCCTCAACCTACCACCACTAATCCTCAACAGAGAGACCAAATTACGACAACAGTAAATGAAGTTAAGAGATAATTTGGAACACAGAATATGAATAGTAAGGCCAAAGCCTCGAGAATTAAAGCGCCAACTTGGCGTCATTCATACAATAGCCCCTAGCCCGATTATTGTTCTTCCTCCTACAAATTGGCTCGATACCCTGTCAATATGGATAACCTGGATACATTTCATGTATGCTTTTTGGCTAGCGGGAGGTTGGTGATTTATATCTTATTGTTTTTGGACTGTAGTGGAATGCTTGCACTTATTCTTAGACGTTTCACCCCCTTAAATTTCTTTCAGTTACATATTTTTATATCAGACTTCTTGCTTTTAGGAACGACAACAGTCAATCAATCAATGTTCAAAGCATCTCTCAAGCATTACTCTACTTTCATCAGTAGGTTTTTAGGCATTTTGGCTCTTTTCTTTTGCGGCCTTATCGGTCTATTCGAATGAAATGGCGGGAAATGTCCTAGTTCACTTCAAGTGGCATCTAGTTATTGGAAAGTACGGAAAGGAAAGGCATTAAAGTAAAATATTCATGAACAAGCGTCTCATTGGTAGTCAACTAAAGTCGCGAAATCCCATCACGCGTAGGGAACAGTGCTTGCCCTTCGCGGTTAGGACATAGGTCAAGAAAATGCTACCCACATGCCGGGATGAAGCACATGGATGGGCTCAGTCAAGAGAAGAGATAAAAGGAATGAAAAATGAGAGCTATTGGCACCCAAGATATGGTTTCAAAAAAATCAAAACTCAGCCGGATGGAGCGTTCGCGGACACCTCCCCACATCTCCCTCGAACGATAATCCCCCCAGGAAAAACAGAATTCAAAGAAACGGCGATCGACGTAAGAGATATCATATGCCCATCAACCAGTTCCCGGTTCCCGGTTCCCGGTCCCCGATTCCCTGCGCTCTGCGTCGTCTACATGTTTCATAGATGGCTGTGAAGTCACTGCGGCGTGTCTTCTTCGGTAGCCTCATCGTGAGAAGTTGTGGTGGTGGTGGTGGTGGCGGAGGTGGCAGAGGTGGTGGGAGTCACTACTGCACGCCCCGGACAGACCTGGACATTTGGAGGCGTGCCAGCTGACAAGTTTGGAGTGGCGTGGGTATAATATCTGGGGATCATTCCTCCACTAAGTCCCACGCGGGAACTACAGAATACAATACTGACCCCATCCAGAAGTCCTCTACGGGGCTGAGAACTTTGATCACTCGAGTTATCGTTCTTAGATTGGTCGCTCTGACTGGATGACTGGGCGTCGTTGACCAGATTACTTTCACCGGAGTGGTCGTTCCCGGCGGGGTTGTCGGTGTTTTCATCAGCGGGGGATTCGCTAACTACAGTATCGGGGACTTTTTGGCTCGACATGATTCAGAATGAGAAGGTAAATTAGACGGGCCTCGGAAATGTACGCGTGCAGCGTGCGTATGGTATATGTTGTATCGGGGAGGTGAAAGTACTTGTAGGAGAAAAGGATCCTTCGTGGAACTGAGGAACGATGTATCTGATGACGTGACTTTGATTGCTTGATGGAAGACGGATGACGTTCGAGTGACTGGCGATGGAGATAGAGAGAAGAGGAATCAAAGGCAGTGGAGGAAAGGCAGAGGGGCCTTATGTATGTCTTTTTCTCGCCATGCTCACCCTCCACGGTACATGCCAGAGAGGAAAAGGATGAATGGAGAAGCCCATGAGATGAAAATTGGATCCATCGTAGACTCATGGAGAGTAGGAAGTGGCCACTAAGTTCGTAAGTGCATATTTCGAGAGAGGGTGAGGATGGGTTGGACCGGCAAGATAAGTAAGGAGAAATCCCGAAGTAAGGATGTTACACACAAGAGAGAGTACTCTGCTCGTCGAAGAGAAACGGTTACATTCCGAGTAGACACTGAAACTTCCGAAAGAAACCGTGAGTCCATCAGAATATGCAAGGTGAAAGAAAGAAACAGCCAACAACCCATGGAACCCTGGAATGAGTTGGCAGGTACAACAAAGATAGGAACATAACTTCATGCGTGGGGGGTATATTTTGAAGGAAAATACTACACCATAGGGGGAAAAAAAGGAAAGGAGGGAAGAAAAAATAGGAAGTGCAAGAAAAAAAAAAAAAAAAAAAAAAAGAAAATTAAAACTGAAGCATATGCGCGCAGCGGATTGGAGCGCTGAAAAATCTCAATAGAACAGGAATATAACACAACGGGCTATATCCGTTAAGGGTTAAGGGGTAGAACAGGTAACTTAACGGAAATCTAAAACTTCCCCCAGGAAATATGCACAGCCAGAAATATACAAATTCCCGAGATACGTGAAAAAAAATAAAAATAAAAAGAACGATGAAAATCCTAAATCCATAAAACCCATCTAATACCAGACACAGTTCCCCTCCACAAACCCCTAAAGATTTTGAAGACCATCACGACTAGCCACAACCACCACATAGCCCCGACAAGCACCCATTCTAACATGACAAACCCGACACGGCTTACCCATCGAAACCGGCGTCTTCGTTTCCTCAAGCCCTTGTCAAGGGAGTTGTTGAGCTGCTTCAATGCCAAAGTATTTGTCGTCGCGAGCTCGCTGGTCAGTTTGTCAGCTTCGACAGTGAGTGCGCGAATGCGCGGGCTAAGTGTCGATGTGACCAGAGAGTCCAAGTCATCTAATCGCGACTTTAGAGCCGGTGAAGTCGATGATGAAAATTTCGACATGGCATACTGAACTTGGCAGACTTCACGGTCGAACTTGCACATCAGGTGCCTGGCTGTGGTGGTCACTTCTTCAGACCGCGGGACGCGCGGCACATTGCCGTCCGCCTTGGGATCGGTTCTAACCACGAGGACAGGAGGAGAATCCCGTATCGTGTCGGTTTGACGGCATATTTCCAACGCCTTAATTCCCGACGAGAGCAAATGAGCTCTCACTCGCGAAATTTCACGTCTGTCAATGCGGTTAAGGCCATTGATACTAAGGGAGGACATGCTCCAATTTCTTGTGGACTCTGAAATTGTGGGACGGCGTTGGCCAGTGGGTGTGACGGTCAGATTTGTAAGACCTGTGACGGGAAGCCGATCTCGACTGACTTGGCGGTAGAGGTCGTCATTGTCATTCGATGCTACAGAGCCAACAAAGCTCCCCTTTCTCGAGGTATCACCGTCCGCATCAGAGCCGGGAATAAATGGTTTCAGCAGACTGTCACTCTGAGAGGTATTGGTTAATTCGCTCTCGAGCGGCTGTGATCTGATTTTAGATTGTGCGGGAGAGTCGAATTCGGATGGTGGCTGCGATTCGTTTTGGTCATCGTGTCTAGGTGGAGAGACGAAGACAGGCAGATTCGATGTGTGGTACTTGGGTAGATCCTTTTTGGAATTTTTCCTTGACAAACCGCTGGGACCGTCGGATAGGATCGGAAAACGAGGCAAGTATGGCTTCTGTTTGCGCCTTACCTCAGCGAAGTCGTCATCCGCATCTACATAGTCTGAAAGTACCTCGCTCGATGCCGTAGATGACTGTCTTGAGTGGCCAGATCCATCCTTTTTCCAAATGTAATCACCAACCTTGGAAACTTCATTCCCCACAAGCTCAGCCAGTCGTGCCGGTTTGAATATTCCGCGTAGTTTTGATTCTTGATGGCCTTGGTGCCTATGGCCTTTCGACGGGCTTTCAGGATGATAAATATCACTTGGTCTGGATTTGTCCTCGCTATATAAGGCCAGCTTAGAGTCGGAGTTAGAGACGGGGGCGTCAGAAACCGTCAATTGTTTGTGAGGAGTTAATTCAGGAGCACTATGATCTATAGGAACAACAACACCTAATCCACTACTATTTGATCTATCGTACGCTAGCGGTTTTCCTGGGTCAACCAGGCGTAATACCGGAGACTTTATTGGCGACACAGGGCGACTTACAGGAGGCGACATGTTGAGGGTAATGTCCGGAATTTGGGGCCCGTTAAAAGAACCAAGGCTACCATCAATAGTCGCAACGGATGATTGTGGGATGTCCTCTTGTCTTCGTTCGCTCCTTGGTGATGGTGATCTGATACCTTTGCGAGGTGGCGAAATGTGCCGTCCATGTCCCGCATTGGTGTCCAAAAATGGTAGGACGGGGGGTTGTGCTTTACTGCCCGGGGCTGTGGCATGGTCCCCAAGTTGAACGTAAGTGGCGCCGTGAGCCAGAGTAGAAGAATGTGTAGGTTTTTGAGGGGTCTTATCCGACGAATGTGGGATCTTCTGTGGTGGAATGTTTAAGTTCTCATTTTCAACTGGCTTTCTGGAAAGGCGTGGAAATCGTCTTCTTCCCCTATGTCTTTCGTGTTCGTCACCGCTAGATTCGCTAGACGAATCTGATGAACGTGACAATGCCTTTCGCCATCTTGACTTGCTCGCCTCTCTCGAGGAAGGCTCGGCAGGGGAACGAAGGACGGAACTCGTGATCCTGTGTCCGCGACGGCCGCGATCCGCGCCTGTATGAGCGCGAGAGGAAGCAGATTTGAAGCTAGGGAGACTTTCATGGGGCGAAAGTTTCTCAGCTGGTGGCATTTGTTGATCCTCTAATTTCCCCGTTGTCGGTGCAGGCTGCTCAATCGGTGGTTCCAAGTCCTGTAAAGAAACGCGCTTCAATGGCGTGTCTTGGTTGAATAGTCGCTTGCCGTCTCGGTCTTCAATTTTAAGCTTATTAGACCCCTCTTCAAGCCATGCGGCATCTGCCAAAAAGTCCGCTGGAGAAGTTATCCAGTCCACCCGTGGCCGGCGGGGCTTGCCGCTATCCCCACCACTAAGAACTCGGGTAGCACTGGGCGTTGGTGTAGCAGCTTGCGCCCGGGTATCTGGCCTCTCATCGGGGTCTAGCTTAGGAAGCAAAATGCAGTCTTCAGGCACGTGGTTCGGGGCCTCATCCGAGCTTGTAATTAAATCCACCCAACCTCGTACGGCCTCCACGTTTTCCCATCCGTCGGCCTCTGAGTCAATGGGGCATTTCTCGCGGAATCTTACTTTGCGATTACGGATGTATTGGAGAGGGTTATATACCCGGTTACGGGAGACTGATTTTCTAAACGATGCAGATGAATTCCCAGCGGAACCAGAGGGTTCGTTTTGACTGGGGAGAGGAGGAAGATGCGGAAGTAAACGAAGATATTCGGCAAAAAGTTCAAAATGCCTTCGAGTCTTCTCAGCCCTGGCGAGGGTAGCATTGGATATTTCATATGGCATGTACTCGTATTGTGTCGAGTCTATATCCGTCATGACGGAGCCCGGAAATCTTTCCATGGATTGAGAGTGTGGCTGGCGTGTAACCCCTGAAGGGCGTCGACCAACGCCAGGAGCGGCTGATATTTTGCTGGACATTCGTTGATCCTGTGGAGCATAATGTTGGCTATCCACCATATCTTGCTGGGGGAACCTATAACTGTCCCCCGTTAAGTCACCTCTCGACAGCACTCTCGCAGATCTCTGTGCCTTGCTCGAAACCACTCTCCCAGAGGCACTTCTCCTCCTCGAATCACTAAGGCTTAACGCTAGGTTCACTATCTGGGCCGGATCTGTATCAAACCCGATCGATTGCGGAGGACGCACGGATGGAGAGGCTGGGGAGGTACCGGGGGACATGGCTTGTGCGGCGCCATCACGGGAAGATTCTTCACGGGGAGAAACATTCGTCATCGAAGTCGCCAGCGGTGAACTACCCACGGATTGTCTATTGTGCTTGTGATCAATGGTCGCATGGCGTTTAGGAACCGCCAGGGCGAATTCATCACTGGTCCTTTTACCTTTCCTGTGGCTTGATGGACTAGTTTGCGGCAGAAAGCTGTTCCCGCTATAGCCAGGTTCTGATCTCCTTGCTAGAGTCAAAGGGGATTCCAAGAAAAATGTACTGGAAGTCCGATTGCTCCTATGCCTCCTCGATCCACGATGCCGCTCCCCATCCCTTGACCCGCTGTCCAGTGTGGTGCCTTCCAAATCACCACAGTCCAGATTGGAGTCCTTCATTCGAGAGTCGGAGGATTGCGGATCAGACTGCGGCATGGCTGATTTGCCCATATACATGGGCATTCGAAGGCATCGACGAGGTTAGGCTGCGTGGGAGAACGTCTCAATATAGGCTTGTTAACCATTGACCGCGTCGGGAGTATGATAGTGGCTTTAGGGTTCAAAATTCACATGGTATGGGGCCGGGTAGGGAGTTAGGGTGTAATTACTTGCTAAGCCAGGCTGAAGTGGACAGGCCAATGCTGAGTAAAATATAAATCATAGCTCGTAGAGGCGAGAAGCATGTAGTTAGATGTTGAGCTGTTATTGCGTGCTGCTTTGTCTCTTGATCTGAATGTCCGGTGACGTTGGTTGGGGGGAAGCTGCGATGCAAACAGTGCAATGTGGCGCAGCCGCTGAGTGGCTGCGCTAGCGACTTTTTAAGTTAGGTTAAGAAACATCCATGGTGGCGTGGGAAAGAAGCAGCAGAACAAACTACGCTGTAAACAGCGGAAACAGCATATCTAGCATTGATTCTAAGTAATGGTGAAATACTATATGTATACAAAAGCGGTAATTTGGTGGGAATACAAGAGGGAGATAAGTTGTCCCAGGTCAGGGGTGTATAATTTGATCTATTCAACTTGCAAGCACCGCAGGCGGGCTTCAGTTTCGATGACCTGTGAATTCAAAATAATAGTAGTTAGTAAAACTGGTGAGAAAATTTCCCCGGCTACTTTTTTTTTTTTTTTTTTTTTTTTTTTTTTTTTTTTTTTTTTTTTTTTTTTTTAAAAAAAAAAAAAAAAAAAGATAAAACAATTTAAAAATATGAATACCAACGTACCTCAAGAGCCTGTTTAACTTCCAGAACCCGCCGGACATCCGCAAGCCAGTCCTTACTCAACAATTTCGCCCAGCCCTGCAGACTGTTCATTTCACGCGCAGCCTCGTCGAAATTACCCTCTTCGAGCAAGTTCTCAGTTCGTGTGAGTATGCTCTCTACATCATTACCGACAGGCGTCCCCTGCTTCTTGAGCATAACCTTGCTCAAAACCAAACTCGCAGCGTGGCTCGTGATACCGGCATTTTCAGGCAATAGGCTAGCCTTGCGGACTTCGCTAGCTACCCTTCGGAATCTATCAACAAGCTGAGCCGGCGATGGGATTCCGCGTTGGTAGGCTGTGGGGCTGATCGAGGCGATGGCAGCGGCCACAACTTCATCGTTGGACGCAAGCTCTTTGACGGCGGCCAATTCGCGAATAAAGGGGCGGGGTACCTCAGAGTTCTCAAGAGTTGTTCGCACGGAATCAACAGCAACCTGAAGCTGTTGGGTTCTCAAGTTAATGTCAATCACGTCGCTCCAGCCGGCAGTGAGTCGTTCCAGTTCCGCGACGTTGGCGGTCAGTTCAGCTAACTTGCTTAGGCGGCCCTCACGCTCATTCTCCACGAGAGTTTTGACATCAGCGAGGAATTTACGGTTTAACTCAATGGCCTGCTCAACAAGTTCATTGCGAAGGCGTTGCTCGGCAACTTCATGAGCACGCTGAAGCTCCGTAGTGACTTTTTCTTGGTAGGATTTGGAGATTTTCTCTCGTTCGGACTCAAACTCTTCGCGGAACTCAGCGGCATCCTGGGCACGGACTTCGTTAATGTGTCGAACGAGCTCTGCGGCAGACTTGTCTAAGGCAGCTTGCGCATTTCTAATTTCCTCCTTTGCTGATTCCTGAGCATCATTCTTAAGAGCGACGATGCGGTCTCCAATTTTTTCCAACTCTTCCTTCGCTTTGGCAATCGGGACGGAGAACTTAGAGGCAGATTCATCAGCGCTGATCACGGTAATTATGTCATTGAAGACTTTCACTAAGTCCTGTACGACTGGTTCATCCTCGTTATCCAGACCCAAGTGCTCGATAGCAGCAGCGGCCGGAACCACTGGTTGTCTTGGGGCTTCGAGACTTGTGTTCTCCTCCGCCTTCGCAGGATGGGGTTCGACAACCTTAGGAGATGATTTGGGTTCAGCCGCTTCCGCTTTCTTCGCCACTGGTTTGCTCTTTACATCCTCCTTGGCCTTCTCTGCAACCTTGGTTTCTTCTGTCAGCTCATTCGCATCCGTAGCACTTATATGCTGCCCTTGTTTAGTCACATCAGACGCTTCTTGTTGCTCTTCCGCAACCTTCCATGATAGTCCGCTTCTACCGGGTATCATCACCTGGGCACCTTCATCCCTTGGTGCTGAGACGCGCCGATTAATCTGTCTTGCGATACTTGGGAACCGACTCCGGAAATCGCGTTCTTCAAGATACAGAACTGCCTCCTCGCCATATGGAATATATTCGGTGAAGAAATCGTAGAAGTTATCCGACCTGAGAGAGTACCAGACACCTCCAGCATATGCGAGGCCGGTGGTGAGAAACAGATAGAGTAGTTTGCGTAGCAGTCCGGTTTTGGGGGCTGGCGGAGGCCGCGGTGGTGGGGGGGATGGCTCATGCTCTGGTGGTTGAACGGATGAGCCTGGCGAAGTCTGACCTTGAACGGCAGGAGATTGGGGCGGCTTGGAAACAGTTTCCGGATGGAGAGTTGATCCAGTTGATGGAGAGGCTGGTGATCGTACGTCCGGGTCATTCGGGCCTGGAGGCTTCGTGCTTGTCGAGTTTGTAGCTTTCTGAGATAACTCTGGGGTAGCGGCAGCATTGGGGGTTGATGAGCTTCGAACGCCAGCATTGGGTTTTCTAGCAACAGCATAATATCTCTGCGAGGTGCGTACGAGCACTATTAGCAACTATATTGACAACAGTGGTGCCGTAGGATGGTATATATTCTGGATGAATTTACTCTACTCGCGGCGGCATTTACTCGCCTGGCTCTCGAGGTGTGTAGCCATTGCACAGACGGATTGGGACAGATTGGGGAGGAGAGCACCTGACGGCTCGACGCAATTGAAGTGCGCAGCATGGCGTGCGACACTGTCGAAAAGCTGGTCGACTGGCGGGGACACGGGGGAGATTGAGTCAAGCACAAAAATACAGATCAAGTGCATTTATCATTTATTTTTGTGGTTGTGAGATTTGAGAAATTTAGCGTGGCTGACACCAGCCACAGATTGACGTCGGAAATCCAGAACACTCTCCAGCCACACTTTGATGCTGGAAAAGAGGATTCATATGTGCAACCAGATGATACATGCAACCGCAAAAGCGGCGCGTTTCTATTCGCAACTGGCCGATCCAGCTGATAATAATGGCAGCAGCCCCCTACAAGCCCCTAAAATCGATATAATGACTCCAGAATTGTAAAAATGGAACCGTAGAGATTATCTAGCCAATGTTTAGGTTTCATTATCCAGCCCTAAGGAGGCTAGTAGTAGCAGCTCGTACATAGTTAGTTTTCTTTGATGACTAGACGGGGTTTATATGTGATATCTTCCTCAGCTTGAAAGTGGGCTTATATCATATTTTTCTATAGACTAATAGGGTTGTAAATTAAATAGAAAAGGTCACTAATTACTACGTACTACTACTTGCATATTTGACCGTAAAACTGTAGCACAAAAAAAAAAAAAAAAAAAAAAAAAAAAAAAAAAAAAAAAAAAAAAAAACGAGAGTCAAAAGGCACGGAGAAGAGAAACGAAGGCAGGAACAATGACGGATGGGCGAGCCGTTACGAAAGCGATGGGCGATCCGTAGATGCAAACAGGAATATATGGAGGGTAGAATAATGGAGTAAATAAATGAATACTAAAGTAAAAAACGACGGCCAAGATAACACCGGGGAGCAGGGCAGCGCAAGAGGAAAACACAAGGGACAAAAAAAGAAAAATACGAGAAAGCATAAAAAAAGCGGGAGGGAAAGAATCCGCCGGACATGGATCTAATGAGATTGTAAGACGGAACCGTAAGGAGTCAATTCGGATGACATTATGGTTGGTTCTAGTGCTTGGAAGGAGATGATGGGTGGACGCAAGGGGTGGAAGATAGGGACATGAGTATGGGAAGGAAACATAGGGTAGCCCAAAATCTGCTATCGAGATAACCGCATATTGAAAAGCACATTCGACCCCTTTGATAGAACATGCCCGTATTGTCAATATAGCCGTTTCTCTTAGTCGTTTTTCGTTGCGGTTTAGAGATATATCATTCCGAACAAAAGGAATACTGCTCACATGTGAGAGAGCCGAGTATCGAGGGGGAGCTTGAGTGGCAACTAGCAGACGGAGACACGGATACTCGTATAGAATGCCAGTGGAAGAATCGAAAAGCGGACATGAAAGACAACTTAAGGCAGTATCAACTTTAGCATGAACAGCCGTTTGCCTGTGGTCCAGCGGCCTCAGGGCGTAAATCAACCCCTGGACGGGGGTTAGACCGTAGATTCCGTGGGCCAGCCTGGTCCAATGGTAATTTCTTCGCAATGGCTGTGAATAGCTCTCGCACGTTCGTCGAAGATTTAGCTGAGGTCTCGAAGAAAAGTAGACCGGCTTCGCGCGCATAAGCTTCGGCATCTGCGGTCTGGATGGCACGCTTATCCGGACTATCCGTCACCAGATCTAGCTTATTACCGGCAAGGGCGATAACGATATTCTCGTTTGCCTGCCGCTGGAGTTCCTTTACCCATGATTTTGCCTTGTCGAGGGAAGACTGGCAGTGGAGAACGAAGACAGTCAGCCTTGTATGTATATTCAGGTTATGAATGGAGGGGGCGACATAGGTTGGAGACATACTGCTTGGGTGATATCATAGACAACAACGGCACAGTTTGCATTCCTATAATACATTGGCGCAAGCGACTTGTACCTTTCTTGGCCAGCAGTATCCCATATCTCGAACTTGACTGTCGTATTTTCATCTAGGGATATCGTCTGGGTGAGAAATGCGGCACCGATCGTCGATTCCCGATAGTCATCAAATTGGTCCTAGGCCACAACAATAACAGTCAGTACACCGTCCAGCTAAACACAGTAATATCTTCCTGGTTATATACGGGATAAAAAGGGTTCAGGCATACTTTAACGAATCTAAGGACAAGAGAGCTCTAGTAGGCAACAACACAGTTAATATTAGCATGGTCCTCCACCCATCATACATAGAACGTCATGTGGTTTCAGTGCGAACCTTTCCAACAGCAGATTCTCCTATAAGAAGCGGCATGCATCAGCAAATGGTCTTTTTGCAACAGCGATAGGACATATTGGAGCAGAAGAAGAAACTAACCTAGTAGGACAAGCTTGAACTGGGCGAATCTGGCACCTGGGCGACCGCCGACAGCAGCTCTTGAAGCCATGACTGCGGGTATAGCGGAGACGAGGGAGAACAGCAACGACAGATAGAGACAGAAGGTTAATAGAGCGGAGAGAAGGATGTGCAGACAGAGAGATATTAATCGTGAACAGCAGCCGTAGTTGGTGGTGTATATTGGGTTCCAATGACCAAGGGATGGTGCGAGTAAATCGGTATATTTAGGTGATGATGCTCTGCTTGTTGCCGTTGGGGGATTTCGCTTTGCCCAGGATGACGAACCTGGCGGCGGAACCAACCACGGCCGCTTCCCAGCGCATCAGCCACACTCTCTCACTAAGCCGCATCGCCGGGACTTCGTCGACTTATCAGGACATCCAAGTTACTCAAGTTTACACCACACTACACTCCTCATGCTCCTCCGTTTTGCAGACTGTTACTACCAGAGTATATTAGACTAGAACATAGCAACCACTAGAGAAAGAAGAGGTTGTATTGATTGTGCATTGGCTTCATTATGCGCTGGCTCTGCTTGAAGATCTAATCACCCACATCGATCCCTTTTCTATAACAATAATACACTGGCATCGGACAACAATGTCCCCTACACTCCCATTCCGCGATATTAACCTGATGGTTTCGCCCTCTCACTATGCTTTCCGCTCAGCTTCTTCGTCCTCTGCGCCTACGCTGGTTGTTGAGCGTCCAACCGGGGATCTACGGCTGGAGAATGCCTCTGCTCATGGTGCAAAACGTGTCTCCAGCATTGCTGGAATCCTCGGCATGATCAAACTGAAACTAGGTGAGTTAAAAAGCACACAAAGTCACGGACTATTTAAAGTTGATGCTGCTGCTGCTGTTGTTGCTACTAACTTCCATTAGACAAGTACATTATCGTGATTTCGAAGACACGGCCGATGGGCAGGCTGCGAGGCCACATGGTTTATAAAGTCGTTGCAACTGAATTCCTTCCTCTGAGAGAACGACCCCTCCATGACCCGGATGAAGATGCGTACCTCAACTTGCTCAAAAAATTCCTACGGGCGGGCCCCATGTACTTCTCCTACTCCCTAGACATCACCAACAGTTTCCAGCGTCAGTCCCAAAGCGATCCGTCGGTTCCATTGTGGAAACGAGCAGATGATCGATTCTTCTGGAACAGGTTCATTCAAACAGATTTGATAGACTTTCGCTCGGGAGTGGGTGATGGAACCGGTGTGCGATATGGTCAACTATCGGACGTGGATCCGTTCATTCTACCCGTCATGTTCGGGATGATGAATATAACCACAACTAGAATCAAGTCTACGCCGTTCACCTTTGCGCTGATAACACGAAGGTCTAGGCATCGAGCTGGTACCCGGTACTTTTCCCGCGGAATCAATGAGCAGGGAAATGTTTCAAACTACAATGAAACCGAACAAGTGATTATCCTGAATGACTCCACCGGGGGGATGGCAGGATTCGGTGGTACTGGAATGGAAAATGGAAAGGCTGGCAGCCATGCTGGTAAAGACCTGCAGGTATTGTCGTTCGTGCAAACCAGAGGTAGCGTCCCGTTGTACTGGTCAGAGGTGAACAACTTACATTATACCCCGCGTCTCCAAGTACGTTCAGTGGACGCTGCGTTGAACGCTGCACGAAGACATTTCTCAGAACAAATACGTATCTATGGCGAGAACTACTTGGTCAACCTGGTGAACCAGAAAGGAAGAGAGGAGAGGGTCAAGAACGGCTATGAACAGATGATACGCACATTACTCACATCCTCCACCGAGAAAAGAGTCGCCGATGCATTTTCTTCTGAAAAACTGCACACTGTTGAGCCGACTCAGAAAGCTCAGGAAATGGATCGCCTTCACTATGTATACTTTGACTTTCACAACGAAACAAAGGGGCTAAAGTGGCACCGTGCTGAATTGTTGCTGGAAAGGCTTACTGACGGTTTACTAAAAGGCCAGTATTTCCGTGGAATCGAAGCGCCTGGAAATAGTACTGGTCCCTTGGAAATCCGAACGCTACAAACCAGCGTTGTACGCACAAATTGCATGGATTGCCTGGATCGAACGAATGTTGTCCAAAGCATGCTTGCTCGGTGGACTTTGACACGCCAGCTCGTTGACGCTGGGGTTCTCCAACCAGGAGAGTCAGCCAGTAATGACCCGGAGTTCGAATTCCTATTCCGCAATATATGGGCAGATAATGCAGACGTTGTCTCCAAGTCTTACTCGGGTACCGGAGCCCTGAAGACTGACTTCACTCGAACTGGCGAGCGGACAAAGGCGGGTATTCTCCAGGATGGCAGAAATTCAATCACTAGATACGTCCGGAACAACTTCCTGGATGGCCCAAAACAGGACGCCTTTGACCTTTTCCTTGGCACCTATTTACTGTCCGACTCTACTGCCGGAGATAGTCTTCTTTTGACAGATAGAAGACCTCTGGCTATTCAGTCAATCCCATATGTGCTCGGCGCGAGCATCTTCTTGATTCTTATTGCTCTATTCAGTCGCCGTCTCCCGGATTCAGCAGCCTGGCCATTGAAGATATTCCTAATAGTTTGGCTAGGAGTTGCAGCATGGTGTATGCGATTCATATATGCCCACGGGATGCTTTATGTAAGTTGAGTTCTCACAAATTTCATGCTTTTTCTTCTCAGTAGTTTACATCACTGACGATATCTCCTCGCACGAAAGGTAAACTGGCCCAAGCTCAACACACCCGCGGCGGCGGTGGAGGGCTATCTAGATGCCCTGGGTCGCGCACGCAACGATAAAATCATTGGCCAATTCATTCCCGCCGGGAGACATCAGCGCGGATTCAGCAATGCACGCGTAGGGTACATGGAAGAGGGGAAGAAAAGAATCGAATAGAAAGCTATTATTCCCTTATCAGGTACACCTGACCCCTTTATATCAACATTTTTAATACATCATTACCCTCAACTTGTTTTGGTATCTTAAGACCTATATTTGTATACATGTGTTTATATGTATTGTTCTCCCTTGTTGAACACTTTTGTTTCCCCCTTATTCTCCTTTAATCAATACCAGACACTGTTTCTTACTATACTATAAATACCGACTGCGAAAGAGTATTAAGTTAGTGTTTTATTTATATCTTTTAATCTGGAGAGGTGGATTACCATGTGTATTGGGTTAGTTTTACACTTTTCAGCTTATTCCTCCAATTTTACTTCTACTATTCTTTACAATATATACCTAGTCAATTGTTGGAAAGGGAGTATCATTGGTGTCGGCGTCCTAGATTCGGCTCTCCTGGCCATGCCAAGCCATCTGTACTACGTATACTTTTAATCTATCAACCGTCGCCCAGAAAACTTCATTCCAAAACCATTCACAATATAAGTATTGATCCAACCCCAATGCGTACGCCCCTCAGAGGGCGATTGAATCTCAGACCTCAAAGGTTTCAACTCCCGGCTCGGTTATTTACGAGGAGCTTTGTGAGAATGGCTCGCAACTATGAGGTTTGTCGCTCATCTTTTTTAGCACAGGCCCTTCGAATGACATGACTCAAAGCACAACAAACAAAGAACCAAAAGCAATGATAATAACATGAATCAATTTAGGACGCCATCGCGGCGCTTAATTCTCTTCAATCGAATTTCTCAATCGTCAATGCGATCCGGCAAGCGGGACGGAATATGAACCTCCGGGCCATACCTGAGATGATAGAGTGGTGTCAGAAGATAGGATATCAGGTGTGCGGCCGCCCTTCTCCGCTCTAATCGGTTCCATACATACATCCCCGTACTTTCAGCATGGCTACTGTTTGTGTTTAAGATAGATCCTGTCGTGGCACCCGTACCTCATTGAAGAAGCCTACAGTTACTAAATAATATCCCGTTTGTTGGAATCAAAATATAGCCGTCAGAACTCAACCGGTTGAATCTAATTCACGTCGCGGGAACGAAAGGAAAAGGATCAACGTGCGCATTCATCTCCTCGATTTTGAGCCAATACTTACGATCCGCATCCGAATCCCCATCCCCGGCAGATACCGAGCGGCCAAAGATCTCAAAGGTCGGCCTGTACACATCCCCGCACCTCCGCTTCGTCCGCGAGCGCATCCAAATCAACAACGAACCTCTCTCCGAACAGCAGTTTGCGAAATACTTTTTTGAGATCTGGGACAGGCTGGAGGTGGCTGCCAAAGCCAATGGTATGGATCCGGAAGATCCAGCATCAAAGCCTGTCTACTTCCGTTTCTTGACGCTCATGGCCTTTCACGCATACGTTTGCGAGGGGGTGGATGCCGCGATTATCGAATGTGGCATTGGTGGCGAGTACGACACCACGAATATTATCGATAAACCAGTTGTAACGGGAATAACGAGCTTGGGAATTGATCATCAGTCAATGTTGGGGAATACCATTGAGGAAATCGCGTGGCATAAGGCGGGGATCATGAAGAAGGGCGTCCAGTCGTTCACGGCTCCGCAGATCGAGCAGGCCATGGCCGTGCTGAAAAAACGCGCGGTGGAAAAGGGGGCAGAACTCCATGTCGCGACTAGCCATCCGGAGCTGACGCCCGACAATCCAACGGCTGTGCGGTTGGGTCTGTCAGGGGAATTTCAGTATACAAATGCAAACCTTGCCATTGCCGTCGCCGGGTCCTTTCTGAGATCCCGAGGTTTCGCAGATATCCCAGCCAATCTGAACAGTCTAACCCTACCTGACAAGTTTAAACGTGGCCTGGAAACAACCAAACTAGGAGGCCGCTGCGAAACGCGCCGAGAGAAGAATATTGCTTGGTATATCGACGGTGGCCACACACTAGAAAGTATAAGGGCAGCGGGGAAATGGTTCGCTTGCCAACAGCGTGCCGCTGCGGGATTACCAGCGCCATCATCTTCCTCAAAAGACTCAAATCCAAGCCCCCGCATCCTCATCTTTAATCAGCAAACCCGCGACAGCATCGGTCTCGCCCGTGCCCTCCACAGCACCCTCTCCTCTGCTAGCCTCACTTTCACCCACGCCATATTCTGCACAAACGTAACCTTGAAGCAAGCCGGCTACAGACCCGATCTCGTCAGCATCAACACAGATGCATCGGACGTCGAGGCGCTGAAAGTTCAGCGAGCGCTTGCGGGTACCTGGCAGGAGTTATCGCCGTCGACGGAGGTGCTTGCGAAAGCTACGATCGAAGAAGCTGTGGAGGTTGTTAGGGAGATTGCAAAAGCGAGGGAACAGGAGGATGAAGCAGGGGGTGAGGCTGCAGTATCTGCTCTTGTGACTGGGAGTTTACATCTTGTTGGTGGACTTTTGGAGGTTTTGGAGACGACGGCGGCTAGTTGAATTGGGACGACTAAAACTGTTAGGAAAATGAGAGTGGGTGCAATCGGAGGTGGTAGCAGATGGTGAAAATAATGATACTTCGAGTTACAGTTTCATTTTCTTGAACGTGTTATTCGGGGCGAGCTTATCGGACTCTCTTGGCCTCTGTCGGGCATACCTTACCTTTGGTCATTTGCTTTTTCGCGAAGCATTTTCAACAATCCCTCCCTTCTTTTTTGCTGCTTCATTTCCTATGCGATACCTTCAACGGAGCCCCCCAGCGCTGTACAGGATGCAACTTTACTGCTTTCTGCAGAGATCACTTTTTGTAGCACTTCTACTCCACGTTGATGGTCTCGGGTCCTTTCAGCGGCATTCAAATTGTATATTATGAGAAAATTGGCCCCATCCCTGGATCATTGCCCCAGAAAGGGATATAGATGTTACATGTACAACATATCTACTATATCGTATGTGACGGACAATAGAAACTACCAGCCCCTATGGCAAATGTACTCCTATAAATTCCCCGTCCGGTTTGTGAATATCTGTATTTATCATTTTTCGCACATGTTTCTGCGCTAGGTCCTCGAATCCAGCAGAAATGCTGTTGAGCAAACGAACACATATAGATCGAGTGGGCGATGAATCAAAACAAAGTTGGTTGCTGACAAAGCCCAGCGTGAACATTGGTTGGGACAAAGCTCCAACTTCCCCCAATAATACCCCTCACGTAAGCTTTCATTTGCGCTCCTGAACGGACCAGCTTCAACAAATCCTTCCCTATGACGCCGTCGCTATTCCTACTCCTATAAACACTGGGCAAATACTCTTCGGCACCCTAGAGCCGACATCGATGCCTTTGTAATCTTCAGTCTAGGCCGAACACACCCCACAATCGCGTCGCCAAACCCGCTTTTCCAGCGGCATGTCGGAACAAGAAGAGAAGAACGCGGAGAGCATAGGTGACGCAGATGGCACATCACCTAATGAGACTCCGGTGAGCTCCGAAACAACGAATGAGTCTACAGGGAAGAAGGGGAAGGCGGCCAAGAAGTTGAAGGATGGAGACTCCGCTGCGACAAACCCTGCGGCAAAGCTCACGCCCACCATGGCAGAATCGCTACTCGAACTGAACCCGGCCCTACGGAGCGAACTTGCTGGAATGGATAAAGAAAAGGCAATGGAAGCTCTTCGCCAGATGAATATTTCGGATCTCCTCACGGGTCTATCGGTCAACCCGAAGAATCAGAAGGATATGGCGTCGTTTAAATTCTGGCAAACACAGCCTGTTATCAGGTTTGATGACAGGGAGAGCAAGGAACCTGACGGGCCGATCAAAGTCATTCAACTTGACCAGGTTTCCCGGGAGACTATTCCTCTAGTTGAAGGGTTCGAGTGGGTTACGCTGGACATCGATGATGAGGCGGAGCTGAAGGAGCTTTATGAATTGCTGGCGAACCATTATGTTGAGGATGGTAGTGCTATGTTCAGGTTCAACTACTCGCCTGCCTTTTTGAACTGGTGCGTTGCTTTCCTGCCCCCCTTACTGCGTGGTATAAAGTATATTTTGATTACTAACTTTGGTTTGTTTTCAGGGCACTCAAAGCTCCAGGGTGGAAGAGAGAATGGCATGTCGGTGTCAGAGCTTCCAAGTCTCGAAAGCTCGTCGCATCCATATGTGGTATCCCTGCCGAAATTGCAGTGCGTGGGAAACCATTAAAGGTCACCGAAATCAACTTCCTCTGCGTACATAAGAAACTTCGCTCAAAGAGACTTACACCAGTCCTTATCAAGGAGATCACACGGCGTTGTTACTTACATGGTATTTATCAAGCCATATATACAGTTGGTATTATGTTGCCTACGCCAGTCAGCGCGTGTCGTTACTACCACCGTGCTTTGGATTGGCTAAAGCTGCACGAGGTTGGCTTCTCGCCCCTTCCGGCCGGCTCAACCAAGTCCCGACAAGTTACGAGGAACCATCTACCAGGCCACACGTCCACGCCTGGCCTACGCCCAATGCAAAGCAAGGATATCGACGCGGTTCAGAATCTAGTGAACCGATATCTCAAACGATTTGACCTTTCCCAAATTCTCAGCCGAAAGGAGGTGGATCATTTACTGCTACATAAGGAGAAACCGGGAGTGGAACAGGTTGTTTGGTCGTACGTTGTCGAGGAACCGGGAACGCACAAAATCACGGACTTTGCCTCTTTCTATTCCCTGGAATCCAGCGTCCTTCAAAACTCGAAGCATAAGAACGTTAGAGCCGCGTATCTCTATTACTATGCGACAGAAGCTGCATTTGCGGAAAAGGAGAAGGGGCTCAAAGAGAGGCTTCTGATGCTTATGAATGATGTGCTAATTCTCGCTAAGAAGGTTTGTTCACACCATCTGTGAGGCTTTTTTTGATTTCGCTCTCTGTGTGTTTTCGATGGAAATTCTAACCGTTATGCCAGGAACGTTTTGACGTTATGAACGCATTGACTCTGCACGATAACCCGCTATTCCTTGAACAGCTGAAGTTTGGGGCTGGGGATGGCCAGCTTCATTATTACCTATTTAATTACAGAACGGCACCCATCGCTGGAGGAGTGAACGAGAAGAACTTGCCTGATGAACGGAAACGGGGTGGGGTTGGGGTAATCCTCGTCTGAGCTGAAAGTGGCCGAAGGCCCAAGATTATTGAATATGGTCCATCGATTCAAAACGGCGATGTACCGTGAGGGTAGGTAAGGGCTGTTTTTCTGATCATCACATGAGAAATGAACGGATATTAAACATCAGTGGCCCATGGATATTATTGCATGGATCAGGGTTACTTACATACCTCTTTGGTTCGGGCACCAATTATTATTAGATGTGTAACACTATGAATGCCCAATATGCTCTCCATACCTTATATTATTCCCCTAAAACGAGGTGCCTAGCCAAAAATGTCAGATAATCTTCAGATCTTTAAAAATTCTTCCAACGCTCTCCTCCCAGTCCATTCCAGCACGATCTAGACTCCTGCCGTGTGCCTATAAATAGCCGGCCACGTTTATGCCAAGACTAGTTTACAGGCATCGACAATCCGCCGCCATCACGTGCACCTGACGTCGTTTCGCCCTAAGCCGCAACTTGGCAGTCGAAGCGTCTAGCCCATCGAACTTGAATTGTCAATGTCTCATCCCCTTTGACCCCGTCACTTGGACTCCATGATTCAGATATATAGCTCTTGATGACCATATGCCTGGTTCTGCTTGCATCTCAAGGTTAACGTCCCATATTTCCCGCCAACTTTAGCTGCACCGTCTACTAGCAATGTCCATGCCAAGCTTGTCGCGTTTTCTTTGATCTATGAATCGGGCTGCATGAACGCTCCTATATCTTATCGCCTTGCCCCCGCCTTAATATTACCCTCGCTTTCGTGCTACTTGCTGGTCAGAGAACGATATCTTCTTGTCCAATAAAGGCCTCTTGTATTTGCATGACCTGAAATTGAACATCATTCATTGCTCCTGCCACGAACAATGGGTGGTGCGCTCTCGACTGAGGCCCAGAGGGCTTCCTCAGGTTAGCTCCCTGCTCCCTCGTAGATTTGATCACTCTGTATTTCTAGTTCCCTTGTCGTGAATCTCTGACAGTATTACTTTTGCTGTTGGTGGGGTGGCCGTGTTTAACAACATATTAACGATTTGAACCTGGGCTTGACAGTGGAGGAGCTGAGCCAACGCCTGGCACACCGATTCGCAACCAAATGCTTCACCCCTCTTGAACTTACCCATTTGAAAGACAACTTCTTCTCTAGAGCTCTAGAGCAGCGCGGTATTCGCTATTGGAATGAAGAAATATTATCAGATTTCTTGGGTATCCCCGATGGTGCGGGTTCCGCAGCCACTGCAACGAGTGATGGATCACTCGATGCGGGGCCTGTCATCTTCCGCATGGTTTCATACCTGGGTGCATTTCCCTTCCAAAACACCATGGCACCCACCGTATTGACATTCGAGGCAATGATAAAAGTGGTTGTACTCTTAACTGAGAGATATGGGAAAGTCTTGAAACGAGGGAAGAAAGATCGGATTAAATTGCTTTTCGGCAGCCTCGCGGATGTTGGGCGAAGGGATATTATCACGCAGTTGAAAGAAGCTGCGGAAGACTCATTAGAATCGATTGGCGTCGCCGATCCCAACGGTGGAAGCACCTTCGCTCATAACGGGGGTTTCTTAATTGATCAGCCCATTAACGATGGGGAGGACGAGGACGATGACGATGACCTAGCCCTTGCAGCCTTGGAATCCCTCGATGCGATTGAAGTATTCAAGCAAGATCAACGCATTGATAAAACTGTCTTCGAGTCCAAAATATCTCTAACTACCTTTCGACGACTACTAACGTTGCTTATTGTCACAGCGCCGCTGCGACCGCTGGGAACAGTGTCCAAATACACAACAGGGTTGAGCAAGTCTTCGCTAGATACTGTGCATGAGCAGGTGGACAGCATTCTAGCGGCATTGGGCTCCGAAGTAGCAGAGGATGGAATCGGATATAAATCGTTCTCCGAGTTGATATCGACGTCTCTCCCGTACCTTTTTGACCCACTAACACCTCTATTTGAGCATCTACTTTTCAGCAAGAACCTCAACCTGTCACGGAAATCTGAAACTTCCAATGGTCAGGCAGATAAGCCAGCCCCAACACCTCCTTCAACGCCTCCCCGTTCTCCTCCTTTATCGCCAGTCATTTTAACTGGCGGCTTTGATTCCTGCATTCTAAATCCCGTCATACTGTCCCACCTATCGTTCTTCATTTCCACCAGCCCTCATATACCAAATATCTTCCGCAATCGTACTCACCTGCACCCAGTCTTCTCATCGACTGAACACGGTGAATCTTTAACCTCTTTCTCCCACCATGTCATGACATGGCAAGCCCCGACCATCCTCCTAATTAGAGGAGCAGTGACATCGGAAAACAACGAAGAACAAATAACCACGATCGGTGCATATATCCCACAACCCTGGAAACAATCTTCATCATATTCTTCCCGCCGGTCATCCGAAAGCGTCCATCCTTCCACACTCCCCTGCCTCTTCGAAATCTTCCCAGTTCACACAGTCCTCCAAGGCTCCCCATCCTTCTCATCACTAAAATCCAACATGCCGGTAAGCCACTTCTCCACCAAAACCGGCATAGCAATCGGCTGCATAATCCCACCATCATCCCGAAAATCCCTTGGAAGCGATCTCCATCCCAAGCCTGCCGGTGGCGGCAGCCTCCTCATTGACTCCGCCCTTGAAAACGCCACCTTCGTAGTGTCCGACGGCCTCAACGGCGAAGGCGTGTTTCTACCCCCCGGCGTCTCCCCCAGCGGCACCACCACCACTGGTACTACCTCTACCAAAACCCCATCTTCCACATCCCCAACCGCGTCAGCAGCATCCGTATCCACCTCCAATCACAACACCACAAAGTCCATATCCATCTATAACCTTGAAGTATGGGGCATTATCCCGTCTCAATCGCTAGCCACCCAATCCGATGGGACAGGATCCCCCATCGAGAAACAGGACGCGATTGCCTTGCAGCGTGCACAATGGAATTTCGAAGCGCGCGAGGCGGAGCGCCGGCAGGCGATTAATATGAAAGTGGGCGGTGGGGAGTCGGAGGCACAGACTGGGAGAGCGCTTCTGGAGATGGCTGGGATTATTGGCGACTCACAGTATTCGGCACATCCTCATCATTGAATAATTGAGTCAGGAAGGTGTTTGGGGCGGGATGGATGTGTCTGGTTGGCTTAGGGCCATAATGATATTAGCAAATTGTATTCTTTATTACGGTTGACAACCCAATTTTTATGTTGTATATGAGATGATTGTATATGCGAGTCAACCTCTCTATTTTCTTTCTACTCCGGATGGCCGTATTCCCTCCTCACTCTGCATGACGGATGAAAATTCTTTCCTTTCCCCCCTTTCCTTTCCTTCCTTCTCTTTTAATCTCGTTACTCTTTTCTTCCTGCCTTTTTTTTTTTTTTTTTTTTTTTTTTTTTTTTTTTTTTTTTTTTGGGGGGGGTTTCGGTACTATTTTCTATGTCTTGGCGAAAAGGAATAAGGGATAATTTGTGTTCTGAGGAGTCTTTAACGTTATAGTGGCGCTTTCAAGTAAGCTCTTTCCGTCAGGTTTACAATTATTCAACGCACACTTACATGCCAATGACCAATTGCCGCTGGCGCAAAAATAATCGCTTTTTTGGTTTTTTTCTTGAAAAAAAAAAAAAAAAAAAAAAAAAGAAAAACACTCAAATTCTGCTCCGAACATTATCTCAACCTGAGCCATTATAAACAAAAATTAAAACGAGACGTGCATGAGGAATGATGTGGAAGTGGAATAAGCAAGTTACTGTACAGAAATGAAACCCCGGTATTAAATCGTATATCTAGATTTCAATAGCCCATTCAGAAAAGGGGCATCCGGGTTGGACTGCGAAGAAACAGCCATCCCAGGCCTCATCGATGAAAATCGCATCTAAAAAATCCTTCGTCGAAGCGGCACAATACCACTAGGCACATCGTAAAACTCCTTCAACTCCTCCTCAAACTGCACGTCCTCAACACTGCCCACATCGTCAAGCAGAACTCCACGATTACCAGAACCACCCCCAGTCTCTTGCGTTACAACCACGCCATTTTCTGCCCCGCTATCCACACCCTTCTCCCCACCCCCTTTGCTTTTACTCCTAGCACTGCGCGCTTGCTGCTGCTGCTGTGGTTGTGACGGCTGTTCGCCCACTGTCTGCCCTGCTTCATCGCCAGTACCATTCTGAGCAAACCCCTCATGTGGTAAGCGGAGAGCGAGGTATTCGATATCAGCACGCTCCATGCGGTCCATGATATCATTCATGTATTGGCGGACTTCGGCGGGCGGGTTGACGACGCGAGCTAAGGGCTCGAGGGTGCGTGGGTTGTTGGCGTGAATGCGCATGGTTACTGGTTGGTAATATTCTTTTATTTTTGGCTTGTGTGGAGAAGGTTTTGTTTCTGTTGTCGTCGCTGTTGATGGTTGTGTTTCTGGTCCAGTGGTGGCCGAAGTGGGCTTATCAGACTGGGGAGGGTTGGTGGCTGGTTCCGGGGTGCCTTGATTGGGTGCAGGGGTAGGGTTCTGGTTTGACGTATCTATAGGTGTTGGAGTCCCAGTTGCGGAGGTGACTTTGGATTTTTTCGACTTTGCCTTACCACTCGTTTTACCAGCAAGCGAGTCTGGTTGCGGAGCCGAGGGATCGATTTTCTTTATAACTAGAAATGATGCAATGACGGTTGTGCCACCAGGGAAGTAATCGAGGATGGTATTCTTTGGGAAAAGATATCTATCTCCAGTGGATGCGTGACCAGAACTGCTACCAGCAGGAGAGGTTGTCAGAAATTCAAATACAACGGCCTTTGGTTCTGGTTTCGGGGGCGCAACTGGAGGCTGAGATGGTGTATGTTGGTGGAAGTAGGTATTATGCGGTGAAGGTTGCTGAATGGCTTTAGACCTTATTGGCTGTGGAGGGAGTTGATTTGGGTACGTAGAGTGCGCGGAGGGAGACGCGCGAGCATGTGTTGACTGACTAGAAATGTTGGGGCCGTTTGGATGAAACGGATGAGAGGGGTGTGATTGCGTGGGTGCTGCTGGCGTAGAGGTTGGCGTTGATGAGGGAGGTTGGGGCGGTCCCGGTGTAAAAGGTCGCCCTTGTTGATCGGGCTTGAGATGTGGCGGGATATTTTGACTCTCATTTTGCCTTCTACTCGCGAGAATAGCATTGAGCTCGTCGATGTGAGCTTGGAACGTCCGCAATTGTGCCTGGTTCGCCTTGCTTGACGCTACAATCCGCATTAATGCCTTCAGCTCCGGGTTCGAGGCAGCTCGCGTGGCCAACATCTGGATAACTGGATCCGGACTTGTTTTCACAGGTTGAGAGGATTCTGGTGGGGGTTTGGAAGGAGGATGTTGCATAAGCTCGTTTTTCGTAGGGTAATTTTGAGGATGATGCGTTGGAGTTTGGCTTTGAGGAATGCGGTTTTGCGGAGATGGAGCCGGTCCTTCAGGTCGTGACTGCCGGACCGGTTGCGCGACAGGGGGGGCCGGATTACTATGAAGAGATGGTTCAAAACGGTTCTGTGGAGGGGGCTGCTGGTCTGGCGGAGGGGTAGCAGTGGGGGGAGCATGGGGACTAGGGGAGTAGGGCTGGCGTGGGTGGCCCGGAGGTGGTTGATACTGGTGGAAATTATTTGGAGGTGCGTATTGCACGATTGGTCGCTGCGGAGGTGCATATTGGATTGGTTGTTGGGCTTGCGGGTTTCGCACGGTAAATAACATAGCTTCAAAGTGATGAGGTTCAATTATGATACTGCAAGGTCCCAGTTTACTCATGGATTCCCGTGGCGGGTTCTGCGGTGGTTGGGGTTGCGATTTCTTCTTGGAAGGTTTAGTCCAGTATTTCTCAAATACGCAGTCATTGAGCCACTTTATCCTTGACCGCTGGAGTGCAGCAGCCAATACAGCACTGAAGAGGAGACAATAATCAGTAAAGAGATATTCCCCTTATACAAAGCAAGGTTCAACATGAAGCCTAAACCATAAGCACGTACCTCTCCGCGTAGGACTGATATTCCTGTAGTGACAGCGTGCTTGGTTGCGGTTTGGTAAGAGTAGGCAACGGGTCTCCATCTTTAATATGTGTGGGAAGGATTTTCTTTTCAGGCTCCGGCGACGGAGGGATAGTAGGCGTAGCAGATGCTTTCCTCTTCGCTGGTGTGGTGTCCCGTTTCAGCGTTGATTCTGAGAGCTTTCTCTTTGCCGCGGACTCCCCGCCGCGAGCAGGAGCTTTCCGTTTCTCCCCCATGGCAATTGTGAGAGAGAGGTCTATTTCGGCGGTTGGAATGCGCAAGACTTCATTTCCAACTTGTAGTCGTACGAGATAAGAGGCTGAGGTCCTAGGTGATGTCACGGAGGTTAGGAAGAGGAGTTGTCGCAAAAACTACCTAGGTATACCGTATCATGGGGAATTGCCTTCCATGGTTTAGTGCTATCCTGATTGGGTTTAGCACAACATCACCGCTTTCTGGACTATATAAATCCCCTCCTCCCGCCGCTTGAACATCCTCTCTCTATCATCCCTATTTTTCCTTTCTTTCCTCATAATTCTCTTGTCTTGTGTGTGCTGTGCCCATCCCCTCTTTCCCCTTGGGCCCCACTGCTAGTGTCACCTGGCCCAGCTGTGCCACAGCTGAAACTGTTCTTGACATGATGATCATGTCCACTTTTTCTTCTTCTCAGATGCAATTTCACCTCACTCTACTGTCAAGTTACTCTAAAACCATGCACAGACTGAGGCCTGCTACTGGGATATCTAGTCTGCCCGGGACTGTGGCTGGCTGAGGTTTCCTGTTCACTTTGTTGATCTCATTTTTTATTGTGTACATGACAAGCTATTGCTCTACATTCTATATTTGATGTTTTGGGGTTCTGCACACCTATTCTATCAATGCTGCCAATCCCATCCTGTCTGTGCCTTGGTGCTTGTTGTTCTTAATCTCTCCCTTTCGCAATTGGTCAGCAAACCCGATGTTTCTCACCTGTGGTGCATGCCGGTGATGGGCGGCCTTCACTCATTGAGATGGTATGTCAATGGAAAAAAAAAAAAAAAAAAAAAGGCCTTCACATGGCAGAAACAGTATCTGCCTTGCTGCGCTGTGGAACCATTATGCATCAGGCCCTGACCAGAGTACAAGGTCTGAAAGGTCTGATGGATTGCAAGGGTGACATGTCCAGATGAAAAAAAAATCTCCCTGACAATTCAAGCCTCGCAGCATGGCTGATGTGTGACATGGACATGATTCAATCTGCTCCAGTGCAGGTGAATTCTCAGTCACACTATATTCTCTCTTGACTAGTAGCAAGGTACTGAGTTGACAAAGATGAATGTTCACTGAAAAAGGGACTTCAGTCTCAGCCTCCTGAGGGCTCAAATTGACCAGAAGAGAAAGAGGTGATGTGACAGTGTGATGCAATGTCTGAGTTTTCTCATTTTCACAATCCACACTTCAATGAATTAACAGACTAATTCACTATTGAAAATTCATGTTCATGCTATAAGACTGTGCATTGAAGCAGCTATGATCACATGACAATCATCTAGCACCCTTTCAGTCAGTGTTACAGTTTAGGAAATAAAAAGTGAGAAGGGTTACAATCTTCCCTTGCTTTCTGTGTGGACGGTGGCTGGTGTTGCAAGTTGATAGGTGACACTCATCTTCCTGTCTTGTTTTACCCAGGATTTGGCCGACCTCCCCTCCGTGGCGCCGTGACAGACCCTACAAGAACAACCCAGGGTACTGTAACAAAGCCAGCTAATCGGAGGGTTCCTTCGCGCATCACGTTATGGGACACCTTCATTGACGAGCAGATGATGGTGTGGGAGAGACTCAATGGTAATCCGTCATTTTTGACTGAAAAACTGTTTCCGTCGAAACATCAGCTTGAGTATGTCCGCCAGCTCATCACCCCGAATGTTATCGGTCAGGACTCCGATGATGTTGAATTCTGCTGTAGAAGGCTCGTTGTTGTTGTCACAACTCAGCTCTGCTCTTACATGGTTCACAAAGGCGTGTGTTATAGCTACATATGCACTGGAGAAGCCTTTATCTTCATTCACATCCTGGATGATTCATCTTCAGTTCAATGTGCGCTTTGCAGACCAGAACTGAATGTCAAGGTGACTGGTGAGAATGAGCTACAGTTGACAGCTGCCACACAGGTTCTGGTGTTCACAATCCAAGCATTGATCTCGCCAGCAGTACCCCAGGAGTGGCATGATGCTGCTGCAAGGTTTGATGTTTGGCCAGTGAAGTATTCTGAAATACTAGAGCAGACTCCACCCGCTGCTCACTCAAAACATGCATCCCCCCTGTACTGTGGCAGACAACTCTGTAACCTTCCTCCCTTCGGGATGATGCTGTGATCCAGATGCCGGCCCTCTGAAGACAAACACCGATTGCTGAGCTCTCACTCACTGTCTCCTCCCTCATCTCCTCCTCTTACCCCGTCACAATCTGGCATTCATGCTTGAACATGAAGGAGAGGGTCCGGTTCAGCTGCAAAGTCGCGAGGCGCGCCGGGATGCGGGGAAGTCAGTGGCACCTGGCGGACGCCCAATGCCATTAAAACACCGGCCATCAAAGCCCACCTGTACTGCTCCCAGCAATGTCTCCTTGCGCTCAGGGATGGTAGCCCTCTTGATTCATTGTGCCCCAATTACCAGGATCACCAGAAGTCCCGGATCCAGATACATGGCTTCTGTGCTCGTATCCGGAAGCAGCTTGCCATGGATCGTGGCCCGGACGCCTACTGCCGTCCTCAAGGCAGGTAGCTGTGGTGCACTGTTCAAAGTCCGGCTCTCATCGCATGGATACACTGTAGTCGCCAAGGGTGTGGAATACAAGCATGTGCATAAGCTCGAACATGAAAAGCGAACGTGAGTTTCCCTGATACCTGTGGGCTGCAGAGGGCATATATTAATGGATACAGGAGGCCTCGACTGCGTTGGCAGCGGCAAGGAGAATGTTGAACCATCGCCGCCACGGTCCATTTCCGGTGCACTGCCAAATAACATCTCCGAGGATGGACCCTCGAAGGAAACCCATGCGAGAGTCGGCGACTCTTTCGCACCCCACCTTGAGCCAGACACAAGCGGCCCCCATATCCTGCTACATCGTGAGGCTATGGAAGGGCATCTTGAATTTCTCCTGTGGGCACCCATATGGCAGTCGGAGGATGACATTGCGAAGGTCCATCCGGATCAGCTCAAGTGATACAAGGAGAGGTTGGATGTCGGCCCTGCAAGAAGGGCCTCTCAGGCGAGAAAGCGAGCACGGTCCCCTTTTTCAGAGCCTAGGAGATCATCACATCAGAAAAAGCCGCGGAAGTGCTAAATATAGGTTCAGTCAAATGAGAGTCAGCAAATTACTTTTGTTTAATTGTTGTCTTGTCTTGTATGCTTGTCTTGCCGGTATATCTGGCTAACTTGAGGTTAGAGGATCTGGAATGTGAGGCCATGTATTTATCCAGATTGTATTGTCAAGTGATTAGAATCTGCCCAGCCAACACTGAACACTATGTATATGATAGTCATTTTGGATTACATCAAGTACAAAAATTCTAGCAGAGCACTGGTGACCCGATTCGGTCACTAGTCAAATGTTAAACCCCTTTCCGGACTATCCCACACCAGTACATCTGCAACTGAAGCAGTCCAAATACAACAATCCTCCAGAGACAAGATCACATACCGGAGGGCGGGATTTCGGCGCGTCGACGCGTTGTTGATGGAAGATATTGTGTTCTTGACGATAGGTTCTATGCTGTTGATGGTGTTTGGTTGCCTCCTCATGGTCACCATGACAGTTGATCTATCGCGCTTGTGTTCTGCTCAAATAGGGTTTGCGCAGGCCTGGGATATATGGAGTGACAAGCAAATGCCACCTCATTCCTGGTGTTACCGGCGAAGACGGGTTAAAGGTGAAAGAATAATGTAAGATTTTAGATAAAGTTATTCGAGATATCAATGCTGCTAAGACGAAGTGCGGTAAAGAACAAAAGAATTCCAAGGGCTGGAAAAGTGAGCGGTTATCAGTGCGAAGAGAGTTCTATCGCCTGTAGGGGATAAAAGGGGAAGTTGGGAGGGAGGAAAAGAGAGGTCAAAGGGGTGTTCATAACATTCATCAAGTGAAGATATGTGCTGCTTGTGTTGCCTTCTTGTCAAGTTTGACCTTCTAAAATTGGATTCGCCAAGCTTACGGCAAAGAAAGGAAATTTGATTCACTTCTCATGGTGCATTGTGGGCGCATCGTGGCCCTTGTAATTTGATGGCAGTGTCAAACCTATGTGCAGTAGTCTTCACACTTCTACAATGAGGAATAGAATATATACATAGCAAGTGAGGAAAGATGCCTCATATCATTTGTACAGAAGAGCAACAATGGAGTATCATTAGCCATTTATCAAATACAAAGATGAGATGAAACAAGTATAATCAATACAGGAACATGCTGCTGCTAGAATGTAAACCACGCCTTTGATGACGCCCTGTAGGCTCCCAATCTCTATATGTATATGTGAAAATGTCCGGCTGAGGGTTGGAATTGCTATCTCTCTTGCTCAAATTCAAGCCCCCTTTCGGCATCTTGACAACACTGCTGTTCTCAAGCGTAGGATTGTTGTAAGTTCAAAACCTGAGTTGTAGTTTCATTTCCATGATTCATTTTTGTGTGGAAAATACAGCGGTACATCGCTATGTCATGGCAGTTGCGAAATATTCCATCCCAACGGGTGAAGAAAAATCTCAAAGTTCTTATCGCTGTATTTGTTCCTGGTACTTGACCTAGATTCACTTGATTCATTCAAGCTGGTCTTTGATTTTGTCCGGCGGAGGGAAGAGGTCCCATGCGTTAGGTAGCGGCCACCCGTTACTAAACATAAAGACACTGCGCACACCTGCTCTAGCTTCCCGTGCCCGTCCCTAATTCAAGTTGTCAGGGATTCCGCAAAGTCAGAGCCTTCGGGATTCCACACCTGACTAAATCCTCACACGATTTCCTCCGCGATGAGAAGTCATCTGCAGATATGAGTGCCGAACACTTAACTCCTTCAATCTTGCATCTGAAAGCCTCACTGCCCATGCCGCATAGCCTTTCTGTATCTGCCGTCGCAGAGGCCCACCTTCGAGGAAGTCACAGGTGAAAAGTGGAGGTCCCAATTGTATGTTGAGAAGGGTTGATAGTTTGCCTAGTAGTATTTTGTGTTGGGAGGAAGACCCTGGTTTTGATCGTCTTGCTAATAACCTTGTTAGATTCTCTTCTGTACGGTAGCAAGATTTAACTAACCAAAAGCTCCCCAAAGCTTGCAACAAGCGCATCCTCATAATCACAGTATTTTAATTCTTGGCAACCCATTGATTCACGATGAGGAAACGTTGTTGCGACGTCAAAATCTATCCATACCACCCTTTCCGGGGTACTGGGAACAATTAGGATGTTTTTGGGATAGATATCATTGTGGTGGATTAGGGCGCTATGAATCGCTTTCATGCCGATCATCGCCTTACAGAAGCGATGAGTTGAGTAATTTACGCAGTTCAGTGCTTCTGCGCCGGATAAATATTCAAGCAAAATCGCCCTCGGTCTGTATCTGTCGTTGGCGAAAGCATTAAGCTGTGGAGCTTGGATTTCAAGTTGGTCGATATAACCATAGTAGCGGGGTACAAAGCCACGCTCACATACACCAAAGGCATGAAGGTTTCTGTAAGCATTCAATTCGCATCAAAAACGATTGAGGTCACGGCCTTTCTTTGTAAATCCTGGGTCACCATTGTCATGAAACTGCGAAGTCAGTGTTATTCTGGAGAAGGATATTAGAACTTACAAGTTTCATTGCATATCAGTTGCCATGAAGCTCTATCTCAAACACTGAAGAAGCCTGTGAACGAGAGATTTCCCTCCAGATATGTATGGAATCAGGGTCGGGGCGTAGTAAGTCGGTCGGATACCTCGAGCTCATCGTGACGGTCAGCGTGCGAGGTGGGAAATATCGAGGCTGGGCCAAAGTTTGGAAGAGGCTATCTCCTAGGGCTGGGAGCCTTCAAACTGGAGCTGGTACCAGCTTGTCGTCGAACTCGTCCCAGACCTGTTTCCAGTAGAAGTTCTACTAACTTGGTCGGGGAGACACGTGATTTGGATCTGACTAAGCCCTGTTTTATCCCACCGGGTTGAAAATTAATCTCTTTATATTCTATATGAATTTATCTATTCATTTAATTGATTATGAATCAGTTATACATGCTTTTTGATTGATTGATGAGCTGAATGAATGAATGAATGAGTGAATTGAAAGATTGAAAGTCAATTACCAACTGATTATTACTGTATTGTTGCGAGGTCGGGGTCATGATTATGTAACGAGGTCAAGTGGCGCACTTAGTGAGGTCAAGTTTTCTGCTTCCTGCACATGGCAGCAGCACTGAGAGAGCTGTCATGCTGACTAATTTTCACTGATCTTGTAGCGCCTTGGTGGCATTGCCCTAGCGATCGCTCCGCCTGCACGTGATCTCTTATGTTATATAATGTAGCTAGCTGCTCTCATAATAATAGAAGAAGTAATCTTTCTCACTTACAGATTATAGCCTGGGACATTCACATTTTTTCTTTTAATAAGATCTCTTATACACATTTTTATAGAAGAATTACACTGTAGTTAATTATTCATAAATTGATTCACTTTTCTATATTAATTTGAATAGAAGATACTCTCATTACTCAGAATAAGTAGATATATCTAGAAATTAAGAGATTGCATTCTTTCTTTAAGTTAATAACTGAATGAGATTAATCTTATCTGAATCTCTTTTCTTATATCTATACTCAGATTATAATAACTGATAAGTAGCTTATCTATTTTTCAGAGTAATAGAAAGAAGACTCTATACTCTTATTCTTATACTCAGATAGCTTAACAGGTCTCTATTAATAAAGAATTAGACAGAGATAACATTACTCAGTATATAAAAGTCACAGAGAAAGTTATGAAGTTATTCACTAGTTAAGACACAGACACTTATTATAAATCTGATAATAAAATCTCAAGCTTAAATACTATATATACAGTATTTACAGAAGTGTGTTCTGTCAGCAGTTCTATATCTAGAATAAGTCAAGATAATATAATATTTATATTATTAGATAATCTTATAATATTCTGTAATAGAATAAGTATATATCAGAAGATTATCTCTACTGCAGATAATTTTAAATCTCAGATTCATAAATATTAAAAGAATGTTTAAAAAGTTATGAATACTAAGACTGTAATTATATTTAACAGTATTAATTATTAGATCTGATATACAGAAATTCTTGCAGATGCTGAAGTTATCAGTGAATCTGATATTCTTATAAAGAATCAATATATCTGTTCAGAAGACATCAGTTAAAATATATTAAGTGCTGAAAAATAAAGCATTTATATCAAAGTACTGTATTAATGTATGTTACAGTTCTTATTAGAACTTGTACATATAATCATTGAAACTCTTGAGTCAGATAATACAGCTGTGTTATAAGAAAGAATTGAAGTTGAGTATACTGTCTCACTTGTGAAAGAATGTATAAATATTATAAAAGAATTGATCATCTTATATATTAAGAAAAATAATTATCTAGTATTTCAGAGAAGATTCTGTTATTTAATTATATATTATAAGAAGTTAGTAAATAACTTAGAAGACTTCTATCATAATCTCTTTCTTATTAATTTAAAAGATTATCAAAAGTCTTTTATTAAGATATATTTGAATAATTTCTATATAACTGATTAAGACTCTATTTATAATATTGATATTGAAGATCTTATAAAACAGTTGATAAATTATATAAGTAAGTCTAAGAATGAATATTTCAAGCTGTAATGAGTTAATACAGTTATTATAATCTTGTAAGAAATCCCGCTTCTTGCGAATTCTTTACCTCTATTCCTATCTCTCATGTAATCAATAGAGCTAGCGGCCCTTGACTACACACAACTATATAGACTGAAGTTTATGAATACTATTCATAACTCAGCTTGAATACTATTATATATTTAATCTCTACATTTTATCTTTCTACTGTGAATACTTCTAGTAATTAATAGTATATATCATGTCAAGCTGTAAACATCTGAATAATCATCTGTGAGCACTTATTCTTACATTTCAAGCTCAGTCAGTCAGTAATTACCTATTATGACTGAAAGAACTAGAAACTTGTATACTCTCATCTCTGCAAATTCTACTGCAGACACTCAGAAGCAGTTATCTGAATCATGAATAACTCTTATAAAAGAAGTTTCAGAGAACTTATTAATCACTTATAGAATATCATTCTCTGCATCTATAACAGAGAAACTCTTCAAACTTATAAATAAATTAATCTCAGTGAAGAATATTCTTGAGCATCTCTCACAGAATCAAGCTATTTTTCTATAAGAAATACTTACTATCTGCAAACATTCTTGAACTGAGTCTCTAGATATAATCTTCAGAGACACTTATAAACTGAAAAGAAACTTTCTTAAGCTATAACTACTTAAGATTATCTATCAAATCACAATCTATAAAAGCTTTTATAAGTTTATATTTAAAATTGACTCACAAGCCTGACTATGTGATATAAAAGATGAAGAAGCTATCATCTATATAATGACAGATCTCTATTATACTGAAGTCAAGAACTGACTGACTTATCTAGAGAATGATTATAAGAGATCTCACTGATCTGTTCTCAAGATCTATCTAGAGAATAAGTTAAGAGACTCTGTGAGCTGAACAGAGAACATCTGAATCATAATCATTAATATTAGAAAAAGAGATGAGAAATCTGATGAAGACTACTCACAGTGCTTTATAAAATTATAATATAAATTAAGATCTATGAAAACAGAGCTCTGAAACAAGATCTGAATAATAATATTTATAAAGAGACTGAATAAAGACATGCAGAACAAGCTCATTAAGCAAGACTCTAAGCTCTTGACTCTGAAGAAACTAATGACTCTCATTCATCACTTACAGATCACTGTGAGAGTCACAGATCTGTAGAGAGTAGATTATTAATCAGCTCTGTAAGAATCAGAATAACAGAGAACAGATTTATTAGAAAAAGATGATAAGACACAGAGAGATTTATATCTGACTACTAAGTAGAGAGAGAGAGCTTTATAAGCTTCTGTAAATAGAGTATATAATAGAGAGATTAAGAAAAAGAAACTCTGCTTTATCTGTTCTAAATCAGAATATCTCTGTGCAAACTGTTCAGATAAATTAAAATAGAAATTTGAAGAGTCATAGACAGAGTCAGTAACAGTCTTCTTAAGAGTCTTAAAGCTGATATCTGAATCTGTTACTTCTCTGATAAAAATACTTACTTATGAAGAGAGATCACACTGCAGTACTACTGTCTCACAAGTATAAAAAGTATTAATGAACTCAGAATCTCAGATCACTGTGATGTCTCTAAAGCTCATGAAGTAAATGAGTTAAAAGATGAAAACTGAAAATCTGCTCTTATAATAAGCAGAGTGTGAGAACTTAGATCTGAGAGCTGAGAGACTTATAAGAGTTATCTTTGAATTGCAAGATCTCTCTGAAATCTGAAGAAGATTTGCAGAAACTGTAATTATCACAGATATTATAGATGATATGTACTTAAGACTTATATAACTTCAAAGACATAATTCATACATAGCTATTTATAAGTCAGATTTATACTTCTGATCAGTGTTAGCAGACTTACTTATAGAGATAGAATTAGTTGATACTGTAGAATTAATTAGAGAAGATAAGCTTATCTATATAATAACTTTACAAGTGTCTGAGAATCTCATGATTATAAAAACTGAGCTTCAGATATCAGAGAAATACTGAGATCTTGCAGAGATATTCAGCTTAGTTAAGACAGCTGAGCTTTCTTCTCACTGTGAGAAGAATCTGATAATAGATTTAATAGAAGAGCAGAAATCCTTCTGAGAACTAATCTATAAGCTCTTTCATTATGAGACAGAGGTCTTACAGATTTATATAAAGAAGAATCTGAAGAATGACTTTATCTGATCTTCACAGATCTCTGTGAGAGTCTCTGTGATGTTTGTAAAGAAGAAGAATGAAGATCTCAGATTATGTATAGATTACTATAATCTGAACTTCAAGATAATAAAGAGCTGCTACTCTCTATCTCTGATTGAGAATGTAATCAATTATCTCATGAGAGCTGTTATATTCACACAACTGAATATAATCAATATATATACATAACTGTGAATACAGTCTGAGAATGAATAAAAGACTGTCTTTAGAACTACACTGAGATTATTTGAATATCTAGTGATGTCTTTTAGTCTAACTAATACTCTCACAATATTTCAGTCTTTCATCAATAAAACACTTCATGTATATCTGAATATCTTTATGATAATATATCTGAATGATGTGATGATGTACTCTGTGAAGAAGAAAGAACACACTGAGCATGTGCAAAGTATGTTGAAGGCCTTAGATAAGACAGAACTGTATATTAAGCTTATAAAGTATAACTTCAGTACTCACTGAATTAATTTCCTAGAATATGTAATCACTGCAGATAGTATTCAGATGAAATCTTTATAAGTTAAGACTATTCTATTATGACTAGAGTTAACTAGTATTCATGAGATTCAGATCTTTCTGAGCTTTGTGAATTTCTATAGACAGTTTATCTTTGTATTTGTAAGAATCTTCTTAGCTCTTACAGACATGCTGAAGAATGAAAATAAGAAGAAGTCATTCTATGAACAGAGAATGAAAAGATTGTTAAGAAGAGAGAACTGTAAGAACTTTCTTATCTCAGAAGCTTACAAGGTCTTTACAAGATTAAAATAGATATTTACAGATACAGTGATACTGTTTCACTTTGATTTCTTACTCTTAATCAGATTGAAGACAGATATCTTCTTCTTTATGATTTCAGAAATAGTCTTATAACTACAGTTAA